ATGATACAGCCATTGCAGGTCATGTGGGAGTGGAGAAAACCGTGGAGAGTATACAACGAGTGTACTATTGGCCCAAAATACGTGAGGATGTGGAGTCTTACGTTCGAAGTTGTGTTGCTTGTCAACAAAACAAGGCAAGTAATAAAAAACCAGCGGGTTTATTACAACCTCTTCCTATTCCCGAACAGCGGTGGTAACATGTCACCATGGATCTTGTATGTGAGTTACCAAGGACTTCGTTAGGACATGATTCAGTGGTGGTTTTTGTGGACAAATTGAGCAAGATGATTCACATCAGGCCAACCACAAAAACAGTAACAGCTCCACAACTAGCTCAATTGTATCTAGATGCAGTTTTTGTGAATCATGGCTTAAGCAAAGTGTTAATCACGGATAGAGGTACTCACTTCACTAGTTTATTTTGGAAAACTTTGTTTAGTTTTTTCAAAACAAAACTAGCAATGTCAACGGCCTATCACCCTCAAACTGATGGACAAACTGAGAGGGCATATAGAACCTTAGGGGATATGCTACGAGCATTCACATTAGAAGAGCAAGAAGAGTGGGACAACCTTTTGCCACTTGTGGAATTTGCATATAACAATTCTGTTAATGCATCCACAAAAGTGTCTCCATTTTTTCTTATGTATGGAGCTCATCCGATAACTCCTTCAAGTTTGATGAGAATTCCGAAAGGAGAGGAGTTTTCGACCAAAGTTGCAGCAGTCAACGAATTCGTGGAGCATATTCACCGAGGACTACATCAGGCCAAGGAGAAGTTGGTGATAGCTCAAAATCGGCAAAAGCAGCATGCCGATGCTCATCGTAGAGAAGTGATTTTTGAGGTTGGAGATCATGTTTGGTTATCTACAACGAATTTGTCTCTTGTAGGAACACCAAAGTTAAACCCTAAGTTCATTGGTCCATTTTTGGTTTTGAAGCGTGTTGGTGAAGTGTCATACAAGTTGGAACTTCCGTCACATATGAAAATACATCCAGTATTTCATGTGTCACGATTGCGAAAACATGTACCACGACCAAAACAATTCACCAACCAACCAGCACCACCTCCTCTTCCAACCTTGATAGCAGATCATGAGGAGTTTGAGGTAGAAAAGATACTCAAGAAACGTATTCAAGGTCATAAATATCCCAAAGTAGAGTATTTGATTCAATGGAAAGGCTATCCATCGTATGAATCAACTTGGGAACCAGCTAAAAATTTAGCAAATGCACCTTTGATAGTTCAGGAGTTTGAACGAATGTGCAACGAGGACGTTGCATCTTAAAAGGAGGGAGGTTTGTAACCATCTTTAGTTAGTTAGAACTAAAGTAGAGGTTACTCTGAATATTGATGTAGATACTTTAGTGTGCACTAGTCATAGCTGCCACGTCAGCGATCCGCGCACTTGGTAGGTACAGAGTGGATGTGTTAGTTGACAGTGCCACGTCAGCAATCCGTGTGCTTGTAGGTAAGGATTGAGTGTGTTAGTTACTGTGTTAGTTGGGTGCGCCACGTCAGCGATCCGTGTGCTTGTTAGGGTTATCCGCCACGTCATCCATCCACTAGGAGTGGTATGGATGGTGGGGATTAGATCTTATCACCTTGTACTTGTTGGTGAGAGCTATATAAGGGAGAGGAGAACCATTGTTGGTATCTCTCATCTTCAGAGTTTACGTTTCTATCTTCGAGTGAACTTCTCTCTAAACCCTAGTGTTACAACAAGCCGAATTGTTTGTTCCATTGCATTACAGCTGCTCTCCGATCTGATGGAGAATTCCTGGACGTTGTCGATTGCTACTGATGCTTCCACGGGTGAATTCGGAAATGCTCACCTCGACGTCAGAATCCGATTACCTTCAGTTCAGATAGGCAAGACTCTTCTCTCTTTCCATATGCTGGCTATTTCTTTGTTCAATGAGTCGCATTCTGGCCAATCTCTGTATGGATTCATGACTCGTTTGTTGAATGCACTTTGTCCGGATTGGAACCGTCGTCTGATTGTATCGTCTACTGATGGTGCACCGAACATGACCGGCGCTATACAAGGATTTTCCACTCGACTCAGTGACGCAGTTTCAGAGTTTGGGCCACTCTATCGCATTTGATGTCTCACCCATCAACTCGACATCATCGTGAAGGCATCCATTGTCAGCATGCAGAATCTTGTGAACTTCCCATTGGAGAAGACGTTGACGACTCTAGTCGGATACCTTCGCAGGCAAGAAACATTGATTCGGAGTAGGAAACAAATGTTCTTACTAGATCAACGTCCGTTGGAAGTTAATGTCAAAAGTTTTACAGTGGCAGCTCAATCATCGTGTGCGGATTCAATCTTTTTGTATTGAAAAACAGTTTGCCTCGACACCGAGTAGTCAATGGTGGCTATGGTTCTTCGTAAGCAGTTCTTTGAACAGGTCAATGCTACCTTTTCAACATTACAAATTGACTGAGCTGTTGTGTCCAAGCAGCACAATGGTCTCACAAAGCTTCTCTTGAATATACAGGCCAAGTGTACAGCAATTAGAAACGAGGAAATCTCATGGGAAGATCATTGACTGACGATCCAAAACAGTGCTGCTACAATGTGCCAATTCACATTTGATGCAAATGGATTATTATAAAGAAATAAATGTTTATTTATTTGTTTTATTAAATTTTATACAAATTTTTTTATTTCATTGATCGGATTTAAAATTTTTAAAATATTCTATCAAAGATTTGACTTCAACAGTATTGTGAAAGATTGTCACACAAATTTACATCCAATCAAATAAACGTTGTTCAATAAATTAATCCATAAACTTAGTATGTAAATGTTTATTGTTAATAGATTTTTTTACAATAAAATATCATATTGAATTATAATTTTTTTAAATGAAAATAAGGTATAGTTTTTAATATATTGATAGTACTGTGATGTTGAAATACGTATATAAAATTCTATAAAACTTAGTAGAAATCCAGTACTTTATTCATCACAATTGCAAATATTTGAAATCTTATCAATTCTATTTTTTATTGATAAGAATTGAATATGAAACAATGTGTATTATTATAAATTCACAAAACATATTACTTTTATCAACTTTGATAACTGATCATTATGAATATGAAGTACAAATGGTATTCAATATATATATATAATATCATTCATATGACATACCTGTGATATTCATTCGCAGTATTTTAATTTTTTTAACTAAAACCTCATCACATAGTCAACTTTTTGAAGAAAAAATATATAATATCCATGTGAAATTTTAGTTCTATGTATTTTTTTAAGTTATAAAATTTTCAAATTTAAATAATCAATTTTCAATCCAAATGCATAATTTTTTTGTTCAAAAATATATACAATTCATATTAAATCACAAGAAAATTGAGCTAAAATATTTTAGCACAACACGAATCATAGGATCAAAACATACTCTATATTTAATTTAAATTATTTATCAAATTGGTTTTTAGAAAACAATGTGCGATAGCAATTAAATAGTTGTTTTGGTTATATATATATAATTTAATACATGCCTTTAGTATAAAAAATACAAATGAAAAAGAAATATTTCATCTCTAATTAATTTTTGCAATAAAAAATATAATTTTCAATAAATAAAATATAGTTTTACATTATTGAATCATATAGAAGATATTATAATAAAAAGATTGATAAATACTCATGTTCTTACATACTTGAGTGATTAATTTATGAAAATAAATCAAAAGAACTCAACAAAATATTTTCAACTTGACATACAATTTATTAATTAATAATAATTATAATATTGATATAAATAATCAAAACAGATTTTGATGCATAATTGATCCATTAACTTTAAAGAAAACTTGTAATATATATTAATACACAATACTTTAATTGGAAGATATGCGATGCAATCATGTTCGAAAGATGCCAGCTGGTTATAAGACCCTGCTAATTGTGAGACTATGCTGAAGCTACCCATGATGGTTTTGCCCTATTCTAATTTCTTCATGCAAGTAACTTTCAATTACGTTTTAGTAGCTTCTTGCTTGCAGTTTGTGGCTGATATGGGTGGCTAGTCCCCTTGCTTGTAGCCCCTTGATTTCTTTTACCATGCTCTGCGGAATAAATTCAAAATAAAATAGTGTGTCCATGAGCCAAGTGGAAAAAAAACAAACTGACAAGAAACTAGAGTCTATTAGTTTAATTATGTAGTGATAATTTAAAAAATTGGGTATAGTAGATGTTAATAGACTTTAAATTTTTTATATTAATTTTTTTACAATACATTAATAATTTAATTTTATATTTGACAAATTTGAAAAAATAATTGTTCACGTTTATGTTCCAAATAAGTTTAAACATATAATTAAATTAATCTGAATCAAATAAAAAATAAAAAACATCACAATATCATTCATTACATCACCTAACAAGACTATTCTATTCTTTATTACATTAATCTGTGCATTGGACAAAACCATACAAATACTTCCCCTAATTTATATGTAAGACAGGAAGTTTAAATTTTTTTTAATATATTCGAATGTGAAATATACTTTGGACCAATGTCTTAACAACATGATATAAAAATTTTTTTTAAGGTGAAAAATAAGTAGCACTTCTCTAGGCGTTTTATTACCCTTGTAATAAAACGAATAAGGGCCAAGATTTAGAATGTAATTGGGACGCCGGCATGAATTGCATTTACTCGGTTGGGTTCTTGGAACTACGTAGAGAGCAAAGCCTGTACGCGTGGTACAGGTCCGCAGCTCAGTGAACGAAAGATACTGACTGGACTGGATTGGACAGCGAAGCAAACGAGAAGCCAGAAACCACGTCTCGAGCAAGAAGCAGGATCGACACGAGCACACGGACCGTCCGATGCGCGATCCGAAGACCTTCAATCGTCCACGTCACTCGGAACACGTCATTCGTTCAGTCCCTCGTGTCGATGCTCCAGATCCCGAGCTACTGCCGCAGGGGCGCAAATGCACGACCACCGCGCCACTTTAAAGTTTTGTAGTGTAGTTTTCGCTGAGAGTCGATGCTCCGTGTCCATATTCGGCTCGGCCGATTTGGTTCCGGTGTAGACCCGGATCGTCAAACTTCACGTTTTGTCGAGAAGGGAATATCATTTGCGACTGCGAAGCCCTGATTGCCATCGTGTTCGGACTTTGTACGAAGATTTGGTCTTCTAGGTCCTTGCTGGAAGGCCCCAAGAGTTTCTCGAAGTCGTCTAATTTGCGGGAATTGGCATTCCCTATTCCTTCCGGTCGTCGTGGCCACCCCGGTTGCGGACGCTCGGCTCGGTCTGCAGTGATCGATGATTTTTTGAAGAATTGAAGCTCAGCTCCTGCCGGTGTGTTTTTCTCAGTATGTGATCGAGCAATTCGCGCTTCTGATGCGCAGGTTGGTTGATCTTCGTTTGTATGGGCGTGTACTTCTCATTGCGCAAGGCTGAGTCTTTTGGAAAGTTTCAGAAAGGTTTAAGGAAACCTAGGGCATGCTGCGCTGGTCGCAATTCGAATGCCGGATCGAATTTGCCGCTTTTCTGGATTAAAGTTGCACAATGAACTTTCTATGCGTTTCTGTGTCCTTCTCTATGTCTCAGATTCGTGTTCGTTTCTGTTTCTTCGCGTGTCTTACTAAGTTGTTGATCAATGATCCTTCTCTTTCATTGCCAGTTGAATTGCGGTGGAAACGAACTCTCTTTTCTCCCGAAAGATCTATTGAAATTGGAGTTGATGAGGGGCAGGCAAATGGAAGATCGACCTAGAGGATACCGGAAGGCGATCTTTTTCGGTGTCGTAATAACTTTGTTTGCATGCTCTCGAGTCACGTCGGCTCGGAATGTAATTTTAGTTCTTGACGACGAGGATGCAAAAGACGGTGGCGACTCGAACGGGGAGGAGCTTGCCTCCTACGAAGGAGCAAGTGATGGTGGGGTGGGAGGTTTACCGTCAGGGTTAGATTCTCAAGACTCTGGTCAAGAATGGGATGAATTTGGCGATGCCGACGATTTGAAAGACGAAGACTTGGACCCAGGATCGTGGAGGCAAGCTCTGGACCTAGAGCAGGCTGAAGGAGGTTCTCACAGGGACGACGTTCAATACGGGAAAGGTGTGAGGAAAATGGTCCAAGGCCTAGGAGATGGTGATCCTGCCCTGCTGGCCGCAGCTATTGCTGACCTCAGGGTTGCAGCAGACCGTGGCCATGCGCACGCCCAGTCGACGATTGGTTTCCTACATGGTAGTGGGTATGGAATGGATAAAAGTGATGCAAAGGCCCACTTGTATCATCACTTTGCGGCCGAAGGTGGCAATTTTCAGTCGAAGATGGCTCTAGCTTATAGTTACCACAGACAACAGGTGTGCTTCCGTTTAGATTGACTAGATATTTATTGAAGCATTTGCACGTTCTATGCATTCAGCTAGTCTTTGCGCATTATTCATGACTGCCTGGGTGAAATTCAAGGGTGTTCTCATAATTTCCAACTCGAAAACTACCTGCAAATTCTGGTCAAATGCTTAGTTCCGATGTCGTTTAAAACTTTGAATGGCCATGAAAACAGAGGACCGCCTCTGGGGATGACACGGAAAGCGTAGTCAAGACGAAGTTTTCAGTCTCATTGGTTATGCCGAGCCTGGTTTGACACTGATATAATATAGAAAAGTGCAAACCTGTATCTGAAGTTTCTTGTATTGATGTCTTTTTGGTGCAGCTACACAGCAAGGCTTGTAAGCTGTACGCTGAGCTTGCTGCGACAGCAATGGCAAGTTTTAGAAGTTCCAAGGAGGCCCCTTTGCTGGAGCCAGTGCGACTGAATGATGGTTCTGAGGAAAGCAAAGAGTACAAGAAATTTAGAGGAGAGGACGATGATGATTTCCAATTTCTTCAGTACAAAGCGCACAAAGGATTTGCTGTGGCAATGTACAGACTAGGAATCATTTATTACCTGGGCCTCCGGGGCGTACCTCGTGATCATAGCAAAGCACTGACTTGGTTTCAAAGAGCGGTGGATAAGGGTGAGTATGAGTCCATGGAGTTACTAGGTGAAATCTATGCTCGGGGCTTTGGGGTGGAAAGGAACTATACAAAGGCACTGGAGTGGTTTGTTGAGGCAACCCGTCGCAAGCAGCACTCTGCCAACAATGGAATCGGATGGTTATATGCCAAGGGTTTGGGAGTCGAGAGGAAGAACCTCACAAAGGTAGGCACTATATATTGTCTGTAAGAAAGAAGTTCAAGATTCTGGTCGATCGTGGTTATTCCTGTCCTGATTTGTCTTCTTCTCCTTTTCACCCTTATTACCGATTGGTTAAATTTGCACCCGCAATTCACTTAAACGTAGGGGAACATCTTGTTTGTGTTGTCTCTAAATTTATGTGTAGAGGGTCTAGCCCAGTTAACTGGAGATTTTCTCGCATTTCAGGCACGGGAGTATTTCAAAAAAGCAGCCGATAATAGTGATCCAGATGGACTGTACAACCTGGGAGTGCTCTATTTGAGAGGTTTGGGACTGAAACAAGATGTCAGAGAAGCCCGTAGGCACTTTATGCTAGCTGTGAACATTAGTAAATTGCGGCATCCGAAGGCATTGTACCAGCTTGCGAGAATGCATCAAAAGGGCAACGGGGTGAAGAAAGACGAAGCTACAGTAAGTGACCTTATCTGTCTTAACGATCTTTTGAAGACTAATTTAGCCTCGTTCAGAAGGAATACGTCCAATGGGAAGTTACACTATAGGACTTTAGGATGTTCATGTTTTTGTGCTTTTACGAAATCATTCACCGAGTGAGCCTTGTATGGACTTAGTGTTATGATGGATTGATATTCTACCAAACACAATTTTTGTTTAGACTTCAAGAAGACATTCACAAGAGTCATATTCGAAGATGTAAGTCCTAAGTGGCAACGGCAACGTCCATTGGCCTTTCTTTCGCGGAAATTATCTCACGGTTTTTCTACTAAATTCCTAGTCTAAAGTTTCAATTTATTGGAACTGTAGGCGGTGGAGCTTTACAAGTTGGTGGCTGAAAGGGGTCCATGGGGATCACTCTTGAAATGGGCTTTAGAATGTTATGTGAACAGAGAAATAGGAAAAGCCTTGCTGCTCTATTCGAGGGCAGCTGAACTTGGCTACGAAGTTGCACAGAGTAATGCAGCATGGATTCTCGATAAATACTACGGTGAGGACGTATGCATCGGAAGCTCAGGCTTCTGCACTGAAGCTGAACGACACCAGCGCGCACACGCTCTTTGGCGTTACGCCTCTGAGCAGGGTAACCAGCATGCTGCTTTGTTGATCGGCGACGCTTATTACTATGGGCGAGTAAGCATGAAAACCATCTGACTTTTTCCTTTTGTTTGATGTCGAGAATTGCGTTTTGTCTCCAATGCATCGGATAACTTGCCTTATTTCTATTTGGAGGCTGGAAGATTTAACCCGTCAGTTAGTGGGGGCCTTCCAGTACACAGTGCAGACATTCTGTGGTGTACGTGTAGGCCTTCAGAATATGATATAATATTTTTATCTCAACATGCAGGGGACGGAGAAAGATCTTGATCGAGCTGCTGAGGCTTACAACTTAGCTCGGGTGCAGCAAAATGCACAGGCCATGTTCAATCTCGGGTATATGCATGAGCATGGTGTCGGTTTGCCAATGGATCTCCATCTTGCCAAGCGATATTATGACCAAGCTCTAGAGACAGATCACGATGCTGCATTGCCAGTTACCCTAGCTTTGATGGGGCTGTGGTTACGTCAGAATTATGCAAACAGCTTTGTGGTAAAGTAGTGAATTTATGTGCTGGTTCTGTTATATCTCAGCTGTTGTAAGCAGATACGCTCTATTGAAACTATTAGGTCGGTTTCTGCAACGTGCACTTGCTGATTACTACTTTGAATTCTCGATGCTTCTTTCTAATGCAAACGTCATGTCTGTTGTAGGTGAGGTTCATTGATGCCCTACCGGACGCTATTCCTCACTCATTCGGCCATTACTTGAACTCAATCTCCATCGACGAGGGCAATGCAACATTAGCTACTCTTTTCGTTTGTCTTCTTACTGTTTTGTATCTACGACAAAGACACAGACGAGTAGCTCTTGTACCACCAGCGGAACAACCTCAACCTGTAGAACCTCCTGTACCACAATGATCTCCCAGCCTAGATTGATTGTACCTTAACTGGCGTCCGTCATAGTCTTGTAACATGTAGAAAGAGAAAGATAGAACGGGAGGAATAAGAGTAACTGTCGTTGCCCCTTTCGCATATGGTTAGAGTCTTCACCTGGAGGAAGCCGTTTTTTAAAGGATATAACCTCGATTACATTCATGGATTCCTTTCACCATGAATATTGTCCTTGGGTTTGATTGCGAAGTTTAGGAACACAATTGATACGTGAATTGGATGAATATGGTGCGTGTAAGCCTGCGATGAATCGCATGTCTGCTACAATGTACTCTATCAAGACTGAAGTTGTTTGTGGCTATCTCAAGGTATGTATGTATTTTGGATTTACTGGCCGAATTTGAGCATTTTCTCTGTTGTTGCAATCTAGTACAAAGTGCTGAAGTGTTGCTTAGTCTTTGTTTTGCTCCCTTCTGTGGAGCTGGAGTTCTTAGAGCTGCGCATTTCCCCAAGCTTCAGTCATTCTTTGGAATGTGATGCTTTGGACAGATGAGACAACTCCCGATCAGCCTTTAGCAGTCACAGTGCATATCGAAGGAATATCATACGGAGCGTTGGTAGTCGAGTCTGGCTTCATTTATCTTCATTTATTCTGTACTACAATATAGAGTTTCTACGAAGCCGTTAGACATGACAGACCGAAATAAACATGCCGAACCATTTTCAAAACTAGTGACCAATATTGTAACACTAGAGGTACCCGTGAGTCGAAATCACAATGACAAATCGATCCCGTGGGCATATTTCATGCTGATTCAATTTCGTCCAAAAGTGGCAAACCAAGGTGGCAGTTCCAGTTTTTGTTAAGGAATGACCATAAAAATATATATTGGAAACTCTTTAAGACCGGTGCGCATTCGAAACATCGAGTGGAAGACAGTAAGGAAGTAGTTTGCGTCCACAAGAGATACTAGCTGTGTTACCGAGCTTATCAGAGAAGTGTTGGAAAGTTCTGCGAAACCTAAAATGCCCCGACCTTCAGCATTTTGAAAGGGGAAAATTGCAATCTAACATTGAATCAGTCGTGAATTCTTTTGAGATGAGTTTATTCTCGCTGGTTTTGCTGCTATCTCGATGAAGGAAATTCCTTGTTGGAGCAGTTCTGGGCAAGATTAGATATTTCAGAATTAGGATCTAGGATCACACGATAACTCGACTCGACTCTGCATACGATGTTGCCAAACAGTCTTTCCACCAGGATGTCCAGGCTCTGTACCATTGGTACCTACCACTACATATGAATTTGTTTCCAGTTTTACACTGCCACAGTAGATATCGATCGTTGATATCAATCTATTGATACACTACCCCTTGCAAGGATGTCGAAGATCTTGGTTCTTGACTAACAACGGATGACAGAAGTTACGACTCGAAGGGTGAGGAATGTTTGGTTCTTTGATATAGATATACCGCTCTTATACATGTAAGTGCGTGTATCCCCCTGTTTATAGTAAGTCCGTGCATAGTGCGTATCATAGTGCAATAAAATCGATGTAAAGGTCTGAATAAACAAGGCAAATGATTCAGAGACAGTGCTTTCATGGTTTTACCAAATACTTGGAGCTTATAAAATAAGCTATACAGGTGATTATACTCAACAATCCGCAAAGAGTTTGAAAGTATTAGAGCCCATGGTTTAGGAGAACCATGTGTGAAAGTTTGCACCTCTTCTGCTTTCTTCACAGGTGGTGGGGGAAAAATGCAATGGTTTTTGGTCTTGTCCATGAAGGAACTTACTATCCCACAAACTGGATTGCATAAGTAAAACTGATGTTAACAACTTCGATCAAAACGATTTACATTCAAGCTGGTACTTTGTGAATGTAGTTGAGCTCGGTACATGCCATCTTATCTCGAATCCTACTAGCACATCACATGCGATAGTTAATGGATATGGCATGAGAGCACAACTGGCATCATAATGTGAAATATCTGGGCTATGTATTTAGAGTCTATTTAATGTGAAGCACATAAAGAAAGACCACATAACCTAACTGTGCTCACGAGAGTTGCACCGACTATAATAAGTTCGAGAGAGACATGGATTTGTTCTTACCTGTTAAATGTCTAGCTTCCATGGATGGGGCTATCATAATACTGAAATGACAACGAAAGAATCGGGCCATACTTCTGTCGACGAGTCCGGATCCGAGGATCTCGATTCTGTTTTGCATTGAAAGGAAATCTGCAAAACGATTTAGTGCGAAAATCTCTCTCCAGTCGTGGTACAAAGGTGTCCTCGTTTCCTGCACATAAATTCTGCCTCTAGCTTTTGTGTCGCATGTGCTCACATTCTTGTTCGTTCTTGGGCGTGGTAGACGTAGAGTCAACGACGCACACGTTTGAGGAATCGGCGATTCTCATTGTGCCTGCTCGCCCGTTCGCAATCGTTCATGGAACCGATAGATCGATAGCTTCCGGCGTTTCCGTCCCGATTTGCGCCTTCTCTTCTTTTCTTTCACAGTAGTCGTTCGTGGCCATTCTCGCCGATGGCCCGGTGGGCGCATTTGGGGACCTTCTTCTTCGTGCAGGCCGTTGTGCCAATTCTGCTTCTCTTTGCTCAGCGTGGTCTCTGTCGCGAGCTCATCACGTAATTTCGCCATCACACGCTCTCGTTGTGCTCGTACTTGAATTCTGGTGCGAGCTTTTTTGTGGTTGACGATCCAGAGGAATTCGACCGCTTGCTCGTCCATCTCACAGTCGTTCTTGAACTCCGGAGTGCAGAGAAGAGCCTCAATTTCGACAATCTTCGTGCAATAGCACCGTTCAAGGGCGTCATTTGCGCTCAGATGACAGAGGTATGGAGTTGTGATAGAATTCTTCTGGAACTTGGGCTTCTCAGATCGTATGTAGAATTCAAAAATAAGGGTTGCATTATTGTGCCCTTGTCCGAACCATCGTCCCCGTTGAAACATATTATTATTGTTGTTCTGTGAGCAGGGTATGTTTGCAGCGTCAAGAATATCGACCCTCGGACGGGTTGCTGTGCTGACTCAACGAAACAATATTCTTGCTCGTAAGCATGTTCTCTCTGCCGAAGCCTCCAGAACTGTTAAAGGTGCATGACAATTTACTAGTTTTGTGTGCTGAACCTCCGAGAAATCGTTATACCCTATTTGCACCCTGGCATTTCGTTTTATGTCGAAGATCAAAAAAATTCTGTAAGGGTCAGTGTTTTCGTCGCAAAGTTGGTTGTCGGTTGTTCCTCGGAGTGTCGAATAGTTTTGGTGTCTTTTAGAGAGCTTTAGCACTAATTGCAGCGCTAGAAGCGATTGCGTTTCTTTCAATTGAGCCGATCGAACCTTAAGTATGGACCACATGAATAGAAGTTTGCCTGAATCAAGAAAATCGACCGTGGCAGCTGTCCTTTATGGCTATTTCCATATCCTATTTTTTTAATCCTCACTATCTATGCTCTTTATACTGCATTCGGACAACCTTTTGATGTGCTTAAAGATCAAGTTTGAGAACATCAAATTAACCAGATTCTTCCCTAAAGAAAGTGACATGCTCAAAACATTGATATGTTTTGAGTTTGTACTATGTACCATGCATGTTAAATTCCTGAACAGCCTTGAACTTGCTTCATGTCTGCAGGGGCTGTAACATGGGATCACAGTGCTGCACTGATTATGAGTACTGCGTCTCATGCTGCCTTGATCCTTTACGAGTAAAACACTACCATTTCTCTTCGCTTCTTTGATTCGGTACTTCATTCCGTCTTTTTGGAATGTCAACTGCTTCTCAGTCTTATTTATCGATTTAAGAATATTCATGTTTTGAAATTAAACCATTAATCCATTAATGCAGACATCAAGCGAGGTGGCCTTGAAGGCAAAGGTTGCTAAACAATTGACGGCTGGTGAGTATTTAACCAAGGCGGTGCCTATTTCATGAGATGTACCCTTGTAGATAATGCGAGCAAACATTTTTTGCAGAAGCTTCTGCTGATGCCGGTGTAACCCTGTTGATGATTCTGTGTACGTTCTTCATGTATGTGCCAGTAGTATTTCTGTCTTTCGAGATCATTGGCAGGATGCCGATTTGAATTAATTTGCAGTACAAATGCATGATTTGTTGATGCTTTGAATTGCATGTAGAAACTCCTTGCCTGTCTACTCTTGTATGAAGATGACTTTGTGAAAGATATGTAAATGATGGAGGCACTTGGTGCAGAAGTGCAAGCTGTTGATGATCTTATATCTATTTGAAACAGGTACAAGCTCTACTGTGTTTGAGTACTGTCTGGGTCGATGTAGACATAATTCGCAAAGTGTGGTAAGCTCTCGCAAAACTTTCATCTGCAAATTAGCAAGATAAGAATTTATACTAGTGGAAGAGACGTTGTGAACTTCCGGATGACGTGAAAAATTTTGTTTATTTATTTATTTTATCAAGGTATTGCTCCGAACTTGGCGTTTCAGGTGGTTTTCACGTGTGTTGAAGTAATGATATACAGGTTGCATAGTTCTCAGCTGCTCATTTCACTTTGCGCTACAGGTTACGTGATGTTGTAAATCTAGTTTGCGAACAAATGGAAAGTAGCTGCTGTGAATGGCCACTTATTTCCGATGTTGTTCAAAGCAGCTGTTGTGCATGTCTCTAATCTACCTTAACGACATCTTGAGAGATGTACATACCAACCTTAAGGAATATCTTACCGCGAGAGTAGATCTTGAGTTTGCTCATATTGTCTATCAATCTATTCACGCGCCAGAAGGCTACTTCCTTAAGCTTGGTACTGTCATTTGGCGAATTAATTGGAAAGGTTGAGTGAAAGCTATCACTCCAACTCAGTTATTCTCCTCGTCTTTCAGATTCATGAGAATGCGTACGTTAGCGATGAACATCATTGCTTCTTTCCCCAAGAGCAGTTTTCCGGTACGTCTCGAGTATCTTTGAATATAAATAGCTGAATATCAAGTGCGTCCGTGTTTAAATCATTTTATTTGCTTCAACCTCAAGCATGAAGATGAGATGTCAAGCTCCTAATAAAAGTACGCGTTTTCATCAGTTGTTACTTGTTAGCATCTGTAAGTTGATTGGCTTGAACTCGCAGTTAGTAAGACTTTGCGCGTTTCTGCAGATGAGGGGCCGGAACGAGAAGATGCGGACTTTGGAGATTTGACCATCGTTATAGCCAGGTGAGGGGAGGACATGCAGTCATTGTAGTGTAATTTGTGGTTTAAGTTTGTATATATACCAAGGATCATCGTGTTGGCATACGCAGGCAGGGCCATCGTTATAGCCAGGTGAGGGGAGGACATGCAGTCATTGTAGTGTTATTTGTGGTTTAAGTTTGTATATATACCAAGGATCATCGTGTTGGCATACGCAGGCAGGGCCATCGTTATAGCCAGGTGAGGGGAGGACATGCAGTCATTGTAGTGCAATTTGTGATTTAAGTTTGTATATTTACCAAGGATCATCGTGTTGGCATACGCAGGCAGGGCCAATCATGTGATTCCGCATGCAAAGAACGGCAAAAAGAATGCAAATTGAACACACTGCCGGCACTGAACAAGTGTAATGTGTAAGCACTTCTTGCCATTCCATCATGATAGTATCACTTTCCACTTTGCTTCGCACTTCGACCCAATTTATAAGGTCCAGAGTATCTTTGTCTACTTTTCTTGGTCAAAGTTCCTGTAAGTTATGACTGTTTATTGTCCGCAAGATCTCTCTGCTCACGGTCTATAGACTCAGAAATATTATTGCGGTTTATGATTGGGCTGGGTGATAAATCGCTTCTTCCGTACAACTTCCGAGTTATTAGTATTGAGGCCGCATATTTTATTCACCGCAGATTGAAGAAATATCTCAACTGCAAAGAGGCCTGCATAGGGACCACAGGTACAGATCAGCCATCAGAAGTTGTGAAGACTGCACCCAGGCACATGGTAGGTGTAACTCTATCCAAATGCTGTGAATCATATAACTAGGCCTTCTTTGTTTACTTAATGTAGGCATGTGACAAGCGAGGCCTAAATGACAAGAATCCAAGAGATAGAAGCCGTAGTGAGTGTTTTCACTTTGGTAGTCTGATCTGCACTAATCTGTCAACGCTTATTGCGGTGGTTCTGCCGGTTTTACAGCACCCTGGATCATGTATGTTCAGTACGCAGAAAGTTCCGTTCTCTTGCCAAGGCTCGCATCCCTACACTCGTCGTCTGTGCCCATGTGGGTAAGCATATCATGTCTCACGATTGAAATGTTAGATATCCAGGTCTTCGGAGGATCTGTCTCAGTTTTTACGAACCTATTATCAGCCTCTATAGCCGTGTGTTGACTACGTTTTGACCGCTTTTGTGCTTCTCCAGGTAGTGCAAGCGTTGTACCCGTCACTGAAGAGATTCTGGCGGACGAAGAAGCATGAAGCTCATGATGTCATGCGGGATTGCCAGACCCTAATGTATCAACTTCACGCTGACAGTGTTGACTAACTGATCAAGAGCTCCATTGCACTCTCATAAGTACGCGTGCGCAAAGTCGTCAGATTCTACTCCGCAGCTCACTCATGTCAAGTTCAGGTCGAACCCCGTTGGCTGAGCTTCCTGGAGAACAGAAAGAACTGCATTTGCCTGCGAACTCCGTTGTCCGTTCACTAATTGCCCTGCCCGTGAAAGACAGCCCTTAACTGAACACCAGATGTCACCATTGTCGTATGTATGTATTCATTTTAGTGTAGCAATTTTCTGAAACTAGATTAGGTACCTTATTTATCGACCTAAACTGAACCCTAGAATTACATGTTGATTTCTTCAGGAAGTCTTCCGGATTTAGACTGGAGAGTAGCGCTTAGTGTGTACTTCTGCCATGAAGGCGAAGTGATGTAACCATTTTTGAAATCGAAGTGAGTCGCCTATGGGCAAAGGCCCTTTTCTCATCATGATTCACACGTCAATCGATACCATTTTCAGAACCTACTTTGGCATACTTTCGTTCATGCCTTTGGCCGACCTTAAGCAGCTTCAAAGGACTTGTGCTCAAACTCGAGAGGAGCTTTGTTAGGGGTAATTTTTTTGAAGTATCTGAGGTTGCAGGGATAGGTACTCGCGTGCTGTTGTTTAGCAGGGAAAGTTGCTGATGTAAGGCAACATGTCTCTTCTAGTAACTGAACTGATGAGGAACAAGGATATGCCATATATAACCTCGATATCTTTGCCAAAATTGAGTAAAGAGTCGCCGGAACCAAAGCTTTTCACGTCTAATCAAATTAGTCCCCGAGCATTTGTGTGCTTTGAAAATGTTCAGCGAATGGTAACGCATCACTTATTAATATCTTGAACTTTGAGTTAGAAGTCCTCTGCAATTACGATTGGATCTTATTTTACACTACAGACAAGAGCAGACTAGAATAGACTGGTTCCATAAAACCACACGGTATTGTATTCGTTATATCCCCTACGTCTGGTTTGGACTTGATCACAAAGTGAACGTTCCTGGAGGTACAGTAGCCTCCCGGTGAAGTACGCACCCGTTTAGGTACGCATTTTTTGTGCACAAAAATAGTGTTCAACCCATGACATGTCGTTCATTTAGTTTATGGTCAAAAATGGTTACTCCTCCGAGTGATTGTCTCATATCCGATTAGAAGCGTGAACCTCTAGTGGCTGATATATACTCGTTTAACATTAGAGACAAACTCTCATGTTTAACTTAGAGAAAAAAGCAAGCCACTATTGCAAAATGAAGAAAAGATTATATCATCTTTTTGAGGTTTTAGATTATATTGCCAGAGTCCATGATAAAATTTCAAATAACTCTCCTAGAAGCAACACCTTTTACAATTCACTTGGCAATTGAATACGACTTGGCAATTACAAATATGTGCTGGAGTCCATATATGAAATAAATAAACTCAATGCAATATTTTTTTATTTGGCGGTGTCAATAGATGTTAGAAGAGTGAGATTACAAAGTCTTCTCTTTAACTTCATCATAGATTAACTCAATTTAGCTTTGTGATTTGTTCCGTTTGTCTCATCTTTATGATCAAGTCACTTGCAAGTTCGAGCTCTTCCAATGGAATCATGATTTTGCTCAGTTTCTCTATGATATCAAATAGCGCCGAGTCATTTAGGAGTGTTCATATAAGGTTCCTTTGACATTACACTCAAATCAAACGATTAGGAAGTCAGTATTCTTAATCACGCACCTCCCGGTTAAGTACGCACAGCACTCCCGGGTTCAAAGTGCGTACTTAACCGGGAGACTACTGTACTGAAGAAAGAAATGTTCAAATTTAATTGGAAAAGAAGTAATATTATTTAGCAAGATCGAATATATACACTTCATCTGAGTGGGATCAGGAAGACTGAAAGTAAAGAAGATCGACTACACTGCACCCCTGCAAGCATGATCAAATCTGCGGCATGCGTAATGAAAACTTCGGAATCGATTTGAATGACATTTGGACGCAAGGAATTTCAATCCAGTGCGACACAATGTGAACAAACCACACTAGCGGCATTTTTGTGGAAGGCTTGTGCGTGTAGTGGCCCAAGCAAAAGACATGACGCGGACTGCCAACTGAAGAACATATTGCAGGAGATGTGAGAATAAGTCTCATGCAGATGCCCGAGAAGGAATTTGCACCCTTAGATGGTGGATATATCTGAAAAGCTTACCCAGGCCAGAACTAGTGTGTACGTGACCCATAAAGTTTTATGAGATTTAGATAGAAGGACATGATGAGGGCTGAACTTCCAAGGCAAAGCATCTGAGTCATCGAAAATGCAATTTTAGAGGAGCATAGAAGGCTTTCGGGGACTTGAGTAACAAAGGACAGGGAAATGACACAACCTTTCGATCATTATTGTCGCATTTACTGAGTAAGACACCGTAGACGACGTTATTGGGTAAAATAATATACGAACGGAGTATAGACTTTATAAATCCAGTTGACAGTTTTCCAGTTGCATGCGAATGGGCAGTTGGATGTAGGCGGGAAGGGTCAAATGGTCTCTTCGTTCAATCTTCAATCGCTCGTATTCTTTATCCCATGGGTTCAAGAATCAAGATTGCAGCTCCCCGTCCCGGATGATAAAGAAGTTGAGGAAGCCAAATTACGAGATGATCACGTAGAGGTAACGAACTTAAATGGTATCTTAGCCAACACACTTGTTTTGACTAAGATACCATTTGAAGTCATTTGAAGTCATTTTAACTCGTCCGACTCATCGCCTACCATCAGTTAAAAAGTGATTTCAGAACAAGTCATGCAGTTTACGAAATTTACAACCGGGGAGACAAAAAGTAGACGTAACTTCTTGTGGAATAATGAAATGAATTGAAATATGTATATAAGTCATTTATATTTTACTCCTAAAAGAGGGTTCACTAAACTGCTGATGATAGCTTTCTACAAGGTCTTCAACTGTCCAAGCATCTGAAACACTGTAGCTTCCTGCAGAACAACCATAACACCTCAGCATTATAAAGCTCATTCAAAATCTTTCATCACGTGCCAAATTCTCTTTAAGATATTGATTTCAAAAAGGAAGCTCTTTTGAAAATAAGAATCTTCCACACCGCTTAAAATATTTTCAATCGACATGTCAAAAATATGAAGATTTAATACCTATTTTCTCTCGACGAAGTGCTGTAAGATGAGCATAACTGCAATCAAGATTCAAGCATCAGAACTGTAGAAAGCACCAAGTAAAAGGTCCAAGACTTGACTTGGAAACAGCAGATTATATCCAAACATCCAGACTAGTAATATTGAACTTACTCACGACACCCACGATGCGTTCCAATGCTAAGAAACTAAAATATTATTTTGATTTTGCTCAGAAGACGCTTGCATTGATCAGCCCAAGATAAGGGTATCGAGATGTACCTTCCGAGAGCACGGCCCAGATCCGAACATAATGACCGAACATAAGTTCCTTTGGAGCAGGTCACTCTAAAATGAACATCTTGCCTGTACACGACATGCGTATGCAGACAATCAATACCTATGCTGCTTCACAGTCTCCAAGCAGCTTCTGAGCCCACAACAATACATAAAAGCCAGAAACAGACTACATCTAGCTCTCAACATTTGGTTCAACAGAAACATAATGGAATAACCATGTATAGATGTATTCACCTGTTGCTAGGGTCCCGATTGATATCAAATTCGTGCACAGTCACCGGCCTAGCCGGAACAATAACTTCTTCTCCTCGCCTTGCTTTTGCGTACAACCTCTCTCCTTTGACCTTCATCATTATCCACTCTCATCAATTGGATTGTTTCGAATCATGACTGTTTTCAAAAAGAAAACTCAGTTCAATAGAACATGACATCATAGATTAGAGACAGCTACTATAAATATGGTCGTAAAGTGAAAATGATTCTGTCCAGACATTATAGATCCCTGGAACTCAAACAATGACATTTAAGTTCGCACTCGTGTATTTCAGGGTGTCAATTCCAGTAACATCAAGGATACCCACTGGTCGTAAGTCACACACGAATTAACACAGGTACTAACTATATGCTCAACATTGAAATAAGTGCGAACACAATGCATCATAAGTCTATCAGAGACAGCATGTGCGGGTGTGTGGATCGTTCCTGTTCTGTGAATGGAAAACTCCATGCAAGTAACAAGCAAGAAATCAGCAACACTGAGATTCCAGGATGGCTAGTTCGAGAACTGATATAACATCAAGAATATCAGACGCTAGCTGTGAGAAGCATCGACTGACTCGATTTTCTTAGAGACGAAATCAGCTAAAGGCCAAGAAAAATATGACAGGGTCGGACATACTTTTTTCCAAAGAACAACAATATTTCTAGTGTGATGATATTCATGATGATAAAATGTGGACCATAACTATTGACAGAAGCGAGTGGCACGGTCTCTGGCCGTAGTTGACCGTTTACTATAAAAAACCTTACCGCAAGCTTAACTATCCTGAGAGGGTTTGAAGGATTAAGAGAATTGATCAGTTCATAGAAACTTACTGAGGGAGAACGAATCACGCTTACCTTGATCGCAGAATACATAGGAGGTGACTGTAAAATATCACCAATAAATGCTTGTTTCGCCGTTTCAATGTCTTCGTCCTCGATATGTTGCCATGGCAAAGTGTCAGACACCTGTTGAAAAAACGCGTCCAAACATGTCACCAAACGCGACCAGGAATCGAGCTAGTCTACGTAATATGCAAGATGTAGACCAGCATTTCTACCATTCCTGATTCGGTGCCAATATGTTGCATGAAGTGGTCTACTCACAAACTGCTTACCAATGTGAAATGAGATAGAAACACAGAAACGACATGGAAACTTAATGAATCAGCTTTGGGAAACATAAGAGGCAAACCTCAGTGTCGGCATCTAAAGAAGGTGTATCCTCGCCCAGTCGGAAAACTCCAGAGTACACTTTGGTCATTGCTTGGTAGCTTCAACCCATCCATGTCCACGACAATTTTTTTTTTCATTTCATTTATGAATAGTCATTATAGATCGAAGCAATTCCGTCCATAGGTAGTTGAGAAAGAAAAGCCTCAGCTAGAACAAAGAGGTCAACAGAACTCACAAACGAGATGTCTGCAAACGATGTAACCTTCGGATAATCAATTCGCATGCACGAGGAATATGAGGACAAGATTACCTGTCAGCCAATTTTGTTGCCTTGCCCAAGCAGACTATGAGCAAGCCTGTTGCCATGGGGTCTAATGTCCCCGCGTGTCCCACCTATTCGAAATTCCAGATGTTGCCAACCGCGAAATTAATACTCGTGGATTAATATAGCCTTCACGATTAGCGTGCTCCAGAATAGATTGAAATCCTGACGAGCATTTCGTGAATATAAAATGAATCATATGACGAAAACGAAATGAAAAAATACCTTTTGAATTTTCATTGTGTGCCGTAACTTCCCACATACAGCAAACGACGTCCAACCTGGTATCCACAAGACAACCCGCTACTTCAACCTACAAAACATGAAAGAAAATGTAATGAATTGCTTGAAACTCACAAGACAGCCAGATTTTAAAGCAGACGCGTTGTCTAGAGGAATCAAATCCTACTTTGCGTAAATGTTATTTTTTGTCCCCAATCCTGTGACTATCGACACCATCCAGCGAAAACACTAATGTAAAGGGACAAGTACATCACAGCTGACGTGGTGTGGCTGACACTCGTAACAAAGGGTCCATGATGACTTCAAAGCTACAGTTTCACTTCACATATGATTTGCATCACACATATACAGTTTCATGACGTGCCTAGCTCTTTGGAAGTCACGGTATTTCAGCGTGCCTTGAACACCTGAGAAGGAGAGTCAGAGCTTGATAGTAACTTCTTAGTTGCTATCAAGCTCTGACAAAAGAAAAGATTACGAATATTACCCTGGGGTTTGTCGATAAGGACAACCGTACCCCCGGGGCCATTCCAGTTTTCTGGAAGTGTTGTACTCCGCTTCACGAGCAGCGGTTTCAAAACTGCAACACCCGCACGACTACCGTTGCTCTCGTCAACCTGCTTCGCAGATCTGCTTTGCTCGGAAGACCTTTGCGGAGACGAATTGGCTTCCATGGGCTTCGTTTGGCCAAGTGATTTCGTAGAATTCCTTTCATCACGTTCATCATTTGTATTGAGTACAGGCTGAGGACTCGTATTCACACTCCCTCGACTATCTAAATCCCTTAACTCAGCTTCGCTCAAAAGAATTCTAGGATTCAAGGGTTGTGAACCTGGAGCAAAGGTCTGCCTCATGTCTTCGATGACTGTCAGGGCGGATAACCCATCTTCTCTGAGTTTCGTCACTGCCCATTGCTCAAAGGCTGTCCTTTTCTTCGCTGAGCCATCTTCCTTTCCTGCTACACCGGAACTACCACTTTTAGTTCTCAATCTACCGCTCTTCACAGATTGCTTAATCGTGGAATCTTCATCATCAGTTGCATCAGCACTGTCCCGTTGGCGATTTGGCGCAGGCTCCGAGGGCAATGTGCGGAATTCTTCATCCGCAGAGAGGTTCAAATGTGAACTCGTTTCACTGCCACCGGCCACTCGTGTCTTCCATATTCTTTTCGAAGAGCCCTCATTCCTTTCATTCAGAGATGCAAGTGATAGGTCGCGTCTCTGGGAGTCTGCAGATTGTGAGGTGAGCCTGTTCCGAATTAAACGTTTGGAGCATGGAAGCTGCTCAACCAGAGCTCCACGGAACCAAAATGTTACGAGGGGATTCGCCTTCCGAGAGGCTGAATCATGAACAGAAGAAGTACAGGATCCATGAGAAGAGTATGAACGGGTGATTTTAGCGCTCGAAGAGAAAGCTCGAGCAATCTGAGGGTACTGAAAATTCAGGGTGCACCGGAATCCGTTCAGGATTTCACAAGGTCGAGGCTGAACGAGCGATTTGCCGAGCATGACCGTCATACCCGAAATCATCTCACCCCGCCGCGTGCTCACGCGCTCCAAGACAGAGCAATTCGCGACACCGACTGCAATCGTCGTCCCAGACACGGATCCCCTTCAGCCGACCAGCATCGTCACCAGCATTGCCTCCATCTCCGACGCCTCAGCTCCCGCTCAACGGTCTCGGAGCGTCGGGGACAACGTTCTCGGAATGTGATTTGCAATCGAGCGATCGACCTTTCCTTCAATTCGGCCATGGCTCTCCCCTGCTCTCCGCTACTTTCCGGAGCTCATCTAACTTTCCGGCGATTGCCATGCTCGTTATCCTCAAGGAACTTCGTCCTCCGTCGTCCAGCGGCGTGCAACGTCGATGAGCCTTTGTTTGTTTGTTTGTTTGTATTGCTCTCGCGCCGTCCCGAACTTCAAGTTCGGGGCTCATTGGCGGCGGACGGCGTAGGCTGGTAACATAGTTCACGGAGCATGCGCGGCTCCTTCTTTTCCATGCGCACCTGGCGTGGTTGGTACTTCGCAGTTTTCTCCAAGTTCTCGCCGATGACTTACTGATACAACTACTGCAGGACAGTAGTTGTATCAGTACGTCCTACGAGCATTGTGCTTGTCGATAATATACGATTAAAAAATCATTTAAAGTAAAAATACAACAGTGTTTACTTTGCATATTGACTATCAGAACGATCTATTTTGATTTTCATAAGAGAGTGTTACAGAAATCGCCATCTTCCTTATAGATATCAATTAACTAGCATTATCTATTTTTTGTGATGACTTTGTTTCGGTTAGAAAATTGAAATATTTCTTGTAATGTAATCTTCTGTGCCCATCACGCTGCAGGAGTTGTTTTTTCCCGTTCTCCAATTCATCACATTGATTGCAATCTATCACAACTCATTACGAGAACCTCATTAAATTTCAGTATAGAAGCGAGCGTTACCTTCGAATATCTTCATGAATAATTGAATTTTAACCTCTTTGTGACGTAAAGCAGTAGTTGAGTGTTTTTCGTCCTCAAAAATCTCTTAAAACAACCTCCTAAAAATACAAAGTAATATGTATACAGGTAGAACGATTTCACATCACATTTCTTTCACATGCAGTGACTCAAACTTCCAACAAATGAGTTGTTATTATCATAATGTTGCATTTTTTCCAAATGTATGTCAAAGATATTCATAATAGTGAGCACAAATTTTAAATTTAAGTTGTGTTCGTACATTGTTATACTGCGTATTCACTTCACAATGTTTATCCCGGTGAGTTGAAAGTTCAATCCATCAAAATCAAAAAGAGCCAAGCTATCCCGGCTCGCCATAAATTTGCTTTCAATAGATATAGTACCCCAATTCTACTCGCTAATATGAGGAAGCACTGCTAAGTGCCTAAATTTTGCTAACTTAACTAAATTCCGAGGATTTAATGAAGTGATTGATTAACTTGATAATTTTATATATAAAATTCATATTATGGTTTCACAATGAATCCCGAATACATTTGATGTTGTAGTTCTCACCATATATCTCCAAATCATCACCATAGCTTGACAACCCTAATCATTGATAGAACAAACGTTATAAATGTTAGGATGCAACATATGTTTCTCATAGTTGTGTACATGTTTCCAAGGTTTCCAACACTTCTAAAAAACTTGGAGCTTGCAAGCATTTTTGAAGTCAATGATCAATATAAATAACCATAGAGTTCATTTACCGATGTGGGGCCAAAATAGTTACACTCTGACTTAAATTTTAAAAAACAAACATGCTCTCTATGTAAGATAAAACAGTGAACAATGCAGATAATCGTAATGGCTTCACAAACGTATGACATTATTTAAATAACGAACTCGAATAACTTTGGCAAAGATTCTAGGAAACGTACTTCATTTGAAGTCAGTACAAATGAAGGAGATGTTCTCATAGTTTGACTGAGACTCAGAAGAAGTACACAACGCATCTTCAAACCATCAGCAGGGGTTGGCATTATGGCAGATCCATCCAAAGACGGTGAGAGCGAGCAATGTCTGTGAAGCCCTCCTCTGGCAAGAGTCGGGTTCGAACCACAATGTCATGCGGTTGGGAAAACTCCGTCACCAAATAATACATGCCAACCCATTCGAAGCGACCGGTGCTGGAAATTCCGCGGGGAGATCCCGCGCTCTGCGGTCGAGAGCCGAGACTTGGCGCCGCGATCGATTAAATCGAATCCGGAGTCTGTAGCGTAACGCCAGAGGAGCAAGATGTGGCAGCAGCGGGAGTCAGCGGCAGCGGCATGGAGTCAGCGGACGGGGCGCGCTAGCGAGAAGAAGAAGAAGAAGCAGAGCAGCGGGTCCGACGAGAGAATGCGGCTCCGACGAATGCGTCGAGAGCAGATCCCCGAGTAGGGAGGGAACGGGGCACCTCCGGCTGCCGGCGATGGCTGCCGTTGGGCAGGCCTTGTGTTGCAGCAGCAGTAGCTGCGGAGGAATCGATGCTCACGCGCGCGGGCGAAGCTTCGCGACTCGCGACGGTGGTCGACACTCTCTTCTTCTTCTTCGTCAGGCCCAGCGGCGCCCGCCGATTTGCCGACTGCGCTGCGTTGCGGAGTCGGAGCCAAATGATTTCTGGACCCGAGTCCAGAAGGCCTGGCGCGTTTTGACCGGCACCACGTCTGAGGTGAGTCCCTCCCTCCCTCCCTCCCTCCCTCCCTTGTGACGCATGACGTCTGTCTCGCCAAATCGACGAGAAATCGATAGATTGTGCCTCCGACCCTGCAGCTTTTATCGTCGATTTCCAAGGGTACCCGCATTGATGGAGGACACCCAGGGGGCGGAATTCTCTGCAGTTGACTCGAAGATTAATCTCTAAGAGTTGGTACTTGGGCGACGAACAGGTTCTTAGCCGAGTAACGCGTAGACATTCGGCAAATCTGTTTCAGGGTTGAAATTCGAATTGCAGCTTCTATCGGCAGGCAGTGTGTTCAGCCGGACCGTGTTAGGCCGATGCCCTCCCACTGCTAAAGAGGACGCAGTTTCTCACTGCTCGTGCCTCATCTTTGGTGCTTGCGGTGTGTGCTGGTGATAACGTTGTGGGCTGAAGGAGTCCGGTTTATAGTCATCCAGAGACAACAGGCCAGATGTGTGTGCTGATTTTCAAGAATTGTCGAATTTGTTTGCCCTCGAGGTGTTTTGAACGTTTGGTACAGAATCGTGTTGGAATTTGTAACATGGGCGAGATCCTTACTGGCTGTCATGGGAGGTTTTGCAGCGACAACGCGTGAAACAAAGGTTCAACAATTTGCTTGTAAGGGACCGCGGGTTCAGCTCGACCAATCTTGCTCGACTTTACAATGTGGTATGACTTTTTGTTCTCTCTTTGCATGATTGACCGTCGTCATTCAGTGTAATGCCTTCGCATCGGCTTGCCTGAAGAGAGATAGAGTGGTTACGGGTTCAGACAATTGACTGTAGACTCGTTTCATGTTTCTTTGCATCCTAGCATTTCGACCGTCATCTCATGCTGCTGCTCAACTATCTATCGTACAGGCCAAAGGAGCCATTGAACAACACGTCGACCTCGAGCCAGATGAAGAAGCAGAGGTAGAAGATTGTGTTCTGCGATATCTGATGTTCGTGTGTGAAGCGAGATTATGAGACCCATTATCTACCCTGGTTGAAATTGTGCTTGAAAGTAAGAGTGGGTTGTTGAGTGTAGAAATATTGTCGTAAGTGATCATCACATCGTGGGCTTGTAGGTGGTGACAGCATATGTGGAAAGAGTTGGAGAGTTGAGACTCGACTTCCGAGTGAAAAGAGTTAAGAGTATACTTGCTGATGAACCATACGCTGGGGTTCCCATGTCCATCTCAGAAATTGGGATGAAATCTGAGGGAAGTGAGTTGGGCTCGGCGGAGAAGAGGGACGAAAAGGTACAAGATCACCAGACGTACGAACATCAGGTGGATGCGAATCCGAGTGCCGTTGCTCCTGACCTAGAATTCGATCGTGTACTACAATCGTCGTCTGACCCGCAATCTCTTTCGTCTGTGTCCATCATAGAAGAGAGCGCAAGGACGGCTGTCGAGGTGGAGAGATGATGACTGTCACTCATGTAATTTATTAGTGGAACGTGGCACATCACTTTGTTATACCCGAAAAGGAAATTGGGATAGAAATGTAGGTTGCGCGAGAAAGTAGATTTTGTCATATCATAACATTCGATGCGTGTCTTGGAGTGACAGAGTGTTACAGATGCATACAATCGTTTCACTTTTTTTTCAAAACGACGACTGTTCGGAAGATGTGCAAGTGAAAGAGGTATGGATTATTAATATGTTACTTATTGGCACAAATTTGCAATCCATTTTTAACTGCAGACAATCTTTCATCACAATAAACTTTGTTGCATGATTTGGACAATAGATTATCGGTTTTAGTTTCTCATCGTCGATATCTATCATCTAAATACATACCAAGTGAAAAAATTGTCCATCTATATTTTTTCACTTAGATGTGCACTGTCAACTAGGGTTTAAACTATAAAATCCTCGAGATCTTTAAGTTTACAGTGTCAAACTGTTAAAAATAACGACAGATGGAATAGCATCTCGCATTGTAAATTGTCAATCTCATTCAGCCGCGTCCACCAGAACATTCAGTCGCGTGCACAAAAACTTTTTACAAAGACAGGTAATTTTGTTGTATCCTACCACTTCAGTCACGCTGTCTACTTCTCTGGCGCCGTGAGTGGACTAATGTGGCTAATCTGTACAACTGTGGAAATCCATTTACATGCAGAAGATCACGTCCTACTCTTTACTCTGTTACACATTCTGGAAATTTTCCTCAGTCAGTATGGATGCGTTAAAAGTGTGCACACTGACAAAGAGTATAATTTATAGTTTCGCCATGAAACTTCTGGATACATGACTTGAGTCTGGTCACAAGCTAATAGTGAGAAAGCGAGATTTCAGAACAAATAATTGTTTTATTTCAACAATACCACTTTCACCTTGACAGTGTGCGTATCTGTTGTTTGTTGCTATCTTGTTGGTTGTCAGGAAGGAAATATGTTTTGAGCTTCCTCCAGCCAGGCAAAATAAGCTTTTTGATCAAATAAAATAAAGTAAACCTGGCACATATCGAGATAAGTGTCAAGTGTCAAAACTTCGAGGAGGTGTCGTGAAAAGAAATGAGGAAAAAAGATAAACTTGAAGACAAAATATTACATTTGAGAATGACAACACTCTTGACAATGCTACCAACATGATACTCAAAAGGCAAGTTGAAACTGTAGAGTTTGCAGCTATTAACATATTATCATAATGGTAATTTTGGCTGAATAAAAATATTCCGTCACGCCTTCCCGTTCAAAACTGCGAATCTTTAAGTACAACATCGTTCAAAACTAAGTTCGAAAGATGAAAAGGTTTGAAGGTAATCACCTCATCCAAACCTGCGCAATTTTCTCTCACAGCATTCAACGCGATAACTGACGCTTCATCAACCGGGTATCTGTGGATCAAAATCATATAGCAGGATGCATCATCAGATACGCTCAAGATCATCGGCACTGCTTGACTCAGTGTGTCAGAATGCTTTAACTCAGAATGAAGCTTACGATCGTTCTCGCTCATTGGACAAATCCAAATCCACATCTTCTGACGTTTTGCAGCATTCTCCAAACAAAAAGGTTCGAGGCACGGTCCCCAACAAATCTTACCCATATACACCACACGAAATAGCAGGAAAAGCGATGTACTTCACGCCACTTTGAACGGCAAGGGCCAACGAATTCCTGCCAATAAAAGCAACGTCGGAATGCCTCGGTTTACAAATGATTACAGAAATGATGTCGGAAGGAGGATTTGAGACCAAGATTCAAGGTTGGGCAAGAAACCTGTACAACATGGATCAGATAATGACAAGATCTTACAATGGGTAAGAACTTTAATTCCAGGTTTAGAGCATCGTACCTGTACGCGTTCCTTAATTGTTCCTCCGCGTTCTTATTGCCTGGATATATAGGTCCAACTGTGTGTATGACTTTCGAGGCTTTCAGTTTGCATCCGCTGCTTTGCATGCAAAACAGCTGTACGTTAAAACAAGGACATTGCTCGAGGCAATCGAAAAAGTACTCCCGGTAGTACCACAAACGAATGATTTGAAAAGAGGTTCCTAAACGGATGACGACGAGATGCCGAACCTCGTAATTCTAGCTTCACCAGTCGGGCAGCGAACATTACGAGCCACCTCGGGAATTGTTAAGCATTCTTTCCTCAGTGCCGGGCCCGCATTGTCGTGAATGGCTGCACATCGTCGTTCACTGAGACAGCGTCCCAATTGCAACCATCTTTGAAATGAATGTGTCAAATTGAAAACAGGCACAATTTGACTCGACAACTATAGCTACAGATCATGCTTAACCGCGTACCTCCGTCCACCCCTCCACCCCCCAACATTCTCGGATTGGCCGCGTTGACCTGAAGGTACGACGACCACGAGAGTGATCAGTTGAAAATCCGTTCCACAGCACGACAGGTGTGCAACAGAGGGCCAAAGTTGCCGATGAATTAACGAGGATGATACTATCTCGTGAGCAAGGCTGTGAACATAGACGAATTGAAAGCGGGCAAGGCCATGTGTGAAGATGATGGGAACGTACAATCGCATCGGTCTGGCCGTCGACGTGCCACTTGGTGATATCCCCTCGCTGAAGCACGAGCTTGCAGGTCTCCGACAGCGGGAAGCAGTTCCCTCGTTCTCTCTTCATCGCGGCAGGAGCATCCTCCCGCGATTCCATGGATCGAGAGCCCGTAAAATATGGAGCCCAACGATGCATCGTCGCTGCGAGACGCCAAGAATTCAGCTTGTGCAAAGACGGTGTTCGAAAATCCGAGAGATAGCTCGTCGCAGGACAGAATAGCCTAGGGCAGCAAGAAGCCGCAGAAACCGAGCGTGAGCCGGTCACTCCAACGACGACGACGGGTGCAGTGAGCGACGACGAAATTCCAACTCGAGCGAAAAGTCCAACAGCGTGGTATGCACGGAACGCTGCAAAGGGGATCGCGCGGCACGGACCCAGCATCGGTCAGAGAGTCGATCCGATTTCAACTCCAATCGTCACCTCGTGGGAGCGTTCTCGTAAAGACGCAAATGTCAAAGCTCTGCTCGTCTCCTCCCTCGTTTCTGTATCTCTCGCTCGGGTCCACAAGAGTCCAGCGCCTGTCGCATGACAACTGCTCGCACTCATGTCGCATTCCGCGGACAGTACAAACCTCGGACTAACCAGAGACACCGAGGCTTCGACCGGATGAGCTTCGGATCACCTTGCGAATCGTTCGTTTTGTGTCGCGCTAGTTTTACTTTTGCTTAGATAACCCCAACCGTATGTCATCCGGGCTCACGGCAATATATTTTTGGCTAGATAACCCCAACCTTATGCCATCCATGCCAGAGCAAACTTGTATCACCGTCACCCAGGGTTTCGCGTTTTGCGACATCGACGAGGCTGTCCGGACTTTTCGTGCTACGTTTCTTGGAACGCACCTTCCGATTGGCGATGGCGGAGTAACCTAGGTTAGAACCTTTGGTTTTCCCTCAGCATGGAGTTATAAAGTTGGGGTCAAACATGAGACCCAGACAGAAGAGCCAGACACAAATTTAAATAGCACTTTGTGTCCACATAGAGGCACACATTATAGGAAGAGAACCTAGATAGAAGAGTATCTGCAAGATTTGTGGGAGTCGAGTCTGCCCTATATGTTCGTCGCAGTCGATGGCTTCGTGCCTATTGGAGAAATGTGAACTAGAGGAGTAGCACTAGAGTTTGCATGTTGTGGTCTCATAAGCTTGATGCGGCGTTGCACAATTTCTGTTTCTTCTCGTTCGATTCCATGAAGTTCGAAGTTTGTTGTTCGAGTTTTTTCTTTTAGAGAGAGCTTCCGTTAGGTCTTAGACAAATATCTTTTAAAATGTATGTATTTCGACGCAGCTCTGGAGCTTGAGGGAAGAAGAGTTGTCTAACCAGTCCAACACCTCGTATAGAGACTGGTGACTAGTGGAGAGCATGTATCTTAAACCACATGAGTCATCCCTCCCTACAAAATATCACAACCTGTGCAATGCTCGCATGTTATCCACCTTTCTTGTCAATCAAAATAGGAGAACAAAGATGCAGAGCAGATAAACTGATTTTGGTGTCCCAAGACATTTGGTCCGGTCCTTGCATTGTCATAATATTACACCTGTGTCCTATCGTCAGTGAGGTCGAAGTGGTATAAGAAAAGTTGGGATGTAGTTGATAGCTGAAGAGTCAACACTTCGACAGTTGGAAACGATCAGCAAAAGGACATGAACTTCCCTAGAGTTGATATATATGGAAGTTACTTTTCTCGCTCGTGCAACAAATTCATGCTTACGGGATAAAAATTTGATTACTATTATGTTAAAGCTTTTATAGAAGATAGATCTAATGATCGCTTGACGAAAGAGCCTTCAAAAGCTATAAGCATCTCAATCAGTAGAGATAGACGACACGATTGATTAGTATAATGTCAAACATCCTTCTACACCAGATCGCTGTACCGACCATAAAATATAGATCAATAAGATGTAGATTCGACTATCTGATTAGTATGTCTAGATATCCATATTTCTCGAAGCCACATCCTGAGCATGCAGAGCTTTGGAGAGAAGACAGGTCTACGTCATCAAAAATTTGAATTGAACTGATTTGATTTGATAAGTCTCATGCTTTTGAATACAAAACTTTGCAGGAGAGGAGACACATCGTTTAGTGGTTGCTACTTGATGCAAAGTTGGGACGGATTTGAAGAAAACTGGACGGACTTGAGGCGAGGTGAGGTGAGCCACAAGCAAGGCGAGTTCAGCCATGGACAATTTAACTCTGCCATGATTGTTCATGTTCCTGAACCCCAGCTCAGGAACAGATTAAGACCAAGCGCCTGTGCGCTTGATGGTGATACCGCAGACTGATGGACTGTGGTAGTCGACACGTGTCTTACATCGACTACCCATGTGTCTAATTTGTACACTAGAGGATGCGCACTCGATGGGTGAATTCTTCAGTAGACGGTGACAAAAAGAAAAACCGTCACGACGGTGACCGTATGACTTCAGCCCACAGGCATACGGTCGACGTTGTTCTAGCCTGCAGTCTCGTTATCCCTTTTATATCCTACACCTGATACCCTAAACCCTGACCTCTGGTACTACTGCTCCCTCCAGGATAGTCAGCTCTGGAAGCATGTGCTGACGTGCCATGCTAACCCGGTCAAGGGTCGGCATGTGCGTGAGTGCCATGCCATGCCATGCGAAGCAGGTCCAGGTGTCGGCATGTGCGTGACTGCCGTGCCATGCGAAGCCGGTCGATGGCGCAAACTGCTCGAGTAAAAAAAGAACATCCGCGGCGTCCATTTGCCGTCGGAGGCAAGCAAAATCGGTACAACACCATGCCATCGATTCCTTGAAAGAGTGAGCTCAGAACGAACTTCCACTTGCTGGACAATCCATGCGAGGGAGGCGAACATTGTACACCGTAGATGCTTCTCAAGTAACTCCTTAACAACGTGGAAATTCACGAACACAGACAGTGACTGAATTACTGAATTTAAGCTTGACTTGTATTCAAGAAGTTTATATTACAGTCGGATAATGTGGCTGATATGTTGAGAATCTTTACATGGTCATCATGCCCATGTCTGTTTCCGGAAAGACACGAACAAGGAAAGTGTAGAGGCCACCACCCAGCAGCAACGCTCCACTGCGCACACCTCGTCCATGGGAGAAGCGCGAAATTTAGGCTTCATGATCATAATCAATACGTGAAATCAAACAAAACGTAGATACCATTGGATTGTAGAGGAAGCTTCAAATTCCATGACTTGAGGAATATGGCCGCGAATGAGAACTAGGAGATGAGAACACCAACTGACTCACTTAGACGAAGTCAGACTAACGCTCACCTTGTCGGGTTGATCCAAGCTGAATACTTGCGCAAAGACATCAGTTGCTGCACAGGTAAGTTGGAATAACTTTAACACGCGGTGAATTAAGGTATCCCGAACGTGATAGCAATGGAAGAGGGGATGAAAAAATGGAGATATTTATGAATCCACATCGAACCAGCACAATATGGACTCGAGGAAGAAAGTTTTCAGAAACTGAACTTACTTGAATTGCACCGGCCAATGAAGCAGCCGCAAGGAGAGGTGCAACATAACCGCATGTATACGCTAGAAGCAGAGACCCTCCAATCACGGGATCCTGTTAATGACAACAGAGCAAGGTCTGTAAAACTTCTATTGACTAATTCAGTCACGCGCACCCAACTCAATAAAAAAAACAAAACGCACACTGTGACGCATCCCTCGAGACTTGGTCGATGTTCATAACGCAAGTAACTAACTACATCTAATTTCTTTAACGAGGATGGCGATCATTGATCTCTTACAACGTCCCAATGAGCATTGGACATAGACATATCGGTAACTAAATTTCGTGCTAGACAGCAACCTGGGTGAAAAGGCTTGACCAAAGAGCTGTACTATATAGTACTTCAATGACATACCCTGCACAAGGCTTGAATATAGATCACATCCGGCTTTCAAGACTTTTAAATGGTGGTAGATTTATCGCAGAGTGAACTTCTTGCCGGGTCATCGATGTTATCCTTTGTTGTTAATTATCAATGATCAAAAAGAATTTCGATACACAGATGCCTCGAATAAGGTTGAGACAAAACTAACTGAAAGACGGTTCTTAAAAAGCCAGGTTGTACTGGTTTGAGAAAGAAACCCACCTGAGAAGTAGCTACATAGCCAAGCAAGGAAGCAAGTACAGGTGTACTACAGGGAGAAGCCGCGAGCGCGAAAGTCAAACCGGCTAGATATGCTTGAACACCTGCATTAAGGACAGCGATAGAGCCGAGTTAAAACCCCGTACTTGACTTCACCGCCCAGATGACAACACCTCCCAAAAAAGACTAATGGATAGGGTACAAGCACAGCATCGTACTGGTAGGTAGATTTGCTGCTGCAGCTTTCGGATCAAAATCGCCGAAGAAGGATGGTAGCTGCAGCTCAATAATCTGCCAAAGCAAAGCAATGAAAGTCCTGGTGAGAGAAGTCCTTGCAGAACGGAGCCTGAAGCTTGTCTGGATGATCACTGTCCAACATCATCGATCAGACTCGCTGCAGTGGCAACCTTGGCAGGGCTGATCTCTACTAGTTCGACACATCAAGGCGGCGTACTAAGCATATTTTCTTTTATTATCATGTCTGACTAAAGCGGACGCGTCCTCTTTAGTCAGATATGCCAACAGCTAAGCAAAGCTCATCACAAGGATCAAAAGAATTCATATCAATCCACCCATGAAGGATATACATACCTCCAACAAATTTAGACCCATAACCATGGCAACGCAGGACACAGCCACCGGCAGACCTTGCCCAACTTGACCGTAGGCTTTGCCAGCCAGTGACGCCGCGACTCCGAGAAGAGCTAGAGTCGTGGCCAGGCCTAGGGAGAATGAGAGGGAGTCCACAATTTTCTGTAGCCTCCACGAGAAACGAGTTAGGTGCATCCAAACCTATCGAGAAGCAGCTAAATTCGATAAAAAGCAAGTAATTGTCATGAACAAGAGCAAAACATGAAAAATGGGCACCTGTGTCCGACTCTTTCCAGGACCTGAAGCCCCTGCAAATTTCAAGACATGCTTGATTCATTATGCCTATAAATCTTGTGCCTGATAAGACGTCCAAAGAACTGCCTTCTCATGAAGACTAAACGTTTCTTACTGAACAAAAAGTCCGACGAAAGCAAAAGTCTCGGCCACAAATTGTTCGCATATTAGGCTCTTACCGATATAGCCGAGGGTCAGAGGCAGAACACTGAGGGTGCATGGGGACAAACTCGTAATCAATCCAGCTCCGAAAATGATAGCCACACTGCCAGTCAGAAGTCAGCCGTTAATCCAGAGTCGAATTACAAGTTCAGATCAATTTCGGGAGTATTGAAGAGTGGCAGAACGCGTGCCGGTGCGCGACAGGAGAGATACCTAGCTGGCCCGAGCGCAGTCAACTGATTCTGCACAACTTCATTAGCATCTTGTCCGGCGCTGTAGAGGAGATTGCTGAAAGATTCGACCACAGACTCCTGAGCGAGCACTGCAATCAGCGAGTGATGGTCGACTCCGGATTGCGCCTGGGCCTGCAATTCGCCAGCCACCGATTGCGCCTCAGCGAGACAGAATTCGAAGGAATCGTCAAGCCACAGAGCACAACGCAAAGCGGGAATCGAGAGTGGAGGCAGACCAGGTGCACGAGAGGGCCGAGCGCGGCCACGGAGCCGCGGGCGCACAACCGTTGAGGCGGTGCAGGTGCGCGTCGGGGCCGCGGAAGCGCAAGCGGAAGCGGTGCTCGCAGCACGAAGGCCCGCGCGCAGAGAGCCATTTCCTGCAGCAGAATTGCGAATTCGCGCGTTCGGAATCTTCAGATAGCATCCATCGACCTCCCTCCGACGCCCAAGGCTGGCCTGCCTTCCTGGAGCAGAGCGAAAGGCGCCCGCCAGTGGCTGGCGCCATTCGCGTACACGAGTCCCATGGACAAAGCCACCCATCGGGCGGGCCTCTCGGCCACCGGCCACCACCGGCAAGGGACTCACCGCCCTTCGTGAACATTCGAATCTTCGGGTTTCTTCACGACGTCCGACCTGGACTACCGGTCAGTCTCGGGCACGAGGGAGAGACCACAAAGGCGCCTTGAATGTGACTCTGTCCGTTCTTTGACAGCATCACGACTCTTTGCGAGACGGGAGAACTCTTATGACTTTCTTGGACTTGGACATATGTTCGGGATCGACTTCATATTTATCAATTTTCATCGCTCGGAGTTGATACGAAGGCATTTGGAGTTGTCCAGCTCATCAAGAGCGACTCATAAATCATATACAGGCCTCACGGAAATGATACAATATCTGAGAAATGGCTCATTATGGCCTCTTTTGTAGAAAGTGTTTGTGAACAAGCTCATGCACATGCCGGGAGCGACGGAGCGAGGGAATGAAGAGGATAATGACTTCATACTCCCACATGTCGTCCTTGGCCAAATACTTCTCCACGAACGAACCGGAGAGGCGAAAAGAGGTGCATAATTTGAGGATGAGGTTTATGTAATTTTCTGAATTTGGGTTTCCATGCCATAGCCTTGATATGGCAGGAGGTTATGATGTTCTTTTGGCCCTTGATGTGCCCACACGTACTTGCATTTGCAGTAAAGATGACAATGGTCAATGCTCTCTTGGAAATGATGAAGGCACGTCTTCCTCGTCCTTGACAAACTCGCCGATGCTTCTTTCTATTCGGAGGCGGAATGCATTAGTCCATTTGAGCATCAACTTATCTATGATGCTCACATTTTTCAATCGGGCGAGGAGGAATTCGCCACATTTTGGCTGGCTGAAGTTGGAGAGAGAGAAAAGACTTGAAACGTGGAAAATAATCCGATGCCCACGGACCGCACGCGCTCGTGATCAGCTCTGCGCCTCGTGCTGGGAAAAAGGGGCAGAAGAAAAGCTTCCCAATAAGAACCGGACGAGTTTCCTGGAATGGCGCAGAACTATCTATACTCTGTATAGAATAGTCAGTGGTCATGCTGAATGGATAACACGACACTCGCGCCAAAATAGTTCGCACGAAGCCCAGGCATGAAACAGCGTCGGGAATTGAATATGACAGAAAGAAGCGCTGTGGTGATGCATCCATCCGCGACAAGCCGTCTCGGATGGCAGGCAGGCAGCAGGCGGGGCAGCAGTCGACAAGACATGACGCGGTGATGCTTGGGTCGGAGAAAGAAGCGGGGGAGAAGTGAGTTCTGTCGATCCGCTTGTCCTTGTACGAGGAGGCGATGAACGGCTGCTAGCGAGCGCGCGAGACCAGGGCCCAGGGCGGACTGGTGATCGGATCCCAGCCAAGACCGAGCCGACCCGAGGTCTGCAGAGCGATTCCGACAGCGCAGTGTTGAGTTGCAGGACGGCAGCAGTGGAGAGATCGAGAGCTCATCTGCCTCTGTCCTTCCGCGTTGCCAGCGGAGAGTCGCATCCCTCGCACCAGTTTCTTTCTGCCCGGGACTTCCTATGATAGTCTGCTTCTTGCGGAGTCCGATTCTGGAGGGAGAGGTAGCGGGCGAGTGCCGGGCGTCAAATCTTCTCTCCTTGGACCACCGAAACGACTTACACGGACCGCAGTAGACAGCGAGGTGGCCGCGGAACTTGCCAACGATCTATGTTCGTGAGCCGATTTGAATGGGACAGCGCAGTGAGAGGTTTTCTTTCGGGGGTGAATGTCGCGGTTGGCGCGACTTCTGAGAGATGGAGAGCCCATCGGAAGACACTGACCCTCTAGGCATTTGTTTCCGCAAGTGAATTCCGCGCTGGGAAGGGACGATGAGGAGGAATTTTGTGAATATTAGTCAGGGCGAGGAGAAGGGGCGACCGGGGAATATGCTCCCTTTTGTCTCCTCAATCCTTCTCCTTGTTCGAAAGCTGCCAGAATGGGTTTCCAGGCCGGGGAATTCGCGCGCATCCACCGAATTGGGGAACAGATTTTGCTTGTGTGTACCTGGTTGCAAAAGGAGGGCAATGATTGCAGGAGCTTTAGCGTGGGTGGTGCTGGTGTGCGTGTTGCTGGAAAGTACTGTTGCTGTTAGGCCACTGAAGGAGAAAGGTTTGGGAATTGAGCACTCTCCGCTGCTCGACCAGGTTTGTCCTCTCACGCAATTTGATCTGTAGTATTGTTGTCTGCTGAGACGGTTGGTGATCAAACAGGAAGTTTTCCCCTTTTCTTCTGAATACATTCCCGGCCACCATTCAAGCAGCGAGCCTTAGGCTTGTGAAATCAATCAAACTCTCGTGGGCTCATTGTGGCAATCGGGACGAAGTCGTGGCGTTTCGACGGTTTATTCAAGCGTTGGCCACGAGGAGGCTGTTCAAGGGGTAGCTCAAGGCTCTTCGCTTTTGCCCTTTTCCTGAGAGTTCTCGCCAGTTGCGAGTTGCAGTAATTGGACTATGAGCCGTGTGTTAGAGTGGAGTTTATTCACCATCTGGCCAAGTTGGAACACTCTCCTTGACGTTGTGTTATGCTTTTGCTGGTTCAGAATCAGCTGAGAAGCTCTAAAACTTCTAAACCTATGCAAAAGCATGGCATCGAAAGTGTAGATTTATGGACCGGGGTAAGGAATTTTGCACGACAGGGGAGGAACATCGTAGGAAGTAGGAACTGTACTCAATGCTCAGCGCTCGAACCATTTCTTGCTCAGGGTTATCATTTCTGGGGTCGAAATCTGAAGCCTGCTGAAGCATGACAATATGCCATGAGAGCTGCGCCTGTTCTTACTTACCGGAACATAACCCTATCATTCAGACGAGCTATGCCCCTCGCAGCAGACTCTTTCTGGAGTGTAAGGAACGCAAAGTGCAGTTACGAAGATCTAGTGGGAGCTGATTATTCACAACCTATCAAGCTTTCAGTTGGTTGGTAAATTCAATATCAACTTTTTAATAAATATCAACATCACAATGAATTTGATGTAACCCCAGGAAGATTCGAGGAACGTTTGAATCTCAAGTAAGGTAGCAAGATCATCAACCGCATCCGATAGAAGCCTGAGTTATTTGAATGTGGTTCAATGGCTCGTTTCTCATTTAATCAATCAATCTTAAAGCGGATTGAAGACGCTACGAAGATACAAGAGAACATACGGTGGGAAATAAGCAGTAGCCTAAATTGAATCACAAAGACGAGGCAGAATTAGTACCTGAAAATATGGAAAGACTGGCTACCTCCCAGGCGTTACAACTTTGGGCGGTAACCCCGAGTCTATGGCCAAAGTTGTGATGCGAGAACGAGATTCATTACAATTGAGAACTAGAACAACCCTGAAGAAACTCTGTGCACTGAATTGCGAGCCTATGGAATGTGGTGCATTATGGCATGTCATAGCCAGAATCATGCATCAAGAGCTAGTGTGATTTGAGGACGAGAAGCTGGTGTTATAACAAGGGAACTAGAAGTGAAACCCATAGCCGTTTCGTTATCAGGATATAACGGAACGGGAGGCCTTCGATAGGGATGGTGAAGACGAAGCAGGGTTCTGTGTAGCTGTCATACTGCATCAGTTGTCTTTTGTGGGCTTGAATCTTACAGCCTAACAGCTGAGGTGTCATGGAAGCAGATATCAAAACACATGTTTAATTATCACTCATAGAAAGTAAAAACTGCGTTATACTTCCTAGAAGTCAAGGTAATCATGTAACTACACATTTTCAGTGTTTTGATTTCTTCTTATTGCACTGTGGTTTATTATTTATGGCAGAGGTCTCGTAGAAATGGAGCACGTTCTCTTTAGTTTAATACCGTGATTGCATATTGAGTCTTGAATGAGTGATCGAGTGCAATCGAAAGTCTACGGCCCTAAGGCGAGGAATTACTAGAAGTCAAAGCTATTTTACTTTTGACTTAATCCAAGCCCACGCCATGATAAAGCTCCGAAATTGAAGCACTGTGTGGTCATATCACTCTCTGGTCTTAAGCTCACTTTCCCCCGAGGTGAATAAGGCGAATTTAGTGATTTATGGAGTGTGTGATTAGTAATTGATGTGTCTGTTATTTCGCCTGTCTGGATTTAACGTATGATCGGTATATGTAAGGTTTTATCTGGAGGGCCCCTGTGCAAGAAACTTGTAAATTTTAGAACATGGCGAGGCAGGGTTTAGGTTACGAGGAGTTCATGTATCTGGTTTCATTTGTTTCTTGACTTGTTCTCGGGACTGTTAGTTTGGTCTGGAAGTGAAATTTATCGGCACAAAGGAGCCTAATGAATGTCTTCATAACGTTTGTAATCAGTGGCTCGTTGCGGATGGAAGTGGAGGCATGGGGCCATATCCTATGTTGAACATTTCGGGAACCTACAAGGGTAGGCATCTTCATTCAAGTTTGTCCCTGTGCAGTATATAGTTGTACTTCCTTCAGATTAATGTCAAATCCATGGTGATTTCTGGATCTGCGCTCTTAACCACGTTCTGCTCGAACATCCTCTTTACCTGAAATCCAGATCATGCTAATCGGTGGCTCCCTCTCATGTTTCTTGCTGCAGGCACTTGGTTGGTCCGAAACATAACTGCAAGGTTTTCAGACTTTCGAATGACAACGGGAAACATCATATTTGAGCTTACAAGCTCACCTACCGATCTACGGGGTGTTCACTATGTCCAAGTAGGTACCCACTTTGGTAATCTTATTATGAGAGGTAGTATACAAGGATGTGCTCTTATCACTCTTGATTCAATAAGGATTCTTGTATCCTTGCTAAAACCTGGAAAGCAGTTGCTTATTACACCTGTATTCATCAGTACTTGCCTGTCATAGCTTAAAGACACTAGACCCTGGCTAAGCGTTTAACTGATTTGCTTGTACACTATCCTGTCTTACCACACTTGGTGAGTCGATTGGACGCTGTTACATCCTTATTCTTTCTTATCTTACAGTTAGTTTAGTTACCTCTGATCCTGATATGCATGCACTCCAGGGCGAGGTTGTTCTTCAAGACGGAACATATCGTAGCGACGGCGACCTGCAAATGAAGATGGAAGGAGTGTATGTGTGGCCGTTTCGGCAACTGCGGATGGTTTTAAGCAAGTCTGTCCGTTCTCACCTTTAATCCTCTATAAGTTTTTTTCTAGAATTCTCACTCTCCCGCTTATAAGCCATGTATCCAAGTTAAAATATATCTTATTTCCCCAGTCCCCTGATTTTATGTAGCATCTCCTACTTCAAGAAGTAAATAGGCTATTGATATTCTAGCCAGAAAGATACTCCTTCGGGGATCTTGCAATAGCTGTTCTATCGAGCTTATACAAGCTGCTAATAAGCTGCTTTTCGTTGTGTGCTACCTTCCGTACTCGTCACAGCGCCTTGGATAGTGACTTGAAAGTTGCAGATGATCTATCGCAAGCGAGCCCCTACCATCTGGTAAGAGTCCTCTTTGCTTTGTTGTGAATTGGTATCAATATATGCATGATTTGAATGTGGATAGCTTCTTTGTGGCTCATGAGTTTATATCGGAGTTTGCAGACTGGTCCAATATCGATACACAATCGTTTACATAGATCTCATGCGTTACAGAAGTAGATCTTACCTCGTGAGACAAGAAATTAAGAATCTTCATTGACAGTCATGAACATTGTTCAGTTGTCATAGACATGATGTTCTTGCTGTTGCTGCTGTTTTACTCCGTCCCGAATCGAGCTTCGTAAAGATTGTTTCGCTCTTTTCTATGGAGATTACTCAAGAAGATATCAATTTGATCACTTCAAACAGTACGTTATATGCACCGTAGTACGTAAATGTACTAATTCCTAAACGTAGATCGCGTTTACTTCTAAGGAAGGACCCTGGCATGTTAAGCTACCAACTGAAGAAGGAAATATCAGCAAGAAAAGCGTTTTCGTAATTGGAATTGACGTAGGTTCTCGCGCAAGGCAACAGAAGTGACTAGAGGAGGAACACCCGAGACTCTAGATTTTCATTTCAATACACTTAAGGATTGCAAGCATAAGAGTACTTTCAGCATCTGCATAGATTGGAAGTAATTTGTGCAAGCTATGAAATACACAAAGCAATAAAGAGTAATCTGGACGCGTGGAATATGGCATCATGTGATGCTTGGAATGGTCTGTTCTGTTGTCGAAGTAGTATATAGGATTGTTGTAACTGCTGCAGCAGGCAAAAGCTGTTGAACGTGACAGAACGAGTCATCAAACCACAGATATGAAGGTCAAATGGTAGGAAATGTGATAGGTTAACCCTCTATGCAGATTCAAATCTGTGAAGAGTAGCATAACATATTAGTTAACATAACATATTGTTAGTCCTGTTTGGACCAACAAATTTGAAATTTGTTAGTCCAAACAGGACTTCGACATGTGCTAATTCTGGATGTTTGCTATATAATCGTAGTTCGTTCTAATATAGGTGTATTAGAAGAAGTAATGTTGAACTTTTCCATCTGACTTGTATTGGCGTGCTCGTTTCTGATGAATGCAGCTCGGCATGTTCTCGTCGCAGGTGTTGCAAGATTCTTCTAGAGATCGTGTCCGAAGGAATGGGAGAAGTTGTACGTTGTTGAACTCTTGCCGCTTTACATGGTTGCTTAGTATCTGAGTCAGATAGATTTCATGGCACATGTTCATACGAGATCCCTTTCTCGAATGCTATTTGCGTTTAAACTGCTTAATGTTATATTAAAATGCATGGAAGGGACGTGTTGCCAACCTTCTTTTTAAAAGAAAAAAAAAAAATCTTTATATGAAAAGAAATCGGAATACTCTAGTATAAACTCTAAAGCGAAGATCAGATGTGAGAACGATGGTTTATCTGAAAGAAGTTCTTACAACCAAGCTCAATCCACTTTGAGAAAGAAAAAGTAAATAGAATGTCTTTATATTTAAGCAGATTGGAATCATCCGTTCTACTCAATTTCGGGGTTTCTTTTTTGTATCAAAGTCTTGGTTTATGCGGTTAAAGAGAAGACATGGCTATCTTCAGCAGATATTGAGAAGCATAGCTTTTGAAGGTCAGTGTTTGTGACTGCAGCTAATAATTTTGTGTCATCAGCTAGCATGGCGGAAATGGGAAAGCATTGCAAAATCCAAATGGTGACACAAATATCTGCCGTTGTCTCCGACTATAAAAGTAAGTCGTGAGAAAAGTTTACTTGCATGCATGACCTTTCAATGCCTAAACTTTGTACAGCAACGTCGGAGTTTTTAAAGGAATGGTTTTGAGATTCGATCCGAGCTCAGTATCTTCCACAGATGTCGGAAATGTATTCAGAGCATTAAACATAGAACTGGTCCGGCAAACTTTCAGCTCACAGGGCAGTTGGAGTTTTGCGCGTCATTGTATTGTATTGATCCATTTCAACAAATTGGTACTTTTGAATCTGGCAAAGAATAAGCCAATCAAAATGTTCGGTTTTTTTTTGACGTGGTTCATTGTTATTGGATAGAACGCTTCGTTTGTTCACAAGCGAACGCTGATCGCTGATTGCTGATTGTTGATTGCGAGACGTGTCTTCATTCTATTTTTCTATCAAACTGACGCAGGTGGGGAGCGGGAACACCAGGTGTGTGAGATGCAGGGACTTATGGAAGGTCCCATGATCGATGATGATGGAGAATGCTTCTCCCCACTGACAGTAAACGCCACGTCAGTCAACGTTGAAGTTTACTATAATAAAGCGGTCAACTACACGTTGATGGTCACATTTGTATCCTTAAATTTGTTGTAGCTTTTTAGATTCCTATAGAGATGTTTCAATGAGGTGTACTACATAGTCAACTGCGCGTATCCGCAATTTTGCATGATGTGGAAACACTTTATTGAACTCACTTGTGGATCTTAATTTCGGGCCCGCTGATTGTCATGGTCGACAAGATTACGTTTCTTGCGTACTAGGACCAAACATTCACACTTCAGAAAGTCCTACATTCAGTTGAACTTTGACGCTTATGCCAGATTTCCTTCCTTCAAGTTCTCTTCTTGATCCGTCAAATGGAACACAGCAACACTCAGTCGGTAAATGCGTAACTTTTCACGTCGACAAGGTTGACAATTTTTACTTGTGATGTTGATGAATGCCTCAGTTCCGAAAGTAGGTGGAGACCAATAGAAAACTTCGACATTTTTGTCCATCAGAACACACATGGTTTTGGTCATCGTCCTTCGGAAGCTTGTCTCAGTCAAAGCGGATTGAATTAGACGTAATAAACTGATGTTTTGTATTCGAACTTCATGTTGAATGAGAACACTGATCTTATCCTTGTAGAACAGTATGATAAAAGGAAGCCTTTGTGATAGTAAATGGAGTCGGAGATTCTATCGTAGAGCATGTTTAGCTGTCATAAAAATGTAACAAGTGACACCTTATATTCTCATCAATTGCCGACCTGAATGCAATGTGCAGGGTGCCGCCAAAGTTTCTTTGTTGATGATTGGACAACAAGCCATCATGGATGCGTACTTGTGTCTTCTGCATCTTACTGCTGGTATTCTTGTAGGTAAGCACTATATCAGTTGCCAAAGGCTGAATTTTTTGAACGTTTACTGATCTGACAGTGAAGGGGTTTAGTCACATTCATAAACTTCAAATTTTGGTTTTGATTAGCTTGTTCGTAAGAAAGTGAGGAGTTAAGGCCGTAGTTACTGTCGGTTTAAAATGGCGGCTACCTACGTACGACTATTCAAGTTTCGTAAATCCAGATGCTCATACTGACTACAAACTTTGTATTACCAGAATCGCTGTTTAATGCTTTTGCAACTGCGGCTTTTTTCAAATTCGTCATATTCTCCATCTTTGAGATGCGTTATTTGCTCGCAATTTGGAAAGCAAGAAGGCCAGTCAATTCTGGAGAGGGCTGGGAAGCCATGCGTCGTGAACTCTCTGTTCTTTATTCTCGCTTTTGTAAGTTTTCTCGTTGATTTCTTTTTGGATGATATGACGATGACAAGTGTTTGCCTAGTCAACCAGATGGGTTCAAGAGATTGCTTGATACGGTAGCCTAGGGTGGGATTCACCCTCTTTATGGAAATAGATTCGGTAGAGAGCGAACTATTTGCACCTGGAAATTCAGGCGTGAACCTTTACACTGGATCTGCTCTGGTGAGGAACGTTTTACAGCATGGACCTTAGTCCACGAAATCGAATCAACCTTTGCTTAGGTGTAGTAGCAGTGTAGGAAAGGCAGCTTGGAATGGTTCACATGTCCTTCTTTAGGAAAGGCATGTTGAACCATTTGTTTCGATGACTTGTGTATGAAAGCAGAGTTGTGACAGTAAGTGCCCCCTCAGCTTTTATTGTTGAATCATTTCGAATGTGGTCATGGTTGCAGATGGCTTCTTATTAGGTGGCATACTTATCATGTATGAGCTACACAGCATGCTGCGGTACATATTGATTCTTTTCTACTCTTTCTGGATCCCACAAATCGTAGCGAATGTGGTTCGTGATTCGCGGAAGCCCCTACACCCTCACTATATCTTGGGGATGACTGTCACCCGGCTGGCAATTCCCTTGTACACTTTTGGGTGCCCTAACAATTTCATGAGAGTGGAAACCAGTTTCAGTTGGTGTATTGGCCTCATTGCATTCATGTTTTCGCAAGCTGCTGTCCTTCTTCTTCAGCATTATATGGGTGCACGATGCTTCATTCCCCGCCAGGTTCGTTGGCATCCTTTTCATTCACTTCGCTTCATACTAATTTAATTACACGAGTAAAGTACTAGGTTGTGAATTATACTCGCTTGCTTGTAAGTCAATGAATCCTCCTTTTCAGGGACCACTAGTTACGTCATTTTGCATAGTTTTTTTTTACAGTAAACCTCAAAGCTTTAAAAGGTGTAACTGTTGGATAAGTGGAAATTTGGCTCTAACTCCAGTGGTTCTCTTTACAGTGTCTACCTGAGAAGTATTGTTATTACCGAAGAGTGGACCGATCATCCTTAGCTCCAGGAGGAGAAGACGAGATTCTTGTAGTTGATTGCGTCATCTGCATGGCTGCTGTGGACATGGCAGGTCGCTCAACAGAATGCATGGTGAGACATCCTCTCTGTTTTGTGACCCAAAAGGCTTTGGACCTACAAATGAGCGATTCGTCTAATGCATCTGGAAAAATGGATATATGCCGATGACCCTATGGAAATCCTAATATCTGCTTCAATAGGACTGAATTCGGGCCTCACATTTATAGACTTGTTTACATCGACTTGATTCAGCTCTAGACATCTGTTGAGAAAGTTACCTCAAGCTACAGTTTTGCTTTGCAAATGATGCTTTGTCGAGTGGATGTGGGCACATGGTCACCCAGAGAATTTTCAGATAAATTTTTTTCTGCTTTCTTTCATCTTTTCTGCTCCCTGTCTTGATTTTACTATAATTGTTTATATACTTACTTATTTTGTATGTTTTGCGAACAGGTGACACCATGTGATCACTTTTTCCATTCAGGCTGCCTACAGCGGTGGATGGACATCAAGATGGAGTGCCCGACTTGTCGACGACCCTTGCCTCCTATGTAAAGATACTATATGTGTAATTATGGGTATGGAAGACCCTTGTCTCTGGGTAATGTCCTGAAACTCTGAGCATCTTAAAGGTTGCCCTATTCGGTAAAGTTTTAGGGCATTCACGTTGTAAAATTATCTACTCACGAGAAGTTTATATGGTAGTCTTTTGGCAGACTTGTAAGCTGTTCACACCATGTATCTAGTGCTATGATGTGATATTGTAAAGTATGCTGATGACGCCTGCGGTTTCTTCCCAAGATGTCTTGTAGCAGTCTGCAATCTTGTCTAGTGAGGGATTAGTATCCTTTGTATCATAAACAGATTTGTTGTAGATCAACACTGAGTCAATCCCCACAGTACATACTTTGTACATCGTAGTCAGTTTTGGAAGTTTGACTAGTACCAGCTAATGGAACGTCGTCTTGTCTCAAGCTGGTAAGTCATGGTTACTACTCAAGACACTAGGTAGCGATTATTATAGCGCCGTGGGAAAGATGGCATGCTAGGATGGTGAGGCCACAAGTCCTCGTGTGTCACAGAGTCATGCCCAATCCATGATCTAGCTCCCACGGCTTTCATCCTGGAAGACGGAGGACGAGTATATCTGAACTTCATTGGAGATATAACCTCATTGCGTCAGTGATGTCGGTCCTTACGAGAGGTGTTCTTGTTCCTCAACAGTTCAAAGCGCCACTCATCTTTCCCGAGTTCATGACAGGAGGTGGATAATACTCCTTGAGTTTCAACCCGTACCGCTTGACCACATCATCAGATTCGACAAATAGAAAGTCGTCTCATATGATGGTACAATGTCAGTGCTTGATACAGCTATTACAGGTTCTCGAGGTGGTGACCATCCCACTCATGATGTTTCCGCCGTCGGTCTTCGTTCTCTATGGAAAACCTATGCATTGTATTCCAGTCCGGAGTTCGGATGTCCTCCAGGGACACCCGGATGACACTGCAACTTCCATTTTGGATGATTAGGTCGACACAGACAAGAAAAAAAAAACCCCCCGATTTGTTAGACGAGTAGATCGGAAAACGGCAGTGGACTTCGTTCATATTGGCATGTCTCTTTTGATTATGTCATGACGTCTTGTTCAGCCCTTATCAGTCCATGAATGACGCGAATTTTAATTCCAGTCGGAGTTCTCTGTTTCGTAGGAGAAACAGAGTTTTGCAATGCTCACAAACTTTCTCCCGTTCTCACGCGCTGGCAAAAGTCCGAGCTTCCAAACGAGTGTGGAATTCGTACCGTAGCTTCGATTGGAAGTCCAGCACTGCAAGTAGTTAGTGCATCCGAGGAATGTGTAGGGTATGCACATTCATCGAATTACATTTCTAGTTTTGTACTGTACGTTGTGTGCTCTTATCACGCTGCCCTGGCCGCTCGCTCTCGGTCGTAGATTCTCGGACAAGATCGGCGATCGCCCACCAGCGAAACCTACAGCTGCCACTCCACCGGCGATGAAGCGAATCGCACCTTCAGGGGGACAAGGAAGTGCATTTGACTGGGATGGCAGAGTTTGCACTTATCTCGGCCACTCGTCGACTGTTCCGACCACAATCTGTTTGAATCTTGATCGAGAGATCGGTATTTAACCACCACCGGCCACTGGCTTCACGGAACAAGAGGGTGAATCAATGTCGAGGAAATTAGACTCCACTGGACGCCGTGTGACAGAATTCATTCGAGAAATTGTTCGGCCTGCCACACAACCTCCATCGACGTGTGTGCCCATCTCATACTCTTGATGAGTGCGAGTGCTGAAATGGAGTCCACTCCGAAGGCCAGGCTGCATCGTCACACCCATCCGAATGAATGTAAACGGTCGTTCTGCGTTCATGATCACAGCAAAGACAAGTTGAACAAGGGTCGCAGACCTACCGATGGTCGATCACTCAACTATCATCATACGAGGAAACACGCCAAAGACATCGAACCCCATTACATAACGACAATATCGTGCTCCCGGCTGCACGACATAGCGCTCAACCCGTGGCACAGCACGAATGTGCCGGGCTACGCCATCGCGGCCAGCACCTTCCAACTCTTCGAACACCTGCGAGAGTCGAGGCCGAACGCATGGCAGAGGCGCACGTCTCGGGCTGCCGAGGACAGACTGTTTCAGATGATGCGACGGCGACCGACGGGCAATAATTCCTTGAATTATCATCATTCTCGCAAACACGCCAAGGACATCGAACCTCATAGCTTCAAAATCCTGAAATGCGGCCGCCAGCACCACCTGCCCACGCAGCAGTGGAACGCGTCGTATCAGCCAGATTTCAAAGCGGCCACCAGCGTCCATCGACTTTTCGAGAACATCCGCGAAAGAAAACTGAAACCCAGGAACCGCCTTGTGAAGAAGAGCAGTCCTGCAGCCACCGCACGCGCTCCTTCGCCGGAGCTCTGAGGAAACGCTCCAAATGCTCCACCAGAAGGCGGGCAAGCGCACTGTCAATTTCTTGCTCGCTTACCTCGATCGATCTATGGACGGAGGGAGGGAGGGAGGGCAACCCGACATTGCAGCTTGGTGGCTGACTGACCAAACATCCATCTCTCACCGGAAATTCTTGGTCGTGCAGACGACCACCGACTCTGGCCCTGAGGCTTGCCATTTAGATTCATGTCTGCGCAGCTGTCCTCGTCCCCGTCCTCGTGGGTCAGATCTGATTCTACTATCCTATTTTGTAGTCAAGACTCCGTTTCCGGAGAATCTTCTTGGGTTAATCCCAACATGTCATGCATTTTTCGCTTCCTCTTCCATGGATTCCCAAATTTCAGCGTTTGTAGACCCGTCAGAATGTGCAATTGATTCTCCACGTAGAATTATGTCGATTTGTGCAACAATGTTTCATTAATCGAAACTGACAGAGATCAAGTGTCATAAGTCCAGAATACAGTATCTAAGTCAATTAGTGGAAAGGGTAGATTATAAAAATCAGGCATGTGCTTCATACCGTCAACCTGGATATCATGGTGTAAATAAATCCACTCAAATCATTAGAGCTTGAAGATACATGCAAGCTTAATATAGAGCGTTTTGGAGTAAAGTGAAACTACGAGGATAGAGAACCCAACATTTTGCAACATATGACCTTTCATGATCCAAGCATACTTATGGTCATGAAACTTTGCTTATCAAAGCTAAATGATTATATCTATAAACATCAGATACATCAATAATAAATCCAGTAAATATCACTCTTGCAGCGCCAGTGACTACGATATACGACAATAATAACGTTATTAGTGTATATAACTTGAGTCAAATGTATTGATATGACAATTCAGACAAATTTTAATGGTACTAAGACCATTGGTAGAAAAAGAAATTCTCCATTTTAAATCCAGATAGAAATGTTTTGGTTCATTGTGTTGTATGGGCGTCAACGAAATCATCAAGTACTATTTTTCCACATTTGAATTTATGTGTAAACCTTATCTTCTTTTGAACATTCTTTTTATATGTATATACATTTTATATGTGAAAATATCATGTTTTTTCACGTCAAGCATCCAATAATATTCATGCATTATAATAAGTGCATTATAACACTCTTTCACTCTAGAGAGTTAGTAATCAAGATAAAAAATTTCTGTATTGAAATATTTTTCTCTACAGAGTTTTGAACCTACGATATTTTATTACTTTTTTAAAGTGATTTATTTCATATGAAATTGTTGGGTTTCGATGATCACATGATTATTTCAAAATACTTACTCAAAATTTAAAAAATTTCACCAAATAAGATATCTCCAAGTGAGCTCTATCGTAAAGACCGCTTTATTTTTTAAAATAAATATGAGAGTGTATGCTTATGATTTTGAATGATTGATAACTGAATTTCATATTATGAAATTTCAGTTATCAACCATTTCAAATATAGCAATAGAGCAAGAATATTTCTATTTCGGCAATAGAGCAAGAACATTTGTGTGTCGAGATCTGAGTATGGTTAGGGTGCGAGAATGCGTATTTTTTACTTCGCCTGAAGACCGTTTGGGTAGTGCACAATGACACGAAATTCCACCAAATTTTCCGTAGTCCTCTGTTATGTCAAAAGTCGGAACAGCAAGAGGAACCTGTGAAGCTATTGAACATGGACGAAGAACAAGAGATCGGACTTGCACAGGCCAACCACCAACTCGTGCCCTCACAAATAACGAGTGTCGGGAAAAAGGACAACACTTGACAGGCAACACAGTCACGCATCTGGGAAGGCCGAAGAACTCTCTCAGAGTCCTAGCGTAAGTTCTCTCCGCTATGCGGAAGCTAAAGAACGCGAAAGATCCGCCGTGGCAACCAACCACAGTACAGACCAGACTTCGCAGAGGCAGTGGATAAAGTCAGCCGAAGTTCTGACTTGTGCTCTCGTACCGAGCCGGTGAATGTGAACCACCTCTCTCCGCATAAATGTAATGAAGTGTCTCCACAACTCGCAAGTTGTGTTGTCCTTGTGTCGTACGTCATCAGCAGAAAGCAGCTTTTGTCTTTGAACAGGAAACGCCGAACGATTTTGGTGGAGAAGATCAGCGAGCTTCACGAAGAGCCATTGCATCAAAGTCCCTGCCGGGGTTACAGCAGGACCATGGAAGAAAGACCGAGCTTTCGTTTCTCGGGATAGAAGAAGATGGTCATTACAACGATGCTCGAAAAGATGAAAGATGTACTCCAGATCTGCCACGTTCAACCACCCGCCATGGGCAGGCCGCAAGTCAATCGCGTCTGCAAATCTGGACCTTCACTCCGCATCGCACAGAAATTCGTCCCTACAAACAACGAGCAGCAGACCAACTGCTGCTCGTCAATTTCCTCGATGACACTCGCAGTCTGATCGTCTCACGGCGTCGATCTACGAGAAGCATCCGGAACCCTAATCCAGACTTCGCGTCCGTTCCCTGACGACGGGACCGACGGGACTCCTGCCCGGCTCCTCCGTCGAACACCTTTCCACTTTTGAAAATTGAAAAGGCAGCGTAACCGTCCGACTGCCGTCTACAGGCGCAACGTCCTCGTTGCACGTCTGTAGCAGTAGACTCTGTACGGCACTGTACCCGGGGGTGGCTTTGGGATTTAGTTGATCCGTCCCAAGAGTTGTTCCGTGTGAGGTACAGCGTCGTCACCCACCGTGTCACCAGTTCGCTCGCGAGGAAGGGAAACGGGAGTCTGAACTGCGTAAGGTTGAGAGTGGCTGCAGGCAGCGGACGAGCTACTACGGCGGGCAAGAGACAAACTACATCCTGGATCAGCGCGACCCAATTGAGGGCCCAACGGACATTCCCGGGGTGGGGCCGAGGCCGAGGCCCTGGGAGAACGGGGACATCGTCGCGCGAAGAGCGGGTGCGTCCGGGACTCCTCGAAGCGCCTTTGGGCTCTGGACCTTGAAGCCTTGAGGAGGCGCACCGGGACACGTCTCACCATTTGCATCGAACACCGATCGAAGGGGAAGTGAACCTCCTTTTCCTGCCCACAACAAATTTCGAGATTCAAAAATTTTAATTGAAAAGCTGGCGAGATTGCAATTTTTATTATTACATTTTAACTTCATGTGCTGCATTACATGCCCACAACAAATTCGGAGATTAATAAATTTTAATTGAAAAGATGGCGAGATTGCAATTTTTATTATTATTTTTAACTTCATGTGCTTCATTACATGCCCAAAAAAAAATTTTAGATATGGCGAGATAATAAAGATTAGATTAAAAAGATGGCGACCTTAAATTTTGTATTATTATTTTTATCTTCATGTGCTTCATTACTTCATTCAACTTTGGTGTTGAATCAAAGCAATGCTGGGGCTCTATTGGTCTGGGATAGTGTCTTGCAAACTGAATGCAAGTATCGTAACAAATGTCATTAATCAAAACGCAAGTGAAATCGAATGGTTTATGTTTTTCAGTTCATTTGGTATACGTAATCGTGTAGTCTCCTTGAACACTACCGCCTTTATCATGGCTGCATCTGAATTGACCACTTGAGTTTACTTGATCTTTGTGCACCAATAGGGTAGTTGAAAATTAGTGCTCCATGCTTCTCTCCAGTACAACATAAAATGTACCAAATAATTAGGTTAAGCATCAAGCACTAAAATGAATAGATAAAATGGGGCTTGATTCCATAGCATCACCGTTGGAAACATGTCATTTTACATGTAATCTACATCAAAGAGCATGCAAAGTTAAGTTAATCCAACATGATTGAAATCTTATAAGATGTATCAGCAAGTGATTTAAGTAATGAAGAAAAAAATTAATAATATATAATACTTGAAAGACCAAAAGTTAAGGAAAATAATATCGCTACACTTTTTTTTCTATATTTTCTTATTCTCTCATGAAATGTTCAAGCTATTGTTCCTATCTTCAAAGTAAGAGTATGGAAAAAAATGTCTATTGACATACGCTTTTAGAGTTGAAGAGTGTGATACTGTTTGAGTTGTGACACAACTACAATCATTAGACGGAGACATCATAAACTTGTTCAAATTTTAGACTGGATTAATTTTTAGTAGAAAAATGTGGATAAGAATTTTAAAAATTCGACAAATTTTTTTTATAAAGAAGGAGTTTGTTGTTGAATCAGTGCATGGTTATTATGGTCAAATAGCTTATCTTATCAAAACCACATCGATTTGAACCAAGAAAAGAACAATCCTCACAATGCTTGATCTCTTCATACATCGATAGTCTTATTGGATGTTTTTTGATAAATTTTTCATATTTGAAATTTGTTCAAGATATTTTCTCTTAATATCAATTATTTTCTCAATATCTCTATTGAACTTAAAATTAAGTATAAATTGAAAATTATGATTTTGAAATTATTTTTGAAATTATTTTTTATAAAAAATCATATCAAAATTTATTTTAGCAATTTTACCAAATAATTTATTCTTCAAGGTATAAATTATTCAAATATTTTCGCATTTTTGTTTATATGATAGAGATATAGATGATCTTAAATCTACTTTTTTTTATTTGTAATTCATGTTAATGTATCCTGAATACGAAATTACATTATATTTATTTTAAATCCTAATTAAAGTTTCAAATTAAGGTTTTTTAGTAGATATCACAAAATCAGTCATACTTTTTATGGACTTCATGCTTATTATAACTGAAACTATTACTCTAACTTATCATAGTGAATGCATATGATGAAATAAATTGATAAATTCAATATACCCACAGCAGGAGGTATATGGAATAGAAAATGATTATGATTATAATTTTAGAATGATAATGTTGAAATTTTTATATTTTTTAAATGATAAAAAATAAAAAAATTCAATTAGAGTCTTCTTAATTATCAAGATTTTTGAAACAAAAAAATTATAATATGAAAATTTTAAAACATATTTTTTTGGGATTAGGATTTCAATTTAAAGATCTCAAGTTAATTTTTCCAGTAAACTTTTTTTATGTTGAATAAAATCTGATAGTTATAATTTGATGTGAACAAAAATGATGTTTGACATGTTGCTAATTTTTCTCCAAATATTACCGACAGGATACAAAGAGATTCAGTAAAATAAATCAATTGTGAACGGTCTTATTTCTTTGCAAGATATTATTAACATACAAAATGTAATGTACTTGATGTACCCTATCCTACAACGTTTTCATAAATTATATGTTGTAAATCAAATTAAAAGATATTTACTACCGGTCATTACATGCGCTTTGAGTACATGGGCGAGTGAATGAATAGGGAATGGAAAAAAAATGATATATGAAGACAAAATGGATAGTAATTAAAAAAAACGGAGGAAAGCAGTTTTGACCTGTTCTCACTTTGAGTGGTTTCACATTATGTATATTCAACGACATTCAGCAAAACCTGACATGATGGTACACAATAAATTTTTAGTTTGGTTTTGTAATGCTGGGTCAAAGTCTGAAACACGTGCTTTTTCGGGCAGTATACATGATCATGGCAAACTCTGACTTGACGGAAGAATGTTTGCACCGAGAGAAAGCTCATGAGTACTTGGCTTGCTTTTTGTCTCCCGTATGCAATTTATCTCCCGATAAATCATGGAACTTCAGGTGCTGTCAACACCTTTACTGGACAGCATACGGTACTCGCAGCGTTTGAGCAGATTTACTTCGTTCGTATCTTTTATTTACAATGTACAAGATACAAAAAGTTTTAGCATGTTGAAAAAATAATTTTATTCTTTTCCTATATCATTATTCGTCAGCAGAATATTGTAAATAATTTGCTGGTGGTGACCTACATCTGGCTTTCAATTCGAGAGTCTAGACTTTCCTTTTCTGTGTCCACGTTCATTAAGCAACTCGCTTGATTCAATTTTCAAACTCCTTTCAGTCTCCGGTCCCCTCGCTCTCGATTTCGCCATAGCTTCGCCCGACGCGTGCTCGTGACCTAACACAGACGGATTGGATCGATGTCCCGTTTGAGAAGCTAATTCTGTCTTTCCCTTCCGACTTTTGCCGCTTGCTTCTTGTTTGTGCAGCGGGACGGCGTTGATTCTAGACATGAATTGGGCGCATCAATTCCCCCAATTCAGGACTCTCCATGAATTGTATCCAGAGACCCTGCTTCCTTTCTGCAGGTCATCACTTCAAGCACCTCAGATACTATAGACTGTTCATTTTTGTACCTAAGCTTTAGGTATGAAGTGATTGTGAAACTGCAAGAAAGAGTACGATATTTGATCTATAACTTATAGATCTCTTCTAGACGATAAGAGATCTGTCCATTGCAGCTAAACTGAGAAGAAGAAGATGAAGAAGACTGTATCGCATTAGAGTTCCGTTGATTTGTGTAGTGCAAGTTTACATCCACCCCACCCCGTCCCGTTGGAAGTAATGTGGATCCAATTGGTCATGACCGTCATCATGAACACCAGCGAGTCTTGGCGTGAACGAAGCATGTCAGATTTCCTCCCGGAAAGTGGGAACTACCGTACCATAGTCCTCCCCGTCAGTTCAGTTAGCTGGCTCGTGAGGGAATGAATGTTGACCACAGGAAGGAAGGAAGGAGGGAATGAGTGGGCATGCCATTCTCTCCGAACGGTCAGTCGTCTGCTCTGAAGGTGGACGCTCGAGGGGCAAGTTTCCTGAACAGAGACAGAGAAGCCTTCAGATGCCATGGACGATCTGCTCTGGTTCCGAGCCTCGGGTTCGTTCGGTACCAAAAGACGAAGAAATGTTTAGTGTTTTCACAACTTTGCTCCCTCCAAATTGGTGCGATCCGAGGAATGAGTGATTGCATGATCAAAGGCAACTGAGTAAATCTAGCCTACTAAAGGATGGAAATATCCCACCCTCTAGTACGAGAACTAAACCTCTGGGATAACTAAATGCAGTTAAAGCGGAACCATCGAAACCATCGAGTCTTACATTATGAAACCAAACAATTAATGTCGCTTAAGCCCCTCTGAGTGTAAGGATATATATATATATATATATATATAAATTTTCATCGTAATTAATATGTTTGAATGATAGACATTTCCTCTTGATTGAACGTACTTCTGCCGGTAGGTTAATATGTAGATGATGTTATAGTCCAAGTATTCACTACGTGGTCCTGTGAGGTAAGAGTCGAGCAAGTGTCAACTGTCAAAGAAGGCCGCACTTTTCCTACTGACCTCACTAGCGAGTTAAGTTATCCAATGCTCTTAGTTGAGTGGTTCTAGTTGCGTATGGGAACGCAATTTTCCACCCACTACACCACCCGGGTGACCGAGTAAAAGTTTTCTATTTTTCAAAATAAAAACTTCTGAATTTAGTATGCTTTATGTTTGTACTCTTGTCTTCCTCTCATACTCAAATAGATAATTGAAAAAATAGTTATCATACTTTTTAATGCAACCATGGAAACCTTACGTCCATCAAGTTGCGAGATCAAATTTTGATCTTATGGCACAAGAGATTATAAATTCAGAGATATGGCACAGGTCTTTGGACCAATCTATTATTAGTCATGTAACACACCCATCACAAAAGTGAAGAGAAAGCATGAGTGGATCAGTGACAGCAGATTTTCATGGACGAATGAAAGTCCGAAGAGCATGGACTTCATCGCAATGTTCAGAACTAACTTAAGAAATGGTTAAGTGAATTGTGGACTTATCATTTTTAAACCTTCAAACTCCCGATATATCAAGAGATTAAGAACTCAAAAGCAAGATTGAGTACCATACAGAATAGTCTAGGTCAGCCGTGTGTAGTAGTTGAAGATTGAGGTCTCATACGCAATTAGAGCCATTCAATTAAGAGCATTGGATTTGTTAACTAGCCAGTGTGGTATGCTGGAAATCTGCGGCCTTCTTTGACGATTGAAACGTGTTACCTCACTGCCCGATGCAATGAATACGTGGAGTATGACATCATCTACTGGCATGAGTGATGCGACCAAAGCAGGAATAATTTCATCCACCATGTTGACAATGACTTCGCATGCGACACTATAACCTAAAACAACAGAAGATAAATACGAGATTTACATGGAAAACAAGGTAATTTCAGCCAAATCCGGAGAACACTAGTTGGAAGATGTCATAATCTCGTGAAGATTTCAACTGATCTTGCGAACACATAAGGTTATGCACAGTGAATTACCTCGTACATATAATACGTTTTTTCTTAAAATTCACAAAACAGCTCCAAGATGTTTAGAAAATCTTAGCTGCGTAGACCTTGCAGATCGAGGTATGATGAAGATTTCGAAAAGATAAGGAGCACGACACAAAAACGTAGAGCTGAAGCTACAACAGAGCGGTAAGGTAAGTCAATGACGGATGGGTGGTGATTCCAGTCTAGAAGTCGCCAAAGTTGAAATGGTGCATGGGTTGGAAAGGCAGGACGAGCGTAGACTCCACCGAGCTCGAACGGTACGAGGCATATGCGAGTGAATGTCCGGTGCCTTTTAGGGCCAAGGGTCAGATCTTGGAAATCGACGTGTCGTGTTCTGCAACACCTCGCGAACTGTTCTCATGTCTTGCTATGGACCAGGTTCCAACTCGAGCTCACTTGCTAGACTCGAACTCGACAACTTGAAGTTGACGTTCTCGGAACCCTAGGGCGCAGATTCGGCCCGCGAACCTTCTGAGCCATTGAATCGATGGGAAGCCCCACGAGTACAAGCGACGACAAAAGGCCGACCCCAGGCGCCAACATGTTTGACCTCTCGACCTTTTCACCGACATGGCCTTCACTGTGCGATTTGAGAATCTTCATCACTCTGAAAGGCAAGTGAAACTGCTCGAACGCTTTTGGGTCAATGTCTATTGTCATGTCCTCGTAAAACACGACAACTCTCACATGTGCGAGTGGCATGTAAACTCACCTACGGATTCACGAGAGTGGTCTTCCAAACGGGGACATGCCTGGAGGAGAAAAGAAACTCCCCAGTTTGGGGCTCTTTTCCCAGAGAATGTCGTTATTGTTCTTAAGTCATCCGGTGGGTTCCCGACCGGACGACTGCGTTTCAACGCGCCATAATCGCACGCTTGGCACTACACAGTTATACCTCTTATGAGTGACATGCTCTCGTCATTGACGTAAAATCACAAAACCATTAGTTTCTAACTTGTAAATCTGTTAAACACCACTATTCCCAATATCGATATATTATTATGACAATTTCAAATATAATTTCAGAATAAAAATTACTATAAATAATCATGAGACTAAAAAAATTGTGTCATAAATATATTTAAAGTATATCTCAACAATTCACACTTTCTGAATTTAAGTAAGGATTTAGAGTTTAACCCTAAACCTATAATTTGCTACATATGTTATCACTAATTTTTTCACTTAGATTTGTGTGTATTAATCTAAATTTGAAACTAATTATAATGTCCATGTTAACAATACAAATGTGCAAATGAAGTCCATCCAACACATTTATAGAAAGTCTTAGGATTGATGCAATGCACGATAAGAAATCTATGAATTTTTTTATATGTAATTGACACCTCTCACATCTAACCCCAACACCAATGTATGTCACTATTAGGAGTTAAAATTTAAATTATGCACCTCCCAACAACGACATCCAATTTTAACACCAATGTATGTTACTATTAGGAGGTTGTGCGCACTTTACTCTTGTGAGTGACACCTCGCAATAGTGACGTAAAACCTAAGTACCAATATATGTCACTGTTGGGAGGTTTAACTCTGAACGCAAGTATCCATAATTTGCACGGCATAGATTGAATGCAACGACTTCACTCAGTAATCTCGTCCATTTCTCCTCACACAAGGTAAACTTTGGAAATATGTGTTTGAAAACCAGGAAAAACTTGTAAATGATTGACCACGATCCATGCATCGACAGATGCATTGCATCCTTCATCTCTCGGATTTTAGAGCAATTTCCTCGATCGGAAGCACCAGACAAGAATGTTAGGTTCAAAACATTAATAGCTGATTTTAGTTTCAACGAGAAGAACATTTATTTCTGGAACTTTGGAAATATGGACTATCTTCGTCCGAGTTAACAAGTCGAGTATGCTGGATTCGGAAACACGGTGAAGTATGTGATTATGTATATCTCTCCAAGTCCAAAAGACTACACTTGTAACTCGCATAATTTAATACACTATAATAAAATATGCGACTTGCACTGAAGACACAGGGATAACATCAATATCAGTGCATTAAGAAGATTCCACTTCCGGTAAAAAAATCAATATAACAATCTAACGTTACCATTGGATGGGGTTGGAAATGGAACTCAAACAAGTTTTAAAACAATGTATGTTTGAGTTATAGTATGCATGAGTTTATTTCTTCTTACTCTAGATTTGAACCAATAAAAAAAAACCTAAATGTATTTATAGTCCAGTGCACGAGATCATTGTTACTAGCAGCATTGGTATCATGATTTTTAATATATCATATGGGCTATTTTATAACTAGCCGTTGTATTATTCTACACTGACTGTTAGTCGACGCTATCAATCATACTAGTTGAATTTTTTGGGACAATTTTTGCCAAGGAGAAATATTTCCAATTTTCATTCTCTCGGAGCTAGCCCCATTTTTTTTGCTGCGGTTCTGGATCGTATCACTGGAAGGGATCTATTTGTTGTGCCACCGTGGCCGCTTTGGTAATCTGGACGAAGAAGACATTCTGTCCGGAAGGAGGTACGACATGCGAACATGAGACAGTTGCACACTGCACCATGCGTAATCCGTTACGTACGCCTCCTCCGTTACGGAGAATCTCGGAACAAGACAGCTGGCGCAGGAGCCAGTTCGGCACCGAGGCTCGGCCAGCATCGTAGGGCGCCACAGGTCCGGGCGGAAAAGGCAGGGCACATGGCGGGTAGGGACAGACCTTTCGGTGGCGGGACACGTGGCCCGAGATGGGCAGCGGCCAGGTCGGTGGGGCCCTCTAGCCAGCAGTCTCTCCCTTTCCGTCCCTTCCCTCGCCTCCGGGATCTCCAATGAGGCCGCGCCAAGTCATCCCGGCTGATTGCCACATCACCCCGGCCGGAAAGCCACGCCTGCGGCCTGAAAAGCGAGGGCGTGAAGTCAAAACCCGAGAGACACGGAGAGGCGATCGGAGGAGAGGACGGGAGAGGAAGTAGCGGCGCCGGCTCATGGGAAGTTGGAAGGAGGGCCGGGAGAGGGAGAGAATTCGGGACGTTAAGCTTCACAGGACAGAGCGAGCAGTTGACTGATTGGCGTGGCGGGGGGACTGAATGCACTGTGCACATTGTGCGGAGCCTGGCTCGAGCAGGGCCGGGCAGTAGCGCGAAAGCAAGCAACAAGAGCTGAGATAGTTGTTCGTTTGTCCGCCCCCCCTCGTGGAGAGGAGGCGAGAATTGGCAGGTCCATGCGTGGGGAGGTTAGTACCACCACCTGCAGTGGAGTCAGCCCCGCAGGCGACAAGAGGGCCCCCTCATATTGACGAGAGCTGTACAGCCGGAGCTCCTCAACTCAGTCCGAACGCCTTCGCTCAATTGCCGCACGATCGATCGAGTTGGGAGCGACGGAGAGAGAGACGGAGAGACAGTCTCCGAGAGAGAGCGGGAGAGCGGGCGGTTGGATGAAATTCCGAAGGAGTGATGGAGTTCGGTAATGTGAACACCGGGTAGAGAGTGTCTGTTACAGTGCGGAGTGTTTGAAGGGGCCGATCGATCACTGCAGTGGTTGATTATTTACTGTTGTTCCCTGGAATCCGCGAGTGGCGCTGTAGCTTGTTTTGGGGATCGAGCGAGCGAGCGAGAGAGGGCGAGGGGAGAAAGAGTTTTAAGAGGAGCGCGAGTCGATTAGCTCAGAGGCCAATTCTGTTGAAACAGAGGAGAAAGAACGAAAGAGAAGAAGGAATGGCTCTCGTGGCAGCAACTCCCCTGCATTCTCCCGTCGTGTCGGTCTCATGCAGACAACTGGAAGGCAGAACTTTGAAGACCTCGTTTTTGCAACCCCGTGCAGTCGTTCCCTTCTCTATCAGGTCATGGAATCTCTCTGCGCCAGCAGATCGCCTCAGAGGCGACAGCAGGAGATCGAGGAGGACGAACAGGAATTTGACGGCGATTCGAAGCCAGGATGGCAAGGCCGGCTTGGAAAGCCAAGATGATTTCCCTGATATGTCCACGGAGGAATTTAACAGAAGATTCACCCTCCCTCATCTCAACGATCTGTTCAATGTGCAGCCCATGCGCTCCACCTTCTGTACCAAGAGCAGGTGATTCCGAAGCCCTTATTTTCCCATGTTTGAATCTCTCTTGGGCTCGTCCTCTGAGATCGCACAGGCGAGAAAGCTGTGCACGGAGTACAGGGATTCTTGTGGTGTGGGTTTGTTGCTCATGCTGGCTCTGAATTCAGCTCATGCCCACGATGACCGAACAGTGTTCTAGAATATTTTGTACATGACTGAGCCCAGGGTATGTGCGAAGTATGATCGAAGGTTTCTTCACCATCTTTCATTCAGACCGGATTGCCTAGAATGTTTGTGCAAATCTTAACAACCTGCTGAATCCTCTTCAAGGCCTCCTCACGCGTGCTCTATCTACCCTGTGCAGCTGCCCTCTCCCTTCGGAGACGAACAATTCCAGTAGTCGTTGGGAGGATCTACGAAAAGTGTTCGTTCACGATGATGATCGTGTTCTTCTGAAGGTTTGATTTTTGACTCGACTTTCTTACGTTCTCGATGTGAGCTCGTTCTGAAAGCCGCCTGGCAGTTGTGTTCGACTAAAGTATTAATGCTGTCCCTAATAGAATGTCCCGAGAAGTTGGTGAGCTAAATCACTAATCTAGTCACATGTTCTCGACAAAGCTCGGAAGAGATTGTAGACGGGCTGTTTGTCTGGAATTTCAGCCGTACCTCCGTCGTCCATTTCCTTGTAATCTCTATACAGCAAGCGTCGGCTACTTTTTTCTTGAAGCCGGCAGCCGTCAATTGAAAAGAGTTTCGCTTTCGATTAGCTTTCTGCAGGACGAACTTTCGGTGTCGTCGCCATTGCATTCACTTTTCCATTATGCCTGTGTTCTTTCAAATACTATTTTTGATCTCGAAGGTCCAGAATCCAAGTGGATGAAATTTGTGGGATTTTAGTGTAGTGAGTTGAATATATATTTTTGCAATGGTGTCTGTTGATGTGGTAAACCTGTTGTCCTTCCTTGCAGACTATCAAATATGCTAATCCCACATCTTCTGGAGCCGAGTGTTTCGACGAAGACTGCAATTTCCATCATCAATGGTAAGTAAATGACTGTTTTATAAATTTTCGCTGATTTTGTCGTGTTTAGAAGCCTTAGCTTATTTGCTTCCCCTTGTATGACGTCATGTGTTCTTTTCATCAATTATCGAGAATACTCTTGATACTCATGGCAAGAACAAAAGAAAAGGGGAAACCCTAAAATTTGCTACTCTTTTTTGCAGGGTGCCGCGAGCTGGTCCGAGATCCAAAATCTACTTCGACCCTAGTGAAGTCAAGGCCGCAATTGTTACTTGTGGAGGCCTCTGCCCAGGTCTCAACGATGTGATACGGCAGGTATGTGTCGCGCACATACATGGAGGAGGGATCAGTGAATCTTCTGAACATTAAAACTGAATTGAAAATGTCAAAAGTATTTGTTGTTACGATAGAAGTTTCGATGAAAAGGATCAGAAGAGCATGTTCTTCAGAAAGTCTGGACCTATCGGGATCGGCGGTCGTGACCATATAACTTGTTCGTAAGCTCACTGGCTTCAAGAAGTCTTAACAAGCAGTTGAGTTATGAATCTGTTTCATTTTGAAATGACGACAAAGGTATTAAGGACGCTTTGCGCTTTGCAGATTGTGTTGACTCTCGATGTTTACGGAGTGAAGAGGATGTTGGGTATCACCTACGGTTATCGTGGATTTTTCGAAGAATCACTCGAGCCGATTGTTGTAAGTGTTTCTGTTCTTTGTGCTTCTCCAGTAGACAACGTCAAGTAACTGCATTGATATGCTTCACCCAACTTTGAAGATTATGATGTCTCAGGCTGTTGTCATCAGTTGATGACTGGAATTCATCATTTTTTCATACATCAGGAGAGGATGGGAAAACATAAAAGCGTCAGTCACACACCAGTGAGTTTCAATGCAGCACCCACACTGTCACTGTCAGTGTGCTTATGATTCGTTCGTACTAAACTTCATGACGAAATTTTGTTACAGTTGACAAGACATTTAGTTCAAAATATTCATTTAGCTGGAGGAAGTCTCCTTGGAGTATCCCGCGGAGGTGCCAAAACATCCGATATTGTTGATACGTTGCAGGTATGCTCCGTTAATTTCCACCTGAGAATGAGTTTTCCCGTGAATTTTTTACTTTGTGTAGAACGTATCTTCACGATTGATGATTTTTTATATTTTTTTCGGGATGCAGGAGAAGGGTATCAACATGCTTTTTGTGTTGGGCGGTAACGGCACTCATGCGGGTGCCAATGCCATCCATGAAGAGGTGAGAGTCACGTTGGGTTTTCCAAATTAGTTTCTTATTATTTCATTTGTAACATCAAGCTATGAGATCCTGGGAGCGCTGGAGATTTCTGAAGGTCAGAGTGGCTAAATCTTCGAGGAGCAATTCTTGCGTTCCAGTACATACCTGACGGTCGATCTTCTTTACCTATGTAGGCTCGAAGGAGGCGGATGAAGTTAGCTGTTGTTGGGGTACCAAAAACCATTGATAATGACATTTTGCTCATGGATAAAACTTTCGGTTTCGACACTGCCGTAGAGGAAGCCCAGAGGGCAATCAACACTGCTTATATCGAGGTTAGTAGTGGATGGATCCAGTCATCACGAGCTTTGTCAGTGTGAACGTTGTGGAAGCATCTCGCGAAGGAAATTACTAGCGAAATCTGACTAGGTTGTTTCTGGCATTGTTCAGGCCAACAGTGCTTACAACGGCATTGGAATTGTGAAACTCATGGGCAGACAGAGTGGATTCATCGCTATGCACGCGTCTCTTGCAAGTGGTCAAGTTGACGTGTGCTTGATTCCTGAGGTAATTGCTTCCCTACAATTCTAGACAATTGCATGGTCGACTTAACACCTCCACCTTCAGTCTTGACGAATTATAATGAATCCGAAGAAAGTTTTAGGACTAAGCCCAATGACGCCGCTCCTGTCTGGGCGGTAACACCCCGAATGTATAATATTTTATAGAGTCTACCCGACCAGGTTCTGAGCCAGGTGTTTAGTAACCTCCTCGCTTTCACCACAAACTGGATCGATCATGGCTCGTTGCAGACATCTATTTTGAGTCGTTCTCAATTTTGTGCAGGTCCCATTCGCTTTGGACGGAGGGCACGGAGTTTTGCAACACATTCAACACCTGATCGAAGAAAGGGGAAAGGCTGTAATCTGTGTTGCTGAAGGAGCTGGACAGGTGAGGGAATGACGTCCTGTATCCATCTTGTGCGCCCTGCCACATCATATGAACTCTCGATTCACATGAGATACCTATACCCTACCTTCAGTAGGATGCCACAGTTTCATTTCTGAAATGTCAGTAGATGCATTTCCAATTTCTGCCCAGTATTTAATGCTTATAGAAATTTGTGCTTCGAAACCTAATGTGGTCTTGAATGTTTGTGTCGACAGGATCTTCTACCTACGAATAACGGCACTGACCCATCAGGGAATCCAATCCTAGGAGATATTGGAACTCACCTTCAGCGAGAGGTCCACTTTTAACTCATTATTCAGGGATGCATTCTAAATTCAAGTCCATAGAAGCCAAAGGCGCTCGTAGTCTTCACTCCCAAACTAAGGATATGGCTGACTTTACTTGGAATGGAAGATGTGATTGCGTTGCTTCTACTTGTTTCAACGAATTTATGAAAGTCGTGATTTGTGAGCAGATTAAAAAATACTTCAAGGCGGCTAGCATCACAGTGGATATCAAGTATATTGATCCAACTTACATGATCAGAGCCTGCCGTGCCAACGCTTCCGACGGAATTCTCTGTGCCGTTCTTGGCCAGAACGCTGTAAGATCTCCATTCCCTTGTCCTCTGATGTCTTTACCAAGATTCGAAACCCGTTTATTTTGTCATTCAACAATTAAGCTAAGCCGTTTCAAAGATCTAATATTGCCTTCTTTCATAAGTTTTAAAGCCGTGTGAAGTTGAGGTATAGGAGGCCTTTGAATGACTGTATGTTCTCCTACTCTCCAGCACACCGGCCTTACTACATGAGATGGTGTATCTCCTTTCGACTGACAATGTCCATGTCTTACCTACTTGGTGGCACTCTAGTCGAGGGTGGTTCTCACAAGATACTGTCTCCTGCAGGTTCATGGAGCTTTCGCCGGGTACAGTGGAATCACAGTCGGAATTGCCAACAATCACTACGTATATCTCCCCATCCCTGAGGTTATATCGCACGCGAGAAACGTTGACCCTGACAGCCGCATGTGGCATCGTTGTCTGACTTCCACCGGCCAACCTGATTTCATTGCCAACTCATCTTAGGCATCCTCAATTCGAAGAGCGGCCTCTGCAAGCCCCTCTCTCTTCTGTATTTTGTGCTGTCAACAGTCTTTCTTATCTTGTTCTATGAGAGTATACATATCGAAGAAAAAAAAAGTTTCCCATGTGGAGATAACTCTCACCTGGAATAGTAGAGTTTCGAATTCCTGGGTTCCTGACGGTCAGAACTCCGCAAATCCCATTCCCTCTCAGCTTATCTTACTTTCTCCTCACTTGAAAGCCGCGGACAGTTTGATAGGGCAGCTGGAAAGACTTCAAGGAGAGCCACCAGCGCCGCAAGAAGAGTTTTGCTTCCTTACACTAATCTCTGGCAGGGAAAGGGGCATCCTTCGAATTGAAGGAAAGAGGCCGTAGAAGTAGTGCTGCGGAACATTGTGCCAATTTTGAGAGTGCACCCACACATATCAGCCTTCTGCTCGATCATCAGCGCCCAGATAGTATACACGACCCAACTTAGCTAGCTAAAGTACACAGATGCCATCTTTCCAGAGCCAAGACGGAGCTTCTTCTGGCCGGATAACAAAGCGTCTGTCACCGTCAGAAACCTGAAATTGGGCTCGCTTTATTGGGAGCATCGTCGAGTCGAGATCCACCATCAACAACACATTTCAGCTACATCTACGTACCTTTGGTCTCTCCTAATATAGATATATGGCGTAGGGTTGTGGTTTGCACTGTCTGAGGTAGACTTTGTGTTTCATATGGGACCTATCTATAGTCAAAAAGTTCAAGCTTTAGCTTGTGAACGCAGTGGACATTTCGACCGTACTGATGGTAAACTTTCTCTCTTGTGAGTATGGTGACTGCCTACTTCATATCCGTCTTCTGTAGAGATTAGCATAGCAGACCCTTGTAATGTGACTTTGTAGCCATACGGTGGATAACTCACGGATATACTCAAGTTTCCTGAGCCTCTCTTCAACCATAGTCCTTCCAGTTAGACTTTTCTCTGTCCTCAAATTTCTAAGAGGGAAAGTCCCTACCGTTGTATCATACTCCTATCAAATATTTTTGACAGGGGGGAATAAATTTCTGGCTCGCTGAGGTAATGTCAGCAGATTATCATTTCTCCATATGGCCGATCGGCATCTGCTGTGTGTGTGGTGAACTAACAGTTACAAGGACATTTTAGTGCAGTTGTTGTTGAGAAAGGAAGTGCTGGAGACGAGAAGCATGATCCATTGTGTCATCCGACCAATTGGCTGGTCTGTTTCAGTACTCGTGTCAGCATGATCAACATTTGTCAGAATATGATAGCGCAAACTCGAGTGAGCATAAAACTCTGCTTCACAGCTCTAGGTGAACGTCCGACCGCAGTATTCCAGCTAGGTAGTGGAGTATATGTTTTCCCCCTTTCCAACTTTTATCTAGACTTACCAAGCAATCATGCAGCTCGATGAGCCGATCTGATGATGCGCAGCCTTTTAGAATCTGGAATCAGACTGAAAACAGGACACATGCGCTCGCCAGAACTCGATAATCCCACAGGTACGAACCTTCCACACTCCACAGATGAGAGAGCTTCTCTCTGCTTTGAGCAGTTTGGTGGCAGACTTTTACTCAATTGTGTCGTGAACTATGAGGAGGGAATGTATGGACTCGGGCCACAGCTCTATGAGGACAGTCTGGCGTTCCGCCGTCGACATGAGCGGGGCAAGTTGCAAAAGTCGAACTAGGATCAGAGCAATTCCATGTCGGGCTCCGGTGCAGGCCTGTAGGATATTCCCTCAGATTCGATTCTTGCCCAAGTGACCGAGACGAGGTCGGCAGCGCCACCCTGACGCAGTACAGTACAGGGCCGTGCAGTTGTACCGGACTGTCACAGATGTCAGGCCGAGGGATCGAATGTGCAAAGCTCAAGATACATCAGCTCGATTGAAACTGTGCGAGCAAGACCACGACGTATGTCGCTGACGGCGTTGCGTCAGATACCACGTCCATCATTCCGGGCTCGAGTTCAGAGTACACACTTGATGCAAGGTTCCGGACGAGATGGTGTGTTTGTAGATTCACGCTGGCCAGACCTCTCTATACAGTATTGGGCGCATTCCGTATGTTCCGTATCTCAACAAACTAAGGATACTTTTCAAAACAAAATATGGAATACACGAAACTTGACAGTTTTCGGTCGAATCTTCATTTAACTTTCATATTTTCGGTTTTCAAATTCGGCCGAAAACACCTTCGATAACGACATGGGTGTTATTTTTTAATTGTGAATATACTTTCCCCATTTCAACACTGATAAATTACTTTACCCCAATAGTTAACTCTACCCCTTAGTAGAGTTAGCTATTGGGATGTATATGACGCAGGATCTTCTTTGTCACCCTAAATAAAAGTCGAGGACCTGGCTGGCACCTGGCCGATACAACCAGCTCCCGAAGTTGGGCCACGCTTCCTGAACGAGTCGTAAAGAGGTTCTCTAAAAGGATGGTTCTGAATGGTCTTGGAATTTTGCACCACCTCGGGTTGGACAGGAAATGAAATTTCATGCTGAAAAGCAGAGGACCAAAATTGCTGCAAATGCTGCGGGAAATACAAATCGGTGAATAAACTGCTCGAGGATACACGTAATAATATTTTGTACAATCAGACTCGAAGCAGATTATTAGAGACCGCGGGATTGGCCAACTGAACATGTATGTCGCAACCACTCATGATTCGAGCTACACTGTCTCGCATAATCCAACCAGCCGAGTTCGAACTAGCGAGCCTGAACTAACTGGAGTTATACCGCTGTCTCATACTCTACCAGCCAAGATAAAGTCGACCTTGTTTTAGTTGACATTATTGAAAGAAAATTTTAAAATTCTAGATCTATCAATGTCTTTTCCATCACATCTTGCAGACATTATACTGGCAAAGAACACCAAAGGTTGGAAGTTATACTTGAGTGAAAAGAACCGTATTTGTATCTATACTCCTCCGAAAGGACGTTTAGGTCGAGGACGTTGGTATATTTGAATTCTATAATCTGCCCTGCCAAAAAATTTTAACACCGTATGGATTTAATGATAGGTACCTCATAGTTGGGAGTTACTACAGATGCACTTTATACGTAGATTGATAACGTTATATATTAGTCAAATTACCGTGAGAAACCGAAGAGAAGTATCAATTTTCCCCTAGTTGTAACATTGTTGATGACTAGATTTTAACCATCATAGCGATACATTCAGTAGTCCATTTGTTTCAATGAATCTAATATTATCTACCCATAGTCACATAAAGAAGTGTTTTAAGGTTAAAAAGGTTAAAAAGAGGTTTGTGAGTATACTTTTTACCTTTGTTATGGGTCTCAAATACGTCTCGGAAAAGACATACTCTCGAATTCATATAAATAGCCGGCTAGGTAGACTTAATGAACATAACATCTTATTTTCCATATCATTCCATAATTTTTCTTCTATTTTAGTATGTGGGGTGCCACATGATATTAAACAAACTTGTATGAAGACTAATTACTTATTCGTAGGTGTTATCCAATAACATTTGCAACTAATCATAAGTCTTAAGTAGCCTCTGTAGACGTTGCCCAACAACATCTACAATTAATTATTAGTCTTCATTAGTCTTTGTAGATGTTGCCCAACAACATCTACAAATAATATTTTTCGGATATTACATCATTTAACCTGATTCCATTATTATGCAAAACTATGACAAGTGCTCTTTACAAAAATAAAGTGATCTAAATTGAACAAAAGAATAGAGAAAATTATACACCATATATTCTTATGTAATAAATTCCTACACAGTATTTCACAAACATATAAAAATTTACACCGTTGGAATTATGTAAAAGCAAAGTAGAATACTTCACACTATACGTTTTATTCTAGTTCTCATACTACACCTATTACACTATGTGGCTTTATCCAAAAGATATGAATTCTAGCTCTCTTACATGTCAAGAAAACCTAACGGTAGCTATATACAAAGCTGACAAATCCCCTTCTTGATCTGATACCTTTAAAATCAGAAGTATCCATTTGAATTCGGAAGTACTTTTTGAAGGACTCTGCGTTAAGAAATTTCACACTTGTCGGCCATGTCTAGATTGATATATTATTCGTCCTCTTTCCCTCTTTACACACGTGGCATTCAACAAATCACTTGTGTTATTCATCAATAATAGTAACATCATGACTTTTGACTCTGCATATGCTTTCTTTATCTGATGTAATTAATCACAAGACAAGTTTTGGACGATTTGATGCTTAGTCTCACCTTCGAGCTTCAAATTTAAGTTTTAGCTATGGAATCACGTAAAGACTATTTCTATTGGACATATGCTTTCTTTATCTGATATAATTAATCACAAGACAAGTTTTGGACGATTTGATGCTTAGTCTAATCTCCGAGCTTGAAATTTAAGTTTTGGATGGAAGCACGTAAAGACTATTTCTCTTGGACACAAGAAATACGATCGTATGTATTGAGAAATGATGAAAGATCCAAGCGCTCATCATGGAGGATTCATTTGAATGAAGAGTGCTATGATATACAATGCCGTGGTACACCAGATTCGAAACTGAGACTTGGATGTTCAGATCTTGGAGTCAACGATTTTATCAGCTCATTCAGGTACAGAATCATTGAGGTGAAGATCGACAGCGAGCAATTTCAGTTCATATCTCACTGCAAAGACATGACAGTTTGCAATTGTACAGGACATAGAGCACCACCAACACTTGTGAGGAGTAGTGAAGGTTCTGGAATGTTTTAATCTGTAAGCGAGAAGACCTCGTCGGCTGTCGAAAATTATGCTCCAGTTGAATGCTATCTAGATATTTGCAGTCCAAGATCGCTCCAAGTAGCAATATGCATGAATCATTCGCCCTCCAATCCATGTTAGAGGGCCTCAATGAAAAATAACAATTTTTCGTCACCTAAAATTGTGTCTGATATACGATGCTACAATCAGTGAAATATTGTCCATACAGTTTAGGGTTTAGAGACAACTATATTTTTATTTTATTTTTCATAATAGAATATAAAAGGGAAGGTTGTTAGAACAGTGAGGGAAACGAAGAGCATCACCCTCGAGAACAGATTGGGGCCATGTCACATCTTCTGTTCTTCATTTGCTTGAGCCTTATCTTCTCTGCACTGTTCGTTCCCAACCTTCACGGTTTTTGAAAGTGGTGATCATATTATGTACCTTTTTTCTACAATTCTCGTCATTATTTCGCTCTTGGTTGTCGTCATGATTCATCGGTTTCGTGCCTTGTTGTTATTCATGTGACTTTTGGTTCTCTTCATGATACAGATATCTCATCACAAGTTGGTTACAACAGGAGCAAAGGTCTCCGAATAAAATATGATAGAAAATGTCATGTAAAGTCCAAAAGAAAATTAGAGGTTCTTGTTCATATATAGAATTCATTTTACATCTGTCTAAATTTATGCATTTTTTTATCTCCTGCACATATATTTGCATCACAATATAGAATAAATGTTACCTTGAACATAACCATAAAAAAGTAGTGCACCACAGATTAATTTTAAAATTTCAAATTGTCCACCATAGCACAATGTCCATTAACATGATATAAAACAGATTTTGAAATTGATTTTAAATATTGTTTTTGAGCTTGGAAAAATCCACACCTATAGCTATTTTCATAATAAACATATAATTCAAAGTTCAATTTTCACAATAAACATGCAATTCAAAAAGTCCTAGTTTGGACTCTAAACACTGAATAAGCTAGTCTACCGTCGTTTTTCCTCTATTTTTTTTATTACTACATAACATGCTATTAACAAAAGTTTAACTTTTTAATGTTTAATGAAAATGATGATAAGCCTTTTGCACTTTATCGCATGATAGAGGTGATGAATGAAGTTTGTAATATGCCTGTTTCTACCATGATTGGTAGAAACAGGCATACAAAAACAGGCAACAGGCATATCTCATACAAAAATTTATTCAGATAAAATAAGTATATTTAATGTTTATGCACTAGAAAGCAATATGCTGTGTGCATAAATTTATGCTGCTAGAGATGGACCACTTATGCCGCTTGCAATCAGATCGCACGAATGAAAAAATGTGTAGTAGTAGGGGATAATATAATTCATTTTACATTTACTTATTATTTTAAGATTTTCCAATATTTTTCATCATAGGACCGACATCAAGAATTTTTTAACATTGAAACTTATAATGAAGAAAGATGATGAAATAAAATACTATCGATAAATATATAGTGATGTATGATATCATATTATCTTTTTTCACATTTTGGATAACTTTTTTGGTTACTTTCATTTAATATTAACACAGATTTATATTTTTGTATAAAAAATTTAATGTACTTTTTCCCAAAAAATTGAAAAAATATTAAGTCCAAATTGAAAATCGATCATCAAAAAGGAAATTTTGCAATTAAAATGTGACCCAAAAAATACAAATATACTTTTACTATGTAAGATGTGTGATCATCAAGAGGATATAAAGTGTCATTTAAATGAGACATAGATATTTTAATCGTATCAAATTTATCACAAGAATTTTGATAATAACTATTTGAACATTACTTTTCATTTGAGAAAAAAATTTCTATATGTATTTGATTTTATTTATGACGAGTTATTAACAATTTGTAAATAATTTCTATTCAATAGTCCTTAAAAATCAATCATTGTATATTCATTGATTGTATATGAAATATCATTTGAAATAAATATGAATTTGTAGAATCAAAATGGCAAAATATGGTATGCATTGACGTATAAATTGTCAAAATCTATTTTGTAATGAAATTTTATCATTTAAAAATAATAATTTGTTGACTTTTATGCAATTTTTTGGGAGTCTAAGCGTTGTCATAGAAAACATTAATCATGAATGATATCATGACAAGACATAAAGAAACACGTTCTTTCATTTGGAATTTAGGCCAGAGCATGATGAAAATAACAAACCGTAGTCAAAGTTTGTGATGGTTTCTTTTGACTCTGAACATTACGTCCATGAATTTTATTTTTGAAAGCTTTACAAACCTTACTTCGAAATAATGTTGTCAAACTAATTTCACTTTGGATAGCTTTTGTCATAATTCTTTCATTGTCATATTGTGATAATGAACTACATGGATAATATAAAAAGTATTGTAAGTTAGTTGTTGTTATTAGTTTTAATACATACTTTTTCATGAATTTAAGATATCTAGAATTTCAGGTCTCACATCATATGTATAATGTACTATAATCTGTTCCATTTTTTTGTCTTTATTAATAATCTGGAAAAACTATTTTTTATGAAATAATGATGAATATTTAAAATATTTAAAATTTTGATTCAAGATGTAATGTTTAATTCAAAACTAGATAAAACAGTTTTCGGAGTTCTTATTGATATTTAATTTGAATGGTTTTTTTCCCTCTTTGTGTTTTGCTTTATTTTATCCATATATATTTGTAATAGTGTTGACCTTCTTGTTGAAATTGATATACATCCACTTCTTGAATATCTTGAAGTAAATTCATATTTTTTTAATGTTGAAATTTTATATGTTCTTATCACTTAGATTATATATATATATATATATAAAGATCTATTCATAATAAAAAACGGTTAATTATTGCAAATCAAATTTTCAAATTTTTTTCTTGGATTTAAAAAATATATTTCATGATTAAAGTTAAAAATTTGAATTATTTCGTTGTGTGCTCTTTGCGCATCATTTTATAATATTTGGAAATAATTAGAGATGAAAGATTATTTGGTTGATCTATAGGGATGAAGCAATCGGTTTTTTTTTTCAAATTTATAAATTATAAATGAACATGAAAATACTCTTTCAAAGCATAAAAATAGAGTAATCAAGCGAAAGCTTGTCGTCTAAAATCTAATACATCAAACAGTTGCAAACCACAAACAACATCCAAAGTGTCATCAATAGATAATAACTTTTGCATGAATAGTATCAGCGACCACGCTTTGCAAAGCAATGGTTACTCTTTGATCGAATAAGTGGATTGTATGTTGATATGAACAAAAATTATAAACCCAATAATATATACATAGCAATAGTCTCGTAGACTAACATTATTGCTCAATGATACTGATCTTCAAGCTCTCCAAAATGGAACAAATAATTAAAAGCATGCACGAGACAGTCGAGAAGTCAAACACACTTACGTTACTAAAACTTAAAGTGCAATAAATAATTCATATGAATATCGGAGATTTAGTTCAACTCGTCATATTTAAACCCAAAATAATTCAAATCTGAATTATCTCATGAGAACACAAAAGGTAAAATTGAAATTTGGAATACTACCAACCTCTAAGTCTCGAGTACCCTAAACCAGGAGTGCCGTTCGGGAATCGAGTCCATGAAAAGCTTCCAAACCAGTCCTGGGACTCAGCGGCGCCAATTGGAGACCTTTTGGGTGGAAAGCACGCATCGGACGGTGCCCGGGCGTCCCGTCGTCCCTCACGAGCCCAACTTTATCGTGGCCCGATGAGCGCACTCCGCTCCATTCGGGAAGTCCACGACTGCGTTCGTCCGGACAGAATACAGCGCAGGAAGGTGCCGCAGTTGTAGTAGTGGTAGTAGTAGTAGCAATAGTAGTCGTGGTCGTGGTCGAAGAGAGAGAGGGAGAGAGAGAGAAAAAAGAGCGGCGAATAATGATGGGGGTGCCACGTGAGAAGAGAACAAGAAGGTGAAAAAGGTCCGAAGCCGAAGCCGACGACGACGACGACGAGGCGGAGGCCGAAAAGAGCGAAAGGGCGAAAGAAGGAAGGAGACGTTCGGAATTGGGCGAGAGAAAGCGTGGCCCGGGTCCGGCCTCGGGCCTCGGGCGCCCGCGACCGCGCCCGGGCCTCGGCCCGCAACCCTCGTCGTGCCTGCTCTGCCGTGTCGGTCGTTCTCGCTCTCGTCTCGTCCGCTGCTCGAGCTTCGATTCTTCTTCTCGTGGCGTGCGTCGAGTGCTTCGATTTCTTGGTGCCCCGCCTGCTCCGCTGCGCTGGTGTTTCGTTCGCGCGCGCGCGAGATCCTGCACGTCGTCGGAGGCTCGTCCGGTGACAGAATTTGTACATGTTTGTCTGATTTTGGTGACGCAGTCTGCGGAGAGGAGGAGGGCAAGGTGGGAATGGGACGAAGGGATTTCTGACGAGGTTGAGGACGAGGAGCAATTTCTGAGAGCTGCAGTTTTCGTCGAGTGAGTGAGTCGGCGAAGGTCGGTCGAAAGGAGGGGAGGGGAGAGGACGGGCAGCTGTGTGGGAATTGAGGAGTGGGTGACAACATGGGGCTGGCAGCAGGGGAGGGAGGCTGCTGCAGTGGGTGTGTGATTGGAGGGGTAGTTTGGTAAGGGCTCTGTTTTGCGCCTAGGAAGGAGCTCGGAGATTCAGATTCTGGAAGATTGAAGGCAAATTGTAGCGGGTAGAAGGGATTTGTTTCCTTGCTGGCATGGAGAATTTGTTTCGAGATTTCTGGGCTTTGTGCGTGCAGCGGGGCCAGCGGAGAGTTTGAAATTGGATGAGTGGCGAGATGAGCGACAGGATGGATGAGGTTCCCGTTCGGAGGATGGAGCAACCAGAAGGCAAGAGGAGGACAATGATGCTTTCTGAGGGTGATCGAGTTTATGGAGAAGGGTGAGTGGCGTTCTTCCTTCTGATCTTTGAGCACTGGCTCGATTTTCTCGTACTTAACTGCTCATTATATTGTGATCACTACTCCACGACTTGTTTTCGAACGAGCCTTTAGATCTCTCAACGTAGACGAGCTTATTGGAGAGACTTCTTTGACCAGAAAATCGCACGTGGAGTAATTCGATCCTAAAAACCAGCCGGGATGAGCTCAAAAGACGAGTCTTGTTGAATTTTTGTGGAATCTGCCTACGGGGGCTGTTTTGAGAACTAGATCGAGGGAGATCATCGGGTCAGTCTGGAGTGTCCCTAGCGCAGCCGTGTCGCATTACGCCGCTGTTCCATCACGTAGCTCTCGAGTTAGTGTGGAGGTATTTTGTGAGCCACCCCGGTTTGAATAATAGAGCCTCACAGTACATTTGTATAATCGGGTGGAAGAGCGAAGGTCACTCTATGTTTATCTTTGGTTACTCAAGGAAGGCCAAGGCCCGCAAACATCGTCATCTTGGCACTTAAGCTACGGAAAGCTCAGAGAGGGTGAAGGGACGAAATGACGAGAGAACAATTTATTCTTAGCTCAAAACCCACGAACAGTGACAGCACTAACTATTCACTTACGAGTTTATCCGCCTGGATGTTACCAGAAGTTCGGTGAGGCCGATGGAGACCCCTATTCCAAAGCCGAGAAGAAAGAGGGGTGGAGCTGGAGAAGCGGACGATGGCGAAGGAAGGAGGCGACGCAAGCCAAAAGCGACCGTCGAGGTCAACTCCACCTTCACGGAGTTACGGCGACTTTTACAGGAGATGCGCCCCAGCACGCTGCAGGTATGATCGATCATCATCACTGGGTTGGTCGGCCCACAAGGTTTAAAGCCTCGTCCAAAAGCAACGGCTTGGAGCTCGAGGGTTTATTAGAATCCCTGTTACCAGCCACCTTAAGCGTTCAGTAGGAGAGCCCAACTTAGGGCTGTGAGTGTAAATCAATCTAGGGATACGGTTTCCCGGATGATGTGCTTCTTCCATTCCCATTCCTTTTGGTCACACGTTTGTCGTTGTCCTTGCAAATTCTAGTGTGTAGAGCATCACAGTTTTCACGTACTATTTGACCAAATTTTGTACCGAGAAGACATCGTGACAGTAATTTGCTCAGCCAAGCGTTGCGTGGGGGGTTTTTGCAGTTTGTTAACGTATTTACTTGAGATGATCTGGCATATGCACTTACATTTTCTCCTCTCGGTAGGAAAGCTGTGTTGCCTCCACCTGAAGTTTGCCATTTTCAGTCGTATGACTTAACGTGGGTTGCTTCCACGCTGGTATTGGATGCCTTTCACAGTCGATTGGCATTTGTCGAAGCCGCTCCTTCGGGTTTGGGCTTCAATATCGAATCGTAGACAGATAAGAGCATTGTTTCCAGTCAAGGAAATAGAAACGTTTTGGTGCACCAGGTGAATGTTCATCTATTTCACAATCGATGGATCTATTTTAGCTGTTCATAGACATATTTATCGCAAGGTGCTCACATTTTTCTTCGATTTTATGTTGTAGGTTCTAAGGACGCCTTACTATCGCAATTGCAAGGCCGCACGGAACATGCGAAAAGGTAGTCGATGAGTTACGACGGTATTGATTTTGAACGCAGTGTAGAATCCGAGTGATGCAGAAATGCATCTGAAATTTCCATGCCTTTGCATGGAGCCTGAAAGTCTTTCGCTTCAGTTTAGGCGCTCTCTTGAAGTAAGACTTGCTCGTGGGACGGCTTCTTTGTGAGGTCCTTTGTCTACTATGACGAGAACCTTACTCTTGGTGTGCATTGATACGATCACTTTGTGCCTTAATTTCCTCAAGATCTCAGGATCTTTTTATATCGCTCTCATGTCCAGTGGTTCAAAATTATGGTCAGTAAGTAAAGTAGTTATTTAGTGTTGGTGTAATGTTTGGCACATGTCGAAGGTCATGAGTGTTACGGCAGGGGAGAGGTTTGTGTGTCTGCTTGTTACTCGACATCATTTGAGGCCTGAAAAGACTTCGTGTTCTTCGTCGATGCGTCAGGTGTGCGACAAATACGGGACTTCTGTAAGCAGGTACGGCTGGAGACTGTTATGCTTGCAAAGAAGAAGCAAGGGGAGGAACTGACCAAGAGGAGGAGGAAACCGGAGACAAGCCCAGTGCCGGAAGGAGTTCCAGCTAAGACGCTCGATTTGGAGGTCCCTTCTCCTTCACATTCTCTTGAAGAACCGTCTCATTCGAACGAGAAAAAGGTCGTACCGGTGGTTCTCAGAGAACCTCGTGAACCCAGTGAGTCAAGCGAGGCTGCGAAGCCACGACTCATTGTTCCAAAGCCTGAGAGCTCTCCAGCGCAAAGGGAGCGGGAAAGGGAGATCACACCCAAGCGAGAAAGAGAAAGGGAAATCACTCCCAAGAGGGAGAAGGAGAGGGAGAGAGAAAAGTCTCCGAGGAGGGAGAGGGAACGGGAGGTTGTTGTACGAGAGAGAGAGAGGTCTCCAAAGAGGGAAAGGGAACGTGAGAGAGAACGAGAGAAGTCTCCGAAGAAGGAGAGGGAGAAGTCTCCAAAGCCTGTTCAGATGAAACCGAAGATAGAGGAGGAAGAGGAGCTAACGAAGGATGATACTGAAGAATCTGAGTGAGTAGTCAGACGTCAATACATTCGAGTAGTCACTAGGATCAAACCGTCCTTCACTCAACAAGTCTCGGCAGGAAGGAGGGCGGAAACCATCACTAAGACGCAGACGCCAAATGTACAAGTGCGGGTGATTTTTTTCTCCACCGACTCGTTCGAGGCTGTACAGGATGCCGCCGGTTTTACGACGGCCAAGGCCATTTTGAGCTGCTGCATTGTAGTGTTTTCTTGGCCTAGGAAACATGATGCTTTACTTCTTGACACCAGCACCATGTAGAAGTGGTGCAGGATTGAAGGCAGGGTCCCAGAGGAGACACAGTTAATGTAGAGGATAGAATTTCAGGAACGTAGGTTAGGAAAACTGGCCATCTCTGAAAGAGTTGGCCAACACTGGGGACAAAATTGCTTCGTTTCATAAGTCTGAGGACTCAGCTGGGATGTCTTTGGAAGGTGAATTCTGAATGCAATGCTGCATCCCTCTTCAATATTTGCTAGAGATGTCCATTCCCTGAGGGCGTCAGATCGATATTGGCTAGAAAAAGTGGTAAATGGGGACATAGTTTTTTTCCCCCAATACCGCAAGATGAATGGCATATGGCTCCGAACGAGCCTTCATTGGAGGTTGTATGAATTTTGTGAACACTGTATGGGCCGTCAGTCGCGTGTTGAATTCGTCTCAAAACTTCTAGAAACGAGACTGCAAAAGCCGGTTGTGATGAGGTTTTTCTGAGCTAACAGCAGATGTGTGGACCCCAAATTCCAGCTCAGAATCAGCTGTTTTTCCGCAGTTCCAGAGGTTACGTTCCTTGTGATATCTTGGAGAGTACTTTCGGTCCAAAGAATTGTTCATTGGCGATGTTCTGTAGGCACCTAAGTGGGCGGTCGGAACATCTTATCTACAGCTGAGAAGGGACACGAAGATCATCGACACATTTGGGTTTTGAAAAAGTGGTGATCGGCGGCGGTGCTGCTCTGCTGCAGTGCATCTGGGTAAGGCTTCGGCTCTGCCAGTACACAAATTGCACCGGCCGTAACGTGTACGCCCCATCACCGCCAGTAATGGATGAAGGCGGTACGGAAAGGCATCACAATGCAGCGATTGGGACAGTATGTCCCCTACTTATCAACCATCGTGACCGATGGCGATTACGGATGGTAAATTGTATTGTCAGAGTATCCAAGAGGAGAGGAACTATTACCGAGGATACCGTACAGGCACTCCGTTCGAGTCTACACTGTAGACCACCTTCTTCCGGAGAAGTACGAGTCAGCTCAGCTCAGCAGGCAACTCTCGTGCTTCTCTTTGCGGGTGTATGACTTGATTCCCTCAACTTCTCTTTTGACGATGAATCTATCCAAAGGATTAAGAACTGAACACGACCTCCGCTGCCTAGCACTGTACTCAATGGCTCGATCGGATCTCCTTGTGAAATCCCGGAACTCCCAAGAGCATATTCTTCTCTCTTCTTGAGATGGAAAAGCGAGAGACATAACAAAGAGGAGAGATGAAACCCAAGTGGCAAGATGGCGTGGGGCTACGACAGGATCACCATAGATGGGAAACCTCTTGACATCGGAGATACACACTCTTTGTCCTTTGTGTACTTTTTTGTATTCATTCATTGTATTCTGTCTCCAAAGTTTTTTTTGCTCTCATCCGCCTTTTCGCTCTTCGTCTGTACTGTTCTTATGTGTCGTAGGCCATAACTCCCTCTTCCTCAGTACGGTGGAGTGAGTGATGGTCGTACCTAGATTCCTGATCTAAAGCTACAGATTCTGTATTATCTGCAATTACAACAAAAGTCAATCAAAGCGAGAGTTGTTTGTGAGGGACAGAAAGTCTCTCGCTGCTGTTCCAGTGTACGAAGAAGAGGCCCGATGAAGAGGCACTTCTGCACTGGGAAGACACAGCATGTGCGTCTGGATAGATCTATTGCTGTGGAGGAGCTATCTAAACAAAAATCCTGGATAGATCTAATGCCGTGGAGGAGCTATCTAAACAAAAATCCTGGGAAGACACAGCATGTGCGTCTGGATAGATCTATTGCTGTGGAGGAGTAACGATTATGTACAATTACATTATCTGCAATTACGACAAATGTCAATAAAAGCGAGAGTTAGAGTTAGAGTTGTTTGTGAGGGAGAGAAAGTCTCTCGCTGCTGGTCCAGTGTACGAAGAAGAGGCCCGATGAAGAGGCATTTCTGCACTTCTATCCGTGAGGTGCATATGTGGATGAGAGGTCGACGCGTCCGTTGCTTGCACCGGAGTAAAGCCACCACTGGCGTTGAAATTAACAAAATACTCTAGAGAAGGCATCTGATGCTGGGGCATCTGCATATAATGCAGTTGTTGCTGTTGTTGATGCGGCTGCTGTTGCTGCTGATGATGCTGATGCTGCTGTTGTTGATGCTGGTGGTGGTGGTGCTGCATATGATAAACATCGTTGTCTTGCAGCGCTGGCGTTGTCTCTGCAAAGGCGACCTGAGTAGGCCGTGCATGTGCGTAATACTCTGGAGGCACCGCGTTGTAGGCAGTATGGGTATGCGGTGGGTTGTTGACATTGTTGGCAGCAGCATCCTCCAGCAACAGTATCCTTAGCTTCTCGGACAAAGCCGTTCTGTTCTCCTCCAGTCTCTCGGCCTCTCGCTGAAGAAGTCGTAATGTCCCGTACGCTCCATTGACAGGATCTCGTTCCCGAGTGTCAGACTCGAAGCAGACACTCTTCATCAGATCGTCGACGGAGCTGCGATTCTCTCGAATCAGTCTCAATATGTTCGCTACTCCGAAGAGCCTGTGCGCGTTGGCAAAGCGCCTGGGCTGGTCCGGAGGGAACCACGGCGCCAGCAAGCAGTCCACAGCGCATTTCCGACGCTGGAACTTGCAGGCAGCGCACGCTGCGTTCGGAGGGGAGCCCATGCTCGATGAAAGCACAATACCAGGGAGCAATCCGGCGGAGCCCTGTACGATGGGTGCGAATAACTTCTGACCAGTACATCATGACACTTATACTTTCTCTGACGGCGATTGCTAATTAGACAGCGCCGTCAGTCATGATTTACTTAGAAAAGCATTTGCTATTCTTTTGCGAACCTACTACGCTGCTCCCATCGACACCTTATCGTCGGCGTCGGCGTAGCGGATCAAAAGCGCCGGTGAAATCGTCACTTTTGGCTCGCCGACAATAAGCAACAACTGCGAGAAATATAAGCAGCGGTTGCCGCTGCACACCCTCGCCCTTGTTTCTGAAACCTTCTCTTGCACAAATATAGGCCCCCAGCACCATTCCACGTAACCTCCATCCTCGTCCCTTCCGCCCACCTTGTTGCACTACTCTTCGGCTTGGTTGGGGCAACGACGCAGTCGACATTTTACACACCACTTGTCTGTACCACGTAGACGACCATGGTCGTACCTAGATTCCTGCTCTAAAACATTGTGGAGCCCCGAACGAGACGACGCGTGAGGCCATATCAGTCGCCCGTCTCTTCCCGGTACTCAGGAAACTGTACATTTATCCCAAAGTCGAACTCCAGAATTGCCATACGGCCTTCCAAAGAGGGCCCGGTACATCTGCAGCAGTGCAACCAGCCTTGATGGATCGGAAAGGGGATCGATGTGCAGCTTCACGAGAATCATTCTCATGCGGGCAGGACTTAATTTGAAGCAATTGATGCTTCGTACTCAAACAACGGGAACACATGTACTGCTGATTTCTAGACCTGCCATGAACTGTTCATCAAATTCGAACCGACACTTCGCGTCCTGCGGGCAGTCTCATCTTCGGTGACAAGATCCCTCTCCCTTTGACGAACGATTCGAAGGTCACATCTCCTATCCTCTCCTATATAAAAGGTACAGCGACGAGCTGCACAAGTGCTTTGTTGATTCTCTCCAGATTGGACTTTGGTGTGGATTCCCGTCGATTTTTGGAATTAAATGATAATTTCATTTTTAAAAATAACCAATAGATTTTGGCACTAATTCTGAAAGCCAAGTTTGAAAATAGTATCATATTCACATTAGTTGCACATTAGCTTCGCCTTTAAATACTTTGTGGTTTTTAAATTTAAAATGCAAAAACAAATTGTCCTACGGTTAAATTTTTAAGATTTCATATTCATTATGTAGTTTATTTTTCATTTACTACGGATTTTTTATTTACTTTTAGATGAGATTCATAAACAATAAATCTTTTGAAACCTCTAAGATAAGCTAATATAAATGGTGTGTGTATATATATATATATATATATATATATATATATTACACTGTGTAGTTTTGTTACATGAAATATCAAAATACAAATTTTAACAAACAATTCCAACTGAAGTTTAATTTGTCTACCACCAGGTAGTCATCTAGTACACCAAAAAAACTATAACAACTTAAACAAATGTTAGTAACTTTAGTGTAAGACCCATCATGTGAAGTTCATGTTAGAAATTTATCAAATCAACTTGTAAACAACATCCAGGATATATTCATCAAACAAAGGTGATCATTCTATTCAACATGTATTAAGTTCCAAACAAACCGTTGCTTAGACACAATCACATTGCATTTCATGAGGTGGACAAGAATTATATTTATAATGTCATAAAATTTTGAAAGAAAATATTATAGGCATTTGAAAATATTAGGAAATAAAATCTCATAATTCTTTACTATCAAATCTCTATTATATGTCAGTCTTTGATATTGTGCAAATACTAATAACATCCAATATGCTTGGTGTAGTCGTAGACAAAATCACAAAGTCAAGGTATGCAATTTGCATGCAGCTGCATATCATATCATAGCATATCTATTACCATTTACCATAATGGAACATTTTGTATCGCAAAAAATAATTATATGTTGAAATATCACAAAAATCGATAATATAACTAGATTCAAATTACATAAACATCAATGTTTGATAAGTGACATTAGTGGAAAGCATATATATGACATTCCAAATCACACTATCACAATTGTAATATATAATAATATTGTTGTGAAGAAATTGACTCAATTCACTTGCTCCGTATTTGATAATAACACAATGTGATCAATATAGAAAACAAATTTTGATCCAATCATATAGATTAATAAAGTATATCCAAACCAAAAAATCAGAGTTCTATAATTCCATAATATCACGTAAATAACTGGTTAGTAAATAGGCTAAGTATAACAAGACATCAAAGTGGAAAATTGTCATCAATATAGATAATTACACCAATGTGATCTATATAGAAAATGAATTTTGATCCAATTTAAAAACATCCACACCAAACCCTCAGAATTCTATGATTCCATAATTTCTTAAATTGGTTATTTACTTAAATAACTGGTTTATAAGTAGGCTAAGTATAACAAGAGATCAAAGTGGAAACTTGTATGCATTTTTGGTTATGTTTGTGGTATGAAGGTGATTAGACATGATATGAATTATAAAAGTGATTTACGGGATTACAAATTTATACTTATAACACTTACTTACTGTTTTTAAGTTAAAAGAGTAGAAATACAACCATAAGTTTCTGATTATATGGCAGAGCCCTCTTACATATATATTGACGGGGAGGGATCAAAGTATTGCTAGTACCAAAAGTTGCCTTGATGATATTTTAGATGTTCAAATTAAATAATGAACAGATTTTTTTTATATACAAGTATCACAATATTGCCATTTTTTCAGAGGATCAAGTTTTGCTATACATAATTCAGCACAATAGTCTCGTAATTTGTTACTTCTTACACACACAAAAAATTCAAAATTTCATTGAATATTTCTGGTGAACTGATTGTAACACTCTAATGGAGATTATGGCCAACTGCAAGGGAGAGCCAAGTCTTCAGAAAAAGTGCTTCACAAATTCCGCCTTGTTCATAGTTTTTTTGCCCGAGATTCACACCTCCACTCCAAACTCATGTCGCTACGTGGTTACCCTGTTCTCTAGAGAGAAGGATACTTGTTCCTTACCTACTTACATGATTCTTAAAACCTAAAATCAAACGTCGTGTTTAGTGCGCAACATCCATGTAAATCATATAAATATGAAACATGTTGAGGTGCATTATTACCTCTTTATGCAGAAGAACGCTTTTGGATGTAATTTACGAAAAAACTAAACATTATATCGTGGATAGTTCAAAAGGACGTTTTAGATTGAAAGTAAGTTGAAGTTGTATTCGAGACTACATAGGATTCTGGAATACACTGTTTCTAGGTTTTCAGTTAAGCCTCATGTTGTCATGGATGTAATTCAAGAGAGATAAACTATGTATTTTTGACATCAAATTTGAATACTTGCTGAGATCTTTTCTATTTTTCTTGTGGATTTTTTGTTTTTGTATCATGATCTATGGAGATTTTTTTTCAATAATCTTCATGTTCCCATGGATGTAACCCAAGAAGGATGAACCAGGTAGATTTGACATCGAATCTAGATGCTTGCTGTGTTCTATTTCTCGTTCTTGTATCATTTTTCATTTTACATTAACCATGGAGACAGTTTACTATGTGCATTGCAGATGATTTCTTTTGTTTTTCTCGTGTATCTTTATAGAATGTGATCAATTGCAAAATTTATTGTGTTGAATCTTTTTATGACATTGAACGGAGAAGTAAAAAATAGGCTTAAATTTAAGATCTAGAAAAATTTTACATATTTCATATTTTGTTTTTCATATATGACAGGTAGTTTCGTGTGTATATATATATATATATATATAAAAAATTTGAAAACGTATGAAGTTATTGAGCATATATTGTAGAGAAGATATTGGAAAACAATAATATACATCGTAATGTAGAATGTTCATTAACAAAACCTTGAATAGGAGATATATAGTTTTAGGCGATCGTATGACAATGGTGTATTGGTTTACTCTTCCTTCTTATCTTCCGTTTTCAAGCATGCGAATAAACTTCAGTCCTCGTAAGTAAATTCACTGAAATACAGGTTGGTGTGTGTGTTTGCTAGGCGGCGATAAAACATAACAGGTCATCAAATGTTATGGAGGTTACTAGTGTAAGAAAATTAGACTCTAAATTCAGCAAGTCAGTCCATTGTTTTTGTCGTACTCGGAGATTCTGTTCAAGTGTGAGATAAACCTCAGGTAAAGTCTATGTTTCCTGAACAACAAAATGGAGGGGAGCTTAGCTGAACACACTATACAGTTTCCAAAATTGTTCGAAACCACACTTTTCACCATTATTGATCTCATTCCTTTCGAATTTTATTGAAGTCACATTCTGCTTGCATTATCAGCCGACTTAGAGAATGATATTCACGTCGGAGCACAAGTGAGGTTTCAACAAATGATTCTTCGTACTTGAGTGCAGATAAAAAACATGTTCTTAATCTTCCGCACTTCTTGGCTTCATCACCGCCGAGAAACTTGTCTCGAATATTGTAACAGTAACTGCATCTCAGCGACGGAAACGGGTTCTTAGGGCGATAGACAATCTATTCTCATTTCAGGTAGAATGCTCAACATCAGACCAAATCAATTGCAACTGGGTACAATAAATTACACCTATCTAGATACATGGAAGATCCTAAATCTATGATACACCTATACGGAAATGAAGTGATTAGAACATCGCTTTGTGATCCTTGTGAAGCTGTATAATGTCGGCTATCTCATATGGAAAGCCGTAAACTGGACCTCATAGGCTAAAATAGTCAGATAAATTCGAACAGAAGACCGTCTACAGAATCCCAAGGGGCGGTTTCGCTCTTCATACATCTACTACTTAAACCGAGACTTTATGACCGTCACGCCGACTGATATAGAACAAAACTCCTGATCAGGTACATCGCAGGTTCTTCGTATGACCAGGAAATAGGAAGAAAATAATTAGGTGAGACGAAAGTGTCATCCATGTCTTGACTAACAGCATTTGCCCTCTGAACTAGGGTTCCGCCAGTAGGTTCCAACCTTCCTATTATCCACCTCAATGTTTGATGCGTAACTGATGACGGTCACAGGAGCGGAAAAAGAATCAATTTTTACAGGTTCTACACGATCTTGCATGCATCATTTTCGACAGAACAGACGGTCTAATTATTTCCTCCTTGGATGCTCCTTAGCACCTGCAGAAGGGAAAGGAACAAGTTGATGATATCCAAGTACAAGGACACAGAAGCCCAAATGTATTCATCAACGTCATATCTCTTGATCAAGTTGTCGGTATCGTAGACGATGTAAAGGCTGAAAATAAGAGATCCAACTCCTCCATAAATAGCTGAACCGATATTTCCCAGAGGGAAAAACATCTACACAAACGAGGCATGTGCGTTAGGATGACCAAAAAAAAATCAACGTACAATAAACACTGAAGCCTTACTTACATAACTGGAATGATTAAGAAATTACCTGAATGAAACCAAAGACCACAAGAACAATCACGGAAACGAATAAGGCTGGGCCCAGAAATTCGAAATCTTTTCCCTGCTTCACTGCATAGTATGTGTATGCAGTGAGAGCCAAAACTACAGTTGCCGTCAATAACAAGGCTTCCAACACGATAATTCCTGAAAACAATGAGAAACAACAATCAGGTACGTGTCCAAAATTAGGTCAACTTCTACTGATATTCCTCTTATAGAACTTGTGCACTCCAAAGCTTACAGCAATTCTCTTGAAATTGCACTCGAAGTACTAACGGTTGATTTGAAACAACAGACGATAGGTTCAAAAGTTGGTTGTAAAATGTTTATTTTTGCTGAAAAATTGCTTCATAAACAAAATTTGGGCACAGTAGACTTAAGAAATCAGAAGTCAAGATTCAGGTCAACTTACAACACGTCACTCAACACTGATGTGACTTGTAGGCTGTTGAAGTGTATCAACATCATCATATATCACACATATATTCCTTACCAGGAGTGAAGGCGCATGAGATGCCGACCGTAAGACTCACTGCTACAGTGAACAGACCCAATAGCGCCAAATTCGTAGGATGACTTTTGTGGTAGTAGTACAATGGAATCATCACTGCGTGTCAAACGAATAAAGCATATTAAAACACACTATTCGTTTTGGCACAAGTGGAACAAAACAGTATTGTGCAGCAAAAATGTATCTAAACAAGCATCGGAAGAGATTGTGACCTGCATTGATAGAATTACTTGATTCCCTGGAACTAGAATAAATAACTATTCTACAATCCCATTTCTCATTTCCCGGATCTTACGAGAACGGAAGTGAGGGACATCATCTGTAGTGACCTCTCAAAAATCATATGCCCTTTGCATCCTGTTGACAATGTGCTCTTTAACTCTCGTTGAAGATGCTCCCTGATCTACACCCTGAACTATGCTTGCATGAAAAGGCCGCAACTCTATGAGAGTAAATCTAATGGTGGTAGCAAAAACGGGGAAGGTGACTTACAGATGAGAGGCACGAATGCAAGGAAAATGAGTAGAAAGGGGCTCCTTATAAAGAAGTCCTTCACAGATTCAGTGAACACGACCACTGAGGCGACAATCGTGGTCAATATCATCTGCATGCTCAAGATTCCGTAGACTTTTCTCAAAAATCCCCATCTCAGCATTATGTCTTCGGATGAATGGCCGGGATACAGCGCCCCCTTCCCCATCTCAAGATCCTCATACTTTGCGGAAGACATATTCGAAAACATCTGCGCTCGTCTCTTCAAATTTCTAGGGCCACCACCCAAAATGACAGATCTCAATCACACTGAAAACCGTGTTATCACCCTACGAACTCCAAAGCCGGCAAATTCTAAGCACAAAGACTCCAACTCCACCACGGATTCCGCCAAAACCTGGTACCCAGTAAAAAACTCGCCTTTTACAACTTAAAAACCTCTCTGCCACCACCTCCCGTCAAGAATTTCCTTGTGGCTTCGATGGTACACACATATGAGAACAGCAAGTTCACTGAATCGAGAAAGACCTACGGAAAGTCGACACCAATCTTTTGGGAAATTCTTTGCGAAATTACGAACATTACCAACTTGCAAAACGTAAGTCGGTAAAGCTCCCTCGGACCGAACGCTTCAGCCTCACTCGATCGATCAATCAATCAATCAATCCCTCTCGACAAATGTCAAAGCAAAACAAAGACTGCGACAGATTGTGCATCGACGACAGATTGTGCATCGACGAAGGGCCAATAATGAGCCTCGGGTCGACGACCGGAGAGCAATTTGGAGGACCGGAAGCGGCCTCGCCCTCTACCGTTCGAGTTCGAGTTCAAGTTCGAGAATCATCGATCGGTTCACGTACCAAGTGATTCGTTCGGGCGAACAAGACTTGGCGCACACGTTCCCAACTCCACCTCCTCGTCCTCCTGAACGCTCCACGCTCCTCTGGCGTCCTCGTCTCCCGACCCCGCTCCTCTCCGCTCCTGCCTAGCTTCCAGAAGATGGGCCTTACCGTTCAGACCACGGTGCATTGACCTTCGCTCTGCCTTTTGAGACCGGTCCCAGCTGTCAGTCCTCCACTTAGTCTGTCAGTCGCAGGCGTATTTCTGTGGTTCCAGCCGAGAACTTTAGGTTTGTCTCTGTGGTCGGTTGGGTCGGGTTCGAACCCGGCTTCCGTGGTCACATCCGGGGTTTCACCGGATCCTCGTCCGGCCGGGTGCCGCTTGCCAGGAACGTGCTGCCAACCGGATCACAAATTCCAGAGAGCCGGAAAAGCGCAACCGCGTGTAGGACTGAGCTGGCCTGGACCGAGGGCAGCCGAGCTGGTGCTCCTTTTCTCCAACGCGTGTCTCGTTAGCGCGATGTGGGCCGGGCAGAGAATAGCATGGCTCCGCTGCTGACTCAAGCGGGTCTATGATTACAGTAATCAAGTGGGCCAACAAACCTTTGCTTACGATCCCAAACCTTCGCCCGAATCACCGAATCCGGTGATTTACTTCTCCTTGCACATTTCTTACACACGAGAACTCGATCGATTAACAATGCTGATATCCTAAATTTTGTCCTCATATTTAATCTCCCGTTCTTGCAATGGATTTACGGGCGGACCTTCTGGTATGACGTGTACAACTAAAGGCGAAGCGAGCGGGCAGGAGTGCTGCTGGAAATGAACATGCTTGACACGTCGCCGACTTAAAGTCCAGAGGATGCTGAGAGTTAAGGTCCGAAACTTGAGCACAAAGGAGAGAACAAAGCACTTGAAATACTGGAACAGAGCTGAACTGGAAGTCAAGACGGCGAGCCTCGACTTGAAGGCGAAGAAACGAATGAGGGCGGAGCCCAGCTCCCTTACCCTTGACGGCGGGAAATGAACGGGAAGTCCCTCGGAGAAGGTGGAGACGGGATCCTTGCTTTGACTCGAAGGATTTCTAGACAATTCTAACTTCGATACCAATTTGGAATAATAGAGTACTCTCATTTCGATATGAATGCTTTGATAGGAGGTATTTATTTGATGGTAAATATATGAACCAAATTTTTTTTTGGGATTTATTAAGTTTTGTTTTAGTCTATGGAATACCATCGGGTAAAATTAAATCATACAGGTTCTAATATCAACAAAATTGTGTACAACGATCAGTCGACAAGTTGCTGTTATTGCCCAAACCCTTTGTAATTGCAATCTGAGCAAAGCATTGTACGGAATCTAACCTTGTACTCTCGGCATCCAGTACGTGCATTGGTTGCACCCTTGCAGTCTAGGCGTGTCTAGATTTATTAGGTTGATTATTACACAAAATTTTGCAAAATATAAAATATATGATACAAAATATCATTTAATTAAAATCGATATTTACTTATAATGGATATATCTTACATTGATAGAATGACCACCTGGTCTAAACCATATGATTAAAAAAATGTCACAATTTCAAGATGGATAATATCTGATCAAGGAACACCATCATCGATTTTTATATATATATATATATATAAAAACCCTAAACCCTAAGCCAAGAGCCGAGCGGTGACGTCGGAAGGAAGACGAGGGAGGGGGTCCAAGTGTCGCTCGGGCGGTCTCGAGGGAGGGAGGGAGGGAAGGAAGGAAGGAAGGAAGTCTCTTGCTTTCGATGCACACCAGCTCCTCCTGCCCCTCCTCCTGACGCGTGAACTTTGTTTGCATCGGCGAAATGACGAGGTGACGAGAAAAGTCCATTTCCGAGCTTGCTCGGAAATTCTATATTTGCTCGGCTGATCCCTGCGATCCTCAAACGTCGCTCGACTTTCTTTGTCTCGGCACCATGTGCTGAGCAGCAAAGACCTGCGGAAGAGCACCTACGGCTACCTACAGCTCGCACATGGCTCACTTTACACTTCCCACTCACTGCAGGTCGTCGTCGTTTCGAAGCACGAGGGCAAGTGAAGCGAAGTGAAGTGTCGTGGATCAATGGATTTGTACGTTGTTACGGCAGAGTCAACTTTCTTCGACTGACAGGCTTCTTCTTCGTGAAAAGGACCTTCTCGGCCGTAAAGCTCCCAAGGGAGTGAAGGCTTGGTGGGAATCGGACGAGTGTTAGGGTTTAAGCAAACGCACTGAAAGCATGTCAGTATCTGATCAAAGACGACTGCAATGCCCGTCGACATCGCATGAGGCATGAACGGGAAAACGTTTTCTATGCTGGCATGCAGTTTGCTATTTTCATCAACCTCTACGGAAGAATACAGCGCCTGTTATGCACCTTCGTACCTCGACTATGCCTGTTATGGTATTAAAGACGGGGCCTCCTCCTCGATGGGCTCCGCAAGGTAAGTGGATTACATATGTACATATGCTCACATGTATACATATATTGATAGGGTCTAGTTATCACTCAGTTTGGGTCAATTATCATTCACCTTAGTAGATTAACTTCTAAGATTGAAAAAATAGCTTTGTGATTGGTCAGGGCTATCCATATGTTTACTAGAGTTCCTTCATATAATCTTCGTGCTCAGAGAAAAAAAGAGTGAGAAGTAGAGAAAAGTATAATTAGCCCAGACGGAAGGATAATTAGCGGCTCCGTTAAAATAGGGTTGAATGAGAGTTCGACAAATTTCGAACACGGGCTCTTCGCACAGGCTTGAGAATCGTTGAGTTCATGTCTGCGTGTTGAACAGCTGAAGCACATCTTGCCCATGAGAATACTTTATTTTGGGATGAGTTGGACTGGATGGTCACGGTCGTTGAGCGCGACTAGACTAAATCTTCTAGCACAGAAATGAAGAGTTTGGAATATCATAACATGTTCCAGGTCCAAAGGAACAACTATTTGCTACGAATGTGTTTGAGATTCTTTCTTTGCATAATCCTTAAGCACATTGTATAAGTATTGTTCCGACCTTCATGCGAGAATAATTGTCTTACATGTGAGACATTTATTATCGTGAAGATCATGCATGGCACGGTAAGGAAGTATGTCCAAGGAAAGGCAAGGCAAGGCAAGGCGTGGCATGGCATAGCATATATGTTCCCAATGGTTTTAAATCACGAAGCTGTCTGGCTACTTCAGAAAAAGTGTACAATTGCAACAATGTATCTGTTGCAAAACGAAACGGATTCTGAATGCAATAGTAGGAACATCATGCATAGTTTTCTACAGATTCGTACGTCAATGTCTCAGTTCTTTTCAACACATGGCTCCACCGGGTCTTCACTCGTCACCTATGTTTATGGACAGAGAAGAACCTTTTTTCATACCTTCTGACCTTCCTTCAAGGAACAGTCTGCAGCAGATTTGGTCAGCACGTGGATCTCATTTAAACGTTTCCTAGAAGATTGAGATCAAAGACTGAAGAGCGTTTTGGAAACGAAGATGTGGAAAGCCTCACAAACAAAGAAAGAAATTCTTTGGCTTATGTTAGGCTCAGTTTGCTGCTTAACCAATATGCCAAAATCCTGTCATCGTCAAAATTCATGTCGATGTGTTGCACTGCAATCGCATCTGTGAGCTACAAGTTCTCTTATGAGATTGAAGCTTTTCTACCGTCACAAACCTTCAGGAAAACACGAGGATGCATCAAGTACAGTCTAGATTAAATCTGGAATTTAGATGTTTTTTCCAAATTAAAAACATGAGCACAAGTTTTTTAATTTAATCAGATAATTAATAATTAATGATTAATCAGACTAAGATAATATTTTTGGTATTTTTGTGTACACTTGTTCTTCCTAGCTATAAAAAAGGCGGTGTTGATTGGAACTTCACCTAGGTGCAACTTGGATGGCAAGGTTCCCTTTCTAGGAAAACCACAACGCGCAAGCTTTATGGGGAGTTTATCAACCTAAAAACGATAGCTATGAACATATTTTATAACGACACAAGCTAATAAGTAGCAGTGAGGAATCTGGCGCACCCAAGGTTCATATATAAAGCTCTCATCCAGTCCAGTGAGTTTTTCTCATGAATAACCAATTTCTCGACACTACATTGACTCTTCTGAAGACCCGTGGTCAAGAAAAATTCTAGAAATATGTTGCCGATGTGACGAAGAATTGTTGTTCGATGGCTCGAAAGTGCAAGACATTGATTCGAAACGACTGTAGTACAAAAACAAAATGCTCCCCACTGAAGTTTAGCGAACATGCAAGTGAATCCACTTTGAGATTTTTGATTCTTGACTGGACCATCGATCCCATATACCTGCAGAAAATAATGTTGGGTTTGTCACTTTGTCGCTCCATTCCAGTATCACTTACAAAGAGCAACTACACTCTCACGAAGCATACGGTGGCGATGACAGTGATGAAATGAGAGAAATGAGAGAAATGAGAAATAGTGAATGAAGTTAGAAACAAAATTGAATGGGAGTGCCCGTCAAAATTGACAGGGATGAAATCCAAAGTGTAGGTAACTTGGAGCTGAGTTTCAGTGACATCATAAGTGGAATTATATCTAACTGCATCTATTATATCTGAACTTTCTGAATCAACCCATCTATAATTTACAATAACATAACAACGATCATCACATGTTATTGCTCTATTATAGATTGCACCGACTAGTTATCTCTGTAGATCAATAGAAACATGTATGTAATTACACTTTCTTGATAAATGTCCACAAGAATAATAATCAAACCCAGATTTTCTAAAGGTGATGTTATGTAATTTGATCGATGATGTACATCTACGATGACTGATATTATCACATGTTGGATCTCTAAAGACAACATTTGCCTCGTTGATTCTTAGATCTCACCAAACCTCAATTTAATACAAGAAATTGAACTCGTCTCTATATCTTTCAACATCAATAATATCATAAAAGTGTATTTCCTATCATTATGATAAAAAATTAGAAACCTTTTAATAACCTCTGCAATGCGGTCAAAGGTACGTGCAAGAGGACATTGTGAAGAAGTAGTACAGTAGATGGTTCACGAGTGCCATGAAGTTATGGCATTACCGACTGGAGCTAGGTCGTTGTAGTGATGCTTGAGGGATATGATGGTTGGAGGGTTGGGGTTCATCCCTTCCTTTCCTGTTTGCTTTACTACATACACTCTGACCTGTCTCTGCCAAGTTCTCCACTTAGAAAAGCAACAAGGCGATGTCCTCATTACGTGAACTGTTCCCTTCCTTTTAGCTTTACTGCTCGTCCCCCTTCTACTCCGGGCCCTTCTTGCTTTATTACTTGGCCCCCGCTGTCCACTGAGAACAAGGCCAAATGATCCGATGTCGATGTCGATGTCGTCGGAGGTTTACGTTGTCGACAACTTTAGTACAGAGTAGTCGATTGCAGCAGTTGCCCACGATGTCTCGGGTTTTGATGTGGAGCCTCCTGGTATGGATGTCGGGTGGTGTCTCAGACAAATGCCCAATCTTGAGGCACACTTCTCTGCACTGCACTCTACAAGTCGAGCGATGTCGCGATTGATGAGCTCGGTTTCCGAACTTCGTTCGATTGCGTCTACTGCTATCGAGGAGTGAGCGAGCACCTCCTTCAGAGGGGTTGATGGGAAGCATTGTGGAATCTTCCTCATGGTCAAGTGTGTGCTTGCTTTGACAAGCACCCAGTGACAATTGCATAGGAAGCAGGTGCGGGAAGAACATTGTCCCCTGCCGCTAATAGTGGGTCACCTTGCACGGACGTGACCGACCTGGTGATCCAGCTCATCCTCTCAATACGGCTTCACCTTCCGCCAAAATACTCCTTCTCCCGCTTAGATCGCCTCGTGAGTCATGCGGATGTGCGACCACACTGGATCTGGCTGAAGGTCATTCACGATCGTGCAATGTCCACGAAACCAACAACTGCTTGGATGTAGTCCACTCCCGAGGGAGTAAGCAACGGGAACTTCCATTCTGAATTCACAAACTTTCTCGCCATGTAAAAGCTTCTCCTCAACGAATATCTCTGCTACGCCGCTTAATTCTCGCGCCCCTTGTTTAAGTGTCCTCCGTTGAAATGCGTCACCTTACATCGGCCTTTCCTTTAAACCTATCGAATTTCTCAGAATAAGCGGAAATCCGTTCGGAATTTCGGCGCTCCAACAGATGCAGTTTCGTTGGAGTGACGTACATTGGCTTCTGGACTACGATTTGAGGGAAGCTTTTTGATAACGTTGACCACCCCGTACTGAGTGCTGCGCTGAAAGAGCAGATGGTGGCAATTTTCACAGAAGCGCCGTTTGGGTGACAGGAGATTTCATATTATTCATGCATGTCATTCGCTTCCAAAGAAAAGATGGGCATAGCGCTTACGAAGAGCTCTAGGAGTCAGGAATTTAAAAAAGAGTCAAATTCATTTACTGTACCACTGCACATCTCGACAAGAGTCAATCCCCTAAATCAGAATGTGCAGTCTGATGTTGCTGTACATGTGAAGTTAAATTTCTGTACCAAACACTACGAAGATGAAATCATGAGAACGTACTAATGATGAGAATGAGAATGATAACAGATGAGAGGTTTTGTGTGCATGGGCGGGACCTTTCAATTAAGCTTACTAATAGTTTGTTGCGGTTCTATCCTCTCGGGGCCTGATCATACAAGAGGTGAATCTCTCGTCGGAATGGCTTTCGATATTCTTCTGGAATTGCTCACATCCTGGCAAGAGGAAGAACGAAGGGGAATAACAATTTCTATAGCTCGTTCTCCATTGTTGACACATGATACCCTACATGCAACAGCTATTCATCCACAAATTGCCATGCAGGGCTGGTGCACCCTACCAACCTATAAACCAATTTATTTAATGCTAAGGACAGGTGTCAAGGCTATCAAGGCATACTACCACTGAAGGAACCTCAACTAATTGAGGCAAACAACCAAATGAGGTCTAGGACCTCAGTTGTCCATAGTACAGATCTGCCAGAATGCTCCCACCTCGGAATGTCACTCACTTCGTCATGTAATCAGCTAATTACAAAAGCTTGCGACTGAAAGCTATAGTCCCATCGACTGAAAAATCATCTGGCAACCACCTCGAGGTGACTGAAATAAACCAAAGCTGAACTTAGACAGTCCCTTTTATAGGCAAGAATCCACTCCAAAACCACTGCTAGGTCCAGTAATCCAACCTGAAGCGCGCCTTGCCTTACAACTTTGAAGATGCAGGCCACTCGGTGTTGTTAAGAGGTCGAAGCTATGTTTCAAGCGGTCGTTAACAAAGACATGACTTCTGTGCACTCTCCCATATACACCCTGTAAGTAGCAAGCTTGACGAAAGTCGGGCGGTGCAGATTCCGGTTACATGTCTTGTCCCCTCTGCCCCTCCATGTGCACCTTGTACGTAGTGTGCAAAAACTATCAAGCACGTCTCCGCATAGAAACGACAGTAGGAATGTACTCTGAGGAGTCTCTCAACCAGAGCCAAGTCAAGTCCACAAGCTATAGACGTAAGCTTAGCTGGAGTCGCCAGCTTTTGTGAAACGCTTGCTGTATTTGCTGTATAAGCTGAAGCCAGAATTCACCGGGTGATTGTTTCTTCTGTACAAACTGAGGAAAGTACCTTTGCAGGACCTACTGTTGTAGTTCTAACATCGCTAATTGCTTGACCAGTGGTTCTTTCTCTTGATGAAGTTGTGTCCTGCTGATTGAAGTACTCCGATAATCTCTGTGTATGATACATCATGAGCCTGAAGACGAACCAGATCTTCAATTCACGCAGGCAGCTAGAACGTGAAATACGAGTTCCTAACCCGGAAAAGGGTTGTATCCAGAACTTAATTTACAAACTAAAATAACGACGGTGGAGTCCTGATCCTTTCAGAACTGCTGTGGAGAGAAGGTACCACAAACGGTGTTTGCTCATTTGACCGCGTGTCATCCGGACCTCTGCATCAGAGAAAAGATGAACCAAGACGAGCTAATTAGATCGACGCAAAAGAGAAGCAAATTACCAAAAGCTTGTAACTAAATTTCACGTGAAAGTTAAGACGATCTCATTAGACTTGGGAAAAAAGAAAAATGATTATGTAGTTCGTTCATTAGTCAAAATTTCGGAGTCAAGTGGACCGTAAATCTTGCTACTCTACTTACACTTTCGCTATCAACTTGTTACCATCAATTTCTTTGCCTCAGCAGTTCCACACGCTCAGGCGACCAATACAGAAAACTCTTCAATCCCACACCTTCAAGCAACAGTACAGTCAAGAAAGAACTGAATCGGTACAATTTAGAAGAAACGAAGGTCTGCGGAACAGCGCATGGCATATTATTCAAGTGAAACAACCCTTTTAAACACCAAAGAAATTCGCAGTTACAGCATATGCCTTCATTTCGTTGTTGAACAACAACTCTTACCAAAAGACAATCATGATGGTATCGAGAAGAGTGCAAAGGTGGAGGTATTTTGTGCATGCCACGATCTACTTAGAGGCTCACAGTTATATCTGACATATGGACTGACCGTTCTCGGAATGCAGCATAAAACCGTTCATGAGACTCATGCAACTCTGAAAATATGCGGTGAAAACTCTGTGTCTTTCTCTTTCCAGAAGCCTTCAAAAATTTATCGCTTTTCCAAAGATTTTGCATTTCTGCAAACCTACAAGGAACATATCAATGGACATCAACGCACCGCCTCCCTGCATAGATCCAACGTTAAGGCAAACAGTTTTATGCTTCCTCAAGTTCGCCTCAAAGCTTTCTTTTTGGAGTGTTGAAGACAGTAGGTAACCAGCTAAGGCGTTTGTGACTCACTTTTCTTACAGTGCATCAGCACACAAGTGCCTTTCTAGTCGGTGAGATCGAGAGGTTCCTCGGCTCACGGTATGTCAACATCAAATACCCCAACTCATCTTGTCAACTTAATTTGTTTTCCTACCTACCTAGCGAACGATTAGACTTGCACTCTCCGCTAAGTCTATGATTCGGACAGTGCTCGCAGGTTAATGTTTTCTGAGAAACATCGTGAATTCAGTCACATAATCCAAGACTGATTGCAGCTTCTCGAATTGTGCCCTCTTACTTGTAAATGATTGAAAATTGTGTTCATTCCTCCACCTATGAAGACACTGGAAGCATCAATTCCACTTTACTGGTTGGTTGAAGGACTGCGATTTTGCTCACCTTGCCACGCGGTCGACTTTGCCACCCCTCCGCGGTCCTCCAGGTGTAACCTTCGAGACTCGACTCCGCTCATTCTGAGTTGTTGCGGATCTTGAAAGGACCGGCGTCTCGAGGCCACTCTTCGATTCGTTGGAAGAGCCCGGCACACCTGCAGAAAAGTCCCCGCAAAATTCTGAGAGCGGTAAAACTTAGGCTCATCTCGTCACCCTCAGACCGCGAAGAGATTAGACGAGTTCTACCATAGCGACAGCTTTCATCAAACCCCATTGTCGAGGCAACGGCTTGAGTAAGTGTTGCAATCTTGCGAGTCAAATTCAGCTCATGTTGGGAAGCGTAACTGGGGCACTACTTAAACACTGTGTGTACTAGTAACAATTGTACGGCGACATGCCGTACGACCTTGGCTCTCGTACAAGGTAGCAATACTAAAGCAGCCAAACATATTTACGTGTAGTACAAGCGACAAGATTGCAAAAATTAGAGCAGGATTGCAGCATAAGCTGATTGCAGCATTAACTTCATTGACACGGAAGATAAATAAATTAAAATTCTCCTAAATTTCTCGCACAAGATCAAGACTGTAACTTTGCTACGAGTCCGACGCATGCCATAGATATGAGATGTATACCGGATCGAAAGCTGTCGGCGCTCGATCTCACAGAACTCTGACGCCGGAAAGGGGCCCTGTCGCTGTCAGCCAAAATTTCAGAGGGGGTTGGACGAGGTCCGTTGGTCTTGACAACAAAGTTCGGGTTCCTCGCGTCGCGAGGCACCGGATTGAACGCCGAGGGTTTTCTTTGCTGCTTTGGTGAAGCATCCGGGCCATTGTAAGTCTTGGCGCTGGCGCTTCTGCTCAGGGGACCGGGGCTACTTGCGCCCCCGAATGGACTCCGGCTTCCGAAACTCGGCGGTCCGTAAGGACTGCTATCACCATTCCTCGCATGTCTAGCGGCACAGACAGCGCAGGACGTGTGTCTGGCCTCGGCGACACCACAACCTTTGTCCACTTTGATGGGTGGCAACGTATGCTGGGGAGTAAATTCGAGGTGATTCGAGGGATCACTGACGCCCTTCAAGGCCTCGCCTTGAGCCTTGGAAGCATCATTATCGGCTTTGCCTCGAGGAAGAGTGCGAGCGTCCGTCTTCTCGGCCGGGCGACTACCTTTGCCGGATCCTTTACGAAGTGAAGAGGGCAGTGAAGACTGCGGTGATTTAGCGAGGGCTCGATCGAGGGAGTCCTCCGGGATGTTGGGCTGAGTTGGAATCGCTCTAGATTCTGATCTGTCCCTCCTCCCAAAACTCTGCATCCGCTTAGGACTCTTGTCCGGTGTATTGGAACCTGTGACCCAAGGTTTTAGACGAGCACGCCCTTCGTCTGTGGCCCTGCGTTGAACCCTCTTCTGCTCATTGTTCATTGGAATATTACTGCGATCGTTTAAGGGACAGTGATGGTCTGAGTGTCTCCGATCTGGCGTTCTCGGCAGAGAAGAACTGTCCATTGGGTTTTCCCTGTCAGTAGGTATAACCACAGATATCGGATGGGTTAATTTGGAGGATCCTGGAGATCGGTACACCTTTGTCGATGCTCCCGGATCGCGTAAACCTTCCGTGTCTGGCCCCCGGAGAGTCCTCTCAGGATCCGTGTCGCTGGCCTCCAAAGAAGGTGCGCCCATATCAAAACTTGAATCGAGGCCATCTTCTCCGTTGTGTGAACTTGTATCGTATATCGACTTATCACAAATGATCCCGCCTTCGTGAGCAGTAGAAGATTCACCCTCGCTAGAGCTATCTGCCCACAAAAATTCTCCAGTCCCGCCTGCGGAGATTCTTCTTCTGGGACCGGCGTCGCTCTCAAATTTGTCAATTGTAACTGGCCCGCCTGTATCATAATCGTTAGTACCCTTAGCCCTAGCTCTGTTCGCCTTGCTCAAAATCTCCTCTCCTTCATCATCACCAAAATCGGTGGGTCGCTCCTCTCCATTTGATTCAGCCGAAAATGTACTTTCCGCCTTCGCCCTCCCACCACTCGGTCGTTCTAAGTGTTCGTCCTTCTCTACATCCTCAATATCCTCACTCGCAACATCATTGTACATACCTGCACTATCCGCCCGTATATCAAACCTACCCGACACCGCAGGCTTCTTCTGCGTCGAATTGCTCGCAGGTCCATCATCCTCCTCCAAGATCTCGGAGCCCTCGGATACGGAAGGAATCCCGGCCTCGTGTTTCTCTTTCGACTTGCAGCGCATGACCTTGCCAACGACCCTCCAATCGCTGAACAGCTTGCCTACGTAATGCTCGTGCTCGTCTGCTAGTCCCAAGACTCCTATGGCCTGCTTCAATCTGTTGCGCGAATTACGGGAGCCAAAAATTTGCTCCTTCGTGCCCTCCATAATTCGCAACATCTTCCTCATTTCTTCTACTTCGGCTGCAAAATGTGGAGTGAAGCATAGAGAGTCCAACCCTCCGCCGTTGTTATTATCAGAGCGTTGGTTCGATCTCCTGAAATCTCGATCACCTGGCACTGGTTGTCCGTGCACTTCTCGCGAAGACTTACCTCCGCGAACGGGCGCATACGAGTCAACATCACTGCTCGGCTTCCTGTCGGCGTACGACGAAGAAGGATCCGCGGACCTGTAATCATAATGCTGCGTCTGCGACAGAAAGTCGATGATCACATGGTCCGGAACGTTGGCGTGCCCGAGCATGAGCAGCTCATCGCGCACCTCCGGTACTGAAAACGCCATGTTGGTAGAAAGATGTGCTGTGCCGCGGGGATAAAACGGAGACGGGAGAAAGAGTGAGCGAGACGGGGACGGAGACTGGCAGAGGAAAATTGTAACCTCGAAGTGGAATTTACACTCACGCAAGAGCTATATAGTACAAGAGGGAGCTCCTAAACACCTCCCAGATCACATGTGAAGGACGAGCCAGAAGGTAAAACTGGTTCTCAGACACACGATGGCGAACGACTGCCGAAAGGAGACGCTTCTACAATCCCTGTCCGGAGGCTGCACAAAGAAGTCGAGCGAGAGCATGCTCAACGACATTGCATTGACGAAGCTGTGAAGCCCAGGCACAGCAGCACTAAGAAGACATTCCACACTTCCCGACCTCTGGGACCGCTCGGACCGCGCAGGAACGTGAGATCGGGGAACCCAAGAAGAAAAATACTACGCACACGTAAGCAGAGGAAATTTATCTCGTGGCAAGGCAACAATCAGCTGTCACGAACGCCACGCCACGCCATGCCCTACAACTGTTGTCTGTCGATCGTCAAATATTCTACCAATTCCTTTCAGCTCCGTGAGCTAGCAGAGAGTATGCAGAGTTGACGAGATGCTACGCAATCCACAGACTCCAGTCCGAATTCCACTCGATCGCAAGAACCACACACGCTGGTCGCAAATCCAAATCAAGAAAACCGTCGCAAATCTCACACCATCACCGACGGTGACGAGTGATCGCTTTATAGGGGCGCGAGCAATTTCTGCACTCGCCGGCGACTCGCAGATCGGGAGGAGAAACTGGCAGGCTGAGATCAGAGCAGGGGAGGGCCACGAGACGAAAGCTCCCGGCAGCACAAGACCAAGCAAGACGCAGCTGCGCAGAGCTTCAGCTGCTTCGGCCAGGCCTTGTGCCCAGAGCGGGACCCCGCACCGCGGCCGACGTGGCGCGCGGGCCCGCCACGCCCCCCGCGGCCTACAAGAACCCCGCCCGCCTGGCCAGAATCTCCCTAACGACCGCTCCCCCGCCGTTTCTCATCTCAGCCGTCAAATTTCATCGCCAACGCCGATGGATGGGCTCGATGATTCGCTCCCGCCCGCCTGGAGGGAGTTCTTCGCTTCGCGGACGGAGCTCGACCGACGAACTAACTGCCCCCGCTTTTATCCGCCTATCCATCCGTTGGAGGCCCGCTGCCCTGCCATTTATAGGGGTCGTTTGAGAACCGTCGCTATCTTTGGCCGACGATCCCACCGGCTCGCGAGGTCACTCGGCTCGGGGGCACCGGAAGGCAGGCAGGCAGGCCATGGGACTCCACTAGGGTTATGTATAATATTCAGCTTCGAAAAATGGTGAGTTTAATACAGTATTATACACAATTGCCTCTGTACAATGATCTAACGGCTGAGATGTTACATTTCTCCGTTTAATCCTTCGATTTCGACACGTGTCTACCCTCACAAGCAGCACAAAGTAGAGTAGAGTCATGCAAACAAGTAAAATCAATGTGGTTGCTCGTCATAGTGTTACAAGAAACTTCTATACTGCGCTGTGGGATGGCAAATTCAGTGATTAACCTTCTTTTCTTACCAGCAGATGTTGAAAAGTACGATGACCGTCTTATGAGATGATTTATTTCTACCAGGAAGAATTCTAGAGGTACTTAGCAATGTCATAAGAGAAAGAATTGAAGGGAAGGGACGGAGAAGAGGAACAGCGCCAAGATCAGCAGAAATTCTGACGTAAAAATCATTCACAGTCTTGGGAAAATTCAAGTCGATTTAATACAGTAAAATACAGATGGACTTTTGAAGCCCTGTATTATACTCTGTGTATAATACTCGGGTTTAATATGTACAGATCACTAGACTCCACATTCTTGGCGAGGAGGGTTGTTCGGTTCCTTGCACTGGCATCTTCCCCGGAATGCATCCATCCCCCTTCACGGCAAAGTCCGTCGCCTGAGTTTGCAGCTTCCCATGCCCATCCACCCATGCCGTCCACTTCCCGGTGGAATGGACGCCGGCACAGGACGGAGGAGAATCATTTAAGACAGGAGAAAGTGTAAGCCAATGGACGATCACAAATGCCAAATGACAACGGATGCTCGAATCACATAACGGTGAGGAAAAATTCAGAAGAATCAAAAGTCACCAATGTGAACACCGATCGTCGGACCGTAACGTAAAGCGAACTCGGGCATCTCACAGCGCAGCCCGGGGAATAAAAACGACACGGTTCAGGGACAGAAAGACGTTGGGGTTGGGGGGAGGGTGGAAATCTTGGAAAACGTCGCCTTCGCAAAAGCCCGCCCGCACTCTTTCGAATGGGACAATGGCAGGGGGGTTCTTAACGACATTTTGAACAGAAGAAGGAAGGGTACGTCACTGACAAGTACAGCCGAGGAAGGAACCAAACGCAAACAGTGATTTGGTGGAATGTCGAGCGAGGCCTGGAACGAAGCTGTTCTTAAAGACGTCCGACCCCAGAGGTCTCAAGCCGTCCATGAACACCAGCATTAATGTTCGAACATTCACGAATTTATTAACAGCCACAGTGAACGATCGGTTTGAGTTGCTTGTCTCATAGCTCCAGGTAGTACAGCCCGATCCAGTGTTGCAACGATGAAACCAAATGTGTGATACGAAACTTCATTCGCCCAATAGCATCTCCATGGGAAGCATCTGCTAATGCACGTAACCTGTGCGCATGAACTATTTACGTCGACTGGATCATCAAATAATCTTCATCATTATGGCACCGGATCTTGGTACATGGAAGCAACATATTGCCTGATTCACTTTTTGACGTATTAAGAACGTTGTCTAATCATTCTTTCACGAACATATCGAGAATTCCATTTCATTTCAAAGTTAGATGGACGAAACAAATTACTCTCTCCGACTCTTAGATTATCACTCCACTTGGTGGAGTGATAGTCTACGAGTCGGAGAGAGTAATTTGTCATCTCTAACCAATCACACGTTGCTGGTTTTGGAAACTCAACTAGTTTCTCAATGCCACCAACATGTGACTCACATGTCCAGATATGTCTTTCCAAAAAGTATAAATACCCATCAAGAAATGTATTGTTGAAATCAAGGTTATGAGCTATGCGCTCATGTATCTAGACTGTACATATCGTGATTGCATTTTTGCGAATCTACATCATAATGGGTATATATATATATATATATATATATATATATACTAACTATGTCATGGTATATGTTTAACTGAAATTTTCATACTAACAGTTCGTAACTACATAATAATATATAAAAACCTTGATTATGAAAATTTAACTTCCGTTTATCTCTTACGATTGATCTAGGTCACGGTTGGCGACCTGATATCATTCATGTGCAAAGCGAGAGACGTTTGCACCCGATTGCCATACTTTTTGAAGATGCTTAGTTCAGATTAGTATGATGAGTTCGCTCATTCTGATGGACATGGGATTCGAGTTCCCGTTAACACGAACCGATATAATGAAATACAGAGTCAGACCATGAAAGCCTGAGAATGTGGCTCAAATATTTCCGAACAGAAATGTCATCTGACTGCCAAAGCCGTCTGTCTGATGGACCCGCACGCTGGTCATAGCTGGCACAAATTCGCTCCCCAACAAAAAGAATTATTCACCTTCACATTTCAAAGCGACATCTTCATGCGACGCTTGCTGTCGTTCATGAAATATCCGGGGCTTTCTTGGCACAAGAGCATAGTATAGGGAGAGATGCAACGCATTTGCCCTTGAGGTACGTTGGTTATTTCCTGGCATGACATTTATTCAAGTGTCGGATCGTCAAAAAGGAGACGGATTGAAATATGAAGAGGCCGTTCGCATGTACGGCGCACCTTCAATCCCAACGTCTTCCCCAACGTTTTCGAGAACAGCTCACGAGCAGAGGAGGAGCTGTATCGAAAAAGCGTCTCCCATCGACGACAAGCCGCACTGTCTCCCCAACGTTCGGATTGCCCGAAAAGCGTGCAGGTCAGAGTTCCTGGAGAACTTTAAGGTGGCACTGCCGATGAACGACAAGTCCATACCTCGAACGCCATGGAGCATATGCATCTTCTTTTCTCGTACCTCCTCCCTCGGTCATGAGTCAGAAAGTAGAGCAGCATATGCTTCGTGGAGAGGAATGAGGGAGTTCAGCAGGATCCTTTTGCGAATTTCAGAAGGACACTTAAGTTGAGGAGATCTTTAGGCACAAGTCATGAACGTCAATTGCAAATAGGCTTATATGAGTTTAAAGAACGTTGAATTGTTCACAAAAAATGATGATTTCCATTTGAGCTGATTAACTTCACGTTGGTTGTAAGTTGAGTTTCGATTTTCTACTTTCTCGTACAATATAAGTTCTCTCATTTATGCATTTTGCATAATGCAAATGAATTTATATCCGATTTTTTTATTATTCTTCTATATATACCTTGGAACGGACTAGATAATAAACACCAAAGTTCTAAATATATAACATATAAAGTAAAGTATATATATATATATATATATATATATATATAGGGAGAGAGAAAAAAAAAAGATGAACTTTTCGATACTTCATGTTTGTTTGAGAATTCTTCCAGGGGCATGCTCTATACGCATAATGATAATGAATGTTTTATTATCTTCGCTACTTTCTATATGTGATAACAATTATACTGGGTTGTGCTTAGACTAACATTTGTTTCAAGTGATTAAGTTACGGATTTCAAGAAAGTGTCAAGTTTAATATATATTTCTAAAGAGAACAATGAAATAATGGACGGGACTAGGTTTATCGAGTATTGGACTCATAAGAATTAGTCCCCGTCCCGTTTTTGTTTGTTTCACTAGTTCCATGCAATTATTTTAAGATTCGTCTTTTACTAAATTGTAAGAGCCATCGTATATCATACATACGATTTTCTGAGATACCTTGAAAGATCATGTAAAATAATTTCATGTTATGCTTAACGACATGATTCTAAAGGTAAAAATTGTGAATTTACTTGATAGTTCTTTTCAACAAAGACCAATAGATGAGATATCGAATTCCATATTCTTCTCGTAAAATATAACATGTGCATTCTAACGTAAAGATCTGCTTATAAATTAGTCGAATGATACTTTTATCCGCTAATATATGTAGTCATCTACAATCCCACAAAACCTTATTCGAATCATTCAATATTAACATCTGGGAGACATGACTCTTCAAGTAGTCGATCGACACCAAGACACTCATTATTCTTGTATTTACACATTGTGGTGAGTAAAAAATTCCGAGGCAGAGGGGAATAGGGGCTCACGAGAAGAAAGACATATGGCTCTCATGATGTCGTCGTTTAAGCTGCAATCTGGCGGCTATGCTGCCTGAACCACAAATGCCCTTCGTGACTACTCCGAGAGATGTAATCATGAAGGTCACTCCACTCCGCCTTTCGGTGACAGTGATTTAAATAATTTGTGCTGGCAGACCGATTGACCTTCTGGGATCTGAGGCGCAAAGGAGGCCTGATTTTCATGGGAAGAAAAGCTTTGAGATTGGATCGGGGAGAGTCAAAACGAGGGCTCGGGGATGCCTGTAAAATCTGTGGAGTTGCATGAAGCGGCACGTCAAAGTTCGCAGCCCTACATGAGCTCACGAAGAACACAATTATTGCTTAGAATAGCAGTAGAGGACAGCTTTGAGGCTGCCAGTCAGCTGCACTTCACAGAGAGAGCGCGGAGCCCGTTCCACAAGTGTAGCGGGAGCAATTAAACATGTTTTTGATCTTATTCGCGCGTGCAGCTGGGAATTTCGGATGGATGTCAAATGGACTCCCATTTAACGAGCCGACTGTACTCAAATATCCCAAGATGCCTTGT